TAATGAGCTTTGCCTCTGAGAACTTTGCACCGAGGAAGCTGATACCAAATCTACGAGCAGTCAGTCTTCAACATCGAGCAATTAGATGTACAGTCTACTTACGGGACATGAGGACCAGTGTCGACGAGGTTACCTCTCCTGTTCTTGATCACTGTGGCATTTGCGGGATAGAAACCCAGGGGAACTGTAACCACAGGTGCCCCGACGATGGCAGCCCAGGTGCTGGAAAAGCTGGTTGGCAGGATTACGGCGTCGAGATCATGTCGCTCCAGTGTTCCGAATAGTCCGCCCTCGCCACCAAGAAATGCGCTCTCCTGCCACGCGGCCCAGAATCGCGGGTCGGTGTTATTGAACCCTTGCTCGTCGAGAGCCTCATCCCATATACCTGTGTTACGATCAGGATAGTCCTCAAGCTCAAAGGATTGCGTGAACTCGCGGACGTCGGCCAAAGACTTGACATTGTTCGGGTTGACGGTGAGTTCGGCGAGATATGATGCCAAGTTTGAGATAAAGTCTGCGTTTAGAACGATGGTCTCGGAGTTGGATGTTGCCAACTGCTCCGCAGCGGTGAAGTTAGCATTGTCGACAATGACGGCACCAGCAGACTTGAAGACCTCGAGAGTCTCCTCAAAAGCGTCGGTTTCGGTGCCCGTGGTGTTGTCGGAGAATAGCTCGATGGCGTTGCGAGGAATACCGATCCGAGCGCCACGAAGACCATACATGTCGCAAGCGGCCGGGTAGTCTGGTATTTCGCCATTATTGGGGATGGCTGACGTGTAGTTGTCGTTGGGGTCTGCGCCGGCGATAGCGTATAGGATGTACGCGGCATCTTTCACGGTCCGGGCCATAGGGCCGATGGTATCTTGATGCTCACTGATGGGAATTACAAGGTGACGGGATGTTAGGCCAACGGTCGGCTTGATACCGACCAAGTTATTTCGCTGAGAAGGTGATACAATCGATCCGTCGGTCTGATGAACGTTAGTAAAGATTATCTAGTAAACATGAAACTGTGTTATATACCTCGGTACCCAAGGCAGCAAGTGCGAGACCAAGATCTGAGGCCACACCACTTCCACTGGAGCTCCCACTCGGATCTTGCTGAGGATAGTAGGCAGCGTATACCTGACCTCCGTACGCAGACCAGCCATTGCTCGTGTTGTTGCTCCTAAAGTTGGCCCACTGACTGAGGTTGGTCTTGCCGAGAATGATCGCGCCGGCCTCTCGCAGTTTCTTCGCCATGAAACTATCTTGGGGCACTTTGGCACCCAGCAACACCCACGAGCCCGCAGTGTTGTTCATCTGGTCGGCAGTCGCGATATTGTTCTTGATGAGGATGGGAATGCCGTGCAGCGGACCCTTGATTGTGCCATTGGCGCGTGACAAGTCCAGATCGGCGGCAGTAGAGAGAGCATCTGGGTTCAACTCGGTCACGACATTGAGCGTGCTGTTCACTTGATTGATGCGACCGAGATAGGCGTTGACAAGGTCAACGCTCGTGAAGAGGCCGTTTTCAAGACCCTCGGCCAATTCGTCGAGAGTCACATCTATCAGGCCAGGAAATGGAACACCCTTGACTAGAAGTCAAATCAGTTGATAGATTAGTCTATAGTGAACTGTGTTGAGCTTACCCGTCGTTAAGCAAGTCGCGATGCCAAAGATCCTCAGCCAGATCAGGACCAGAATTATCACTGGGCGGTTGGAACCCATATTGCAAAACTGAGCGAGAACAAGTCTCGCGAAGATTGAATTTCAAGTGGTCGGCCTGATCACGAAGCATCTCCAAGACTATCCCAACTCGGGGTTGCTCTCATTATAAACCAGCCTGTCCAAGCCAAGATATCTCTGTGTGCATGCTTAGCTTCATGCAGAGGTGCATCGCGTAGAGTAGTCTGCCGGCACGGCCCCGGAGGCCGGCGAGAGTTGATAAGGAACGCCCGGGATCGCGTAGCTTTAGTCAACGCGGAATAATGGCGTATTCAGCCAAGAGAGGCAGCTCATTTTGATAAGAACCCGGGAGTCAAAAGTCATGACGTGTAGGATTGGGGTATGGAACGTTTTCTCCCCCTTGTACGCAGTGTTAGTCATATCCGCAGACGTGAAAACCCCTCATTTTATTGACAAGGCATTCGCTTAAGACAATGTACCGCAAAATGAAGTGATCAAACGACAACAGCACGGGATGTTGCACAAAGCGGCTGGCGATGCAGCCACAAAACCGGTGAAAAGTGAGGGGCACGGAGGATCCTACGGAAGTGCCAGAGAAGGGGGGAGAGCGCGGGGAACAGGTGCCGGTCCACCGGGGCCCGCGGGGGAAAACCCGCTGCCCTGGCGGGGACATATGTGTACGTACCTCCATCAGCTGCCCACGCCTTTCTCCGGCTTACCTCAGCAGCAGGCCGGCTGATCTTCGGCCACATCTTCTGATCCCGAATCATTGCCGGTCTAAAGTTCATCCGCCCGGGACGACCGGAACATCGTGCGGGCTTATGTAAGGCACATATGGAGGGGGCTTATGTAAGTCGCGCCAGCCCTTCTTCGATGCTCAGACGCGCCCTCGGTGCCAAACTAAGGTACCCCTCCATGAGGCCATCAACACGACTCGGATGGCCCTGACTTTGACCAAGCATTCGTTACCCCATCTCTACATCCTCTCGTCATATCTCGATCGAGCCTGTTCCGTAATCCCATGGCATGTGGCCCACGCATCGTATATCCAGATTCTGATGTCTTGGCTCGCAGCTCCGGTCTTGAAAGTTTATCTTTGCCTGTCTATCCACACCGCCTACGGATACTTAGTCAAGAGATTCAAGAGTCAAGACCGCAGGATAACACCTTATAGAGTTCTGGCCAGGACTGCAAGAGACCAAAAATAGGACCGTGCCAAGGGTCCTTGGCAACAGCTCAACTGTAGGTTCTGCGGCATCATCACATAAGGGAATCTGCGCCACGGAGTCTCATGCCATCGGTTCCAACTTCCTGCACGTTGCAAGTCTCAAAGATCTGCACAAAGATCGCCTACGCAGAAACCTTCTTTTGCAGCGCGAATCTGAGGAAACATCAAGGTCGAGTTCCCGCGCTTCGAGGGACCAGGCCGCGTTTGCCAAGTTGACACTGCCGAGGCGAACATCAACTGCATAATATTCGCAGCAGACTAAGTAACCTTGCCTACGGCAGCGGCGGAATCTCACCCAACGGACCACCAAGGAAACGACACGGAAATCACAAGGCAAACGTCGTGGAACTGCAATTGGCCGAGCCATCGTACCTGCATATCCGCCTCAACAACGTCTTGTCTTCTGATACGCCACTTAGGCATGATTCAGTCTGGTCTCTTCAGATGATGATAGCCCTGACTTTTGAATGAGTAACCAGCCCATTGAGCCCGCCCCGTGAACAATTGCCTTGGTTTCCACGACTATCCAGCATGCCCTATAGAATGAGAGGCGCATGAAACGATATCTGTGGGACGTCGATCCTTGTGGATAACTCCCGACTCTCTGGGAGATCACCGCCGGGGAAGCAGGCAGCTTGGCAGCCCACCTCGCCCGCCATTTCATGCACCAGATTCGTCCGCCACGCATATCCACTGGTGGCTGGTCGCCGCTAAACGTCCGTGAGCGACTTCCGCTTTGCCATCCAAACTGTCAACATTCCTTCGCATGAGGACATGTAGAGCACCCGATCTTGTCATCTGAGTGTGCCTTGGTGCACCACGGTTCGCTACGAGATGCTCTTTACCACTGCCGTCTGAAGGGATTCTCCGTCGTTCTCCACGCCAGCTGTCAGGACGTTTCGCTGACATCCAAATGGGAGAGCACCAGTCTTGGCGTATCCAAGCAACATATGATATCAACGACGATATGATAATCGTCGTCGGTTTTGCCTATGTGGCTCGTGATGCAAGATTGCATCGCGTTGCGTTTGCTGAAAACTTTGCTGCAGAGCCGCGGGCTAGTCTAACTATGCTGACCTTAATTCTCTTTTTTCCCGCTTCTCTCCGCAACGTGGATTCTTGGATGAAGAACCAGACCAAGGAGAGAATTACGTTTTTCTCAGGCATGGACTGGGAAGTTGAGTTTCTCGGCAGGCGACGATTTACTTCTCAGCCTGCATGTAAACCTACCACGGGCCACGCACTAGACCGTCAGGCTTTCAAAACACTTTCGAAATGAAGCTAACACAAACTCACTGAACTATCGTCAGAATCCAGGGAATCGCGAGAGGACAAGGTTCCCGAAGCTTCCAACCTGCATTCGGGCGAAGTCGAACCGCCAGTGTGGTCGCGAGGAGATGACAGCCACCCCCTGGCTTCCCCTACCCTACCCTCTCGAACCTTTGGCGCCATAGGTAAGCTTAAGACAAGGACTCCGCTTGCCGAGAAGACGGAAGGGTAGAGGAGTAGTCCAGGTCAACTTCTAGGACACACCATCCTAAGAGGGGACTGAAACGAATCGACATCGGATGAGTTGGTCTATCTCGCGTCTTCCTGCAGAATTCTGCCCAAGACTTACATCAGACGAGGAGAGCCTCCACCCACGAAACGCCGCAGCGAAACGTCTCTTCATCCAAGAAAGTTAGGAGAATTAGCGACGCAGGGAGATGCCTCCCACCCTGAGAGAACTCAAGGCGAGCCAGATGCAAGGTAGTATCCTCCACCACCGCCGATCCGGCTCTATGCGGTGCGTGGCTCTCGTGGGGTTGGGCACTTGGAGCCGTGAACTCTAGATGCAGTCGACCTGGAGATGCGATTGCTAGTTTCAGGCACTCGCGAGTCGCCCTTTCCGTGAACGTTAATCTGAAGTCGCGGCCAATGGATCGACGGGCCACCTTTACGGCTGGCAGAATGGACGCTATTCCAAGGTTTGGACGAGCATTGCACATCCCTGGGCTCTAGCCAGAATAGACACTCACTTCTTGTTGACTACACGAAGTATTAAAGAAGTCATCGATCGCCAACATCTTGGTTTGAAAGGTCAGGCAGGCTCCTCAGTTTACGCCGACACCCCAACGGCAACCTCAGATACGAGTACTCCCCTCCTATCAAGCACCAAGCTTGTCTTGGTCAAAACCTCCCCCAATCATTTGTTGAGCAAATACCATACCACTCACTATAATGAGATACTTCACGCCAGCCCTCCTGCTCGCCTCGGCCCTCCTCGTCGGCATCAACGGTGCCCCGGCGGGGACGGATGTTGTCCAACGGGACTTGGGGTACGCTGATACTTGTCCCTCAATAACTTGACCTCAAGGAACTGACAAAGATATAGCGAGCTTGGTGCTCAGGCCGACGTGCCTCAGATTAATGCCCCCGTTGCTGTCGCCGCTGTTGAACAGCCCGAGACCGCGCTAGCCGCTGGTCCCGATGAGCCTCACATCAAGGAGCGCCAGATTCTCAAGAAACTCGCTAAGCTCCTCGGCAAGAAAAAGAAGAAGAAGAAGAAGAAGAAGGCGAAGGCGGCCAAGGCGAAGGCGAAGGCGAAGGCGAAGGTCAACACTCCACCTCCGGCCAAGGTCCAACCACCTCCGGCCAAGGTCACGCCGCCCAACGCGCCCGCCGCCGTCCCGCCTCCTCCCGCTGCCCCTGCTGCTACTCCCGTCAAACCTCCCGCCGGCGCGCCCAAACCACCTGCTGCGAATCCGAAGAAGGCCGGCGCCGCCGCTGGAGCTGGAGCTGCTGCAGCTGGAGGAAATGCCGCTGGTGCTGCCAAAGGTAATCCAAACCAAGGTGCTAAACCCGTCCCACCTGCTCCTGTTCCCGCTGGCGCAATTGCGGCCGGCTCAAAACCCAAGCCTCCGGCTGGAGGTACGCCCAAGGCGGGCGGCAACACAAACACAAATAACCCGAAGGAGCCAGCCCCTGCCCCTGCCGGAGCTCTCATGGCTGGTGCTCTCGCTGGAGGTGCAACAAACGGGAATAAGCCTGGCGCTGCTCCTCAGACACCTCCCAAGCCGCAAGCTCCTCCTCCACAGCCCCAGACGCCTCAGAACCCCCCAAAGCCCCAGGCACCGCCCCCTAAACCTGCTGGAAGTGGTGGCTTACCCCTTGCTGTTCCTGGTAGGAACTCTGTATGAGAGCTTGTGTTGACGAAATGGTTTTTGCGCAGTTTGAGTCAGCAATCGTTCGGAGATAGCGAACACACGGGACAATTCAATCGACAGACACTCATTTTCTCATGCCTCGTGGGTAACCTAAAACTCCCTAATTCAATAACTCTATTCGGTGGAACATATTGGCGAGAAAGTCGTGGGCATGTCACTCGGCGAGACAACAAAGGCTTTGGCTTGGCTGGGGAACCCGAGTGTGTGTACATAGGGATGACAAAGATACGAATGATGACTGGACAACAAGTCGGATTCTATACCGAGAGTGCTCCAAATGTGACAGGCATTATCCTCCCTTGTCTCTGTGCAGTTCCCGATGAGTTGCTTCCAGCCGAAGTTTAACGTCCTGATGCAAAGTTACGGCCATTAGAGTAGTTTCAGCTCGCCAATAAAGCACGGCTACAAAGTTTATATATGACGCAGGCGTGTTGACTGCGAAGATAATGCCCACAGTGAGCCTCGCAGGGGCGAGTGCGTAAGAAATAGTCCAGAGTGGTGCCTTTTAGTCTTCCGAGACTGTTTGAGATGGTCACGCTCGATCCTGGAGCGTGGACAGCATCTCTGCCTGATAACCGTTGCTTTCATATCACCCATACTGTGGCCAAACTCGTTTGTTATCCCAGGTAGCCTTGGTCTTAAGCAGGCGGGAAAGCACTCTTATCGGGAAAGACGTGACGAATCTGAGGTCTGTGGGCAGAAACTCCAATCGGCGGTTTAAGGAAGTTTTCGGAGATTCGAGATGTTCGGAGGTCTGCTACTTTCATTACGCATGATGGTGGTGTCTACAATCGTTATGGAAGATCTTACCAAGTTCAAAGCTTGAGGCAAGGTAGAAGTGAAATCAAAGTGACAGTTCGATTCATGTACTCCATGGAATCTCATCCATGTGAAGACACGACGCTAATCGATATTCATCAAGAGATGGACCTTCGGTAGAAGGTACCAATTTACATTGAACGAGATAGCCACTGCTCCCCGAGAAGGTTTGATACAGTTGAGTGATACTTCGTGGATTAACATGAGATTACCACGGGCCATTTCAATTATGATCCCGAATCTTCTGGGATCTGCGGTGAAAGTCGAAGGCGATGAAGTGCTAATGTCGACCAATGTACCGCGTTGAGAAGGGTGCGACTTTCAGGAACCGAAATGGACTTGGGGAGAGCAAAACAGGCAATCTTCTGTACACTGGTGAATGGTGAGGTTATACAGAAACGCAAGGATGTGACATGTTTCCTAAGCACCACCACGCAAACCACTTGCAATGTAGCAAACGTGCCTTTTTAGAGTCAAGGGCGGCTATTTGACCAGTATTGCCAGAGATACGAAGGCTAGCAAAGCACGTGGGATGTATCTTGTGGGTTTGTTGGCAGGCAAACATAGCAATGGCATCCCAGGTGGCATTACTTCGTCAAAGTCCTTGACATCACTAAGTCAAGTAGTGCGCAAACAATCTGGAGATTTCGAAAGGGCAATAACGCGACTTCTATGATTGTGGAACTTCGTAAATACTTTGTTCTGATACCTGCAATTCTCTGCACACCACGTGAGGTATGAATGCTACAAGTATACTTCCTGTACTGCCAGAACTGTGAGGTCTCTGGGAGCCATGAGCCGGCAACTGGAAAAGATTGTTGAATAAGGGGCATCGTGAAACGGTCGTTTTCTTATTAGACGACGTTTGAGAGCGAGCCAGGAAGGTCCAAAGGGGCATTACTTGAGTCCCTCATGGCTTGCTTAGTCCGACCTGGGCCACCTGATGGTGATCAATAATTCCACTATGAGGAGCTCAGGCGCTTGAAACACAACAAATGAAGGACAATTTCCTTGCAATCAAATCCATGATTGAGCCTCAAGATCACGGACCTTCCCTGTGGATAAAATCTGGTGGTGTGTCGTGAAACCTCCCAAAGAAAGAATCCCTCTAGGCTGCCCCTTACCGCATACGAGGTGTCAGTTTTCTCAGTTAGGAGAATCTCTGGTTCAAGATATTCAAGCCCGTGCATGGTCAAAGAAATATCATTCCACCCAGTTGATCTACTGGGATGTATAAGAAGATGGTAGTCCTTCTATCGATTATGTGAGAACTCCAGAACCCAGATGTAGGTCAGAACTCAACACGGAAGGCAGTCTCGGTCTTTAGGAGTTCTCCATCGAGAAGCTTCGCATTTTGTGTCTTTCATTCACAGCTAGAAGTCTTCGAGCTGTGCGGTTTTCTGCCTCATCGTCCCGAGCGTGTCCATGATGCTTCCACCCGGCAGCCCGGGGCGCAAGATTCTCGGGTTTCTTTTCGGCATCAACGACAGGATCAACAATTTAATGTGGTCGCACGACAAAGACATACCAACGGAGCATGTCGACTACACTTTGGTCACGATGATACTTGGCGATGAAAGCGGAGCCGGCGGCCTTCAGCCTCAAATAGAACTCTACGACGATCTCGGGTCAATGATTGGACATCGCATGACGAAGGATAGCGACCGGATCGAGAAGAACAACAACCTCGATGATTCCATTCAAAAAAGTCGAGCACAACTTGCACGTCGACAAGATGACAACGCCAAAATACGTCGTCATAAACCTCGGAGTTCTGATGCCATCTGCATCTCGGCGATCTAGGTGTTAAACGGAAAGCTCTCCTCCGTATTTTATGGTGATATTGGGACACTTTGTGGACAGAGCTGGTATTCCAGTCGGCGTCGACTCGATGCAAAACTCATGCATCTCAAGTGCGTCTGGCTAGATGAGGACCATATCGCCGGCTTCAATGCGTGAGCCATGAGCTTTCATCTCAACGACATGCTTGGAACACCCGTCAAGGTCGAGATGTACACGGAGAATCCTGAGGAGTACTTGGGTGATAGCACCCCTCGTGTCTCGTTCTGGTACTAACTTTGCCCAGGGACGAAGCTGCCTCTCTTCAACCCTCCTCTGGAATATGAGCGAGACGCAATCACTGGACAAGAAGGCCGGGACAAGGACCCAGCACGTGCAATCAACAAAGTGAAGTGGGACAAGATGGCCGACCACGACCCTAGGCCCGTCACTAGGCGCTCTTTGACGGCGTCTGAAAGAAGAGACAAGAGAGAGAAGCTGGCCAAGAGGCAAGGCACAAACCCTGGCATCACCCATCTCATCGTCATCCGCGCCGAAGAACATGTAGCATCGTTGGTTTGCAACAGCACAACGTCTTATGGACATGATATGATTTCCCTTCAAGAGAATACATATTGCGATATGGCCGTCAAGAGACTCTACAATCTTTGCGGTGGCACTTTCATTGGGAACTGTTTCGACGTTGAACGGCGAATTCTCATGGGTCGTGGCGGAATCAACGCTCGTGGCGAAGTATCCGCTATTGGCATTCCTCAGAAGCGGTATGTTACATCAGCCCAATGGGTAAAATAAGATTTCGTTCCCCGGGAACAACAAATCTTCAGAGACTTATCCGCATAATTGTATCTATAGCTTGAGGCCTTTGAAACAACATATGGCCTTCAGGTCTTGCAGATGTTGTTGAGCGTCTATGGTTTACACTCGATATCTAAGATGGCTGCACCTTTACGTCAGCGATGGAACATAACCTTTGTTTCATTATACTTGACTTTAAGAATTCAAGATGATACCCTGACGATGGATATTGTCTCAATCAACACTCAGGCCAAGTGGGATCATCGCGAGGGCCGGACTGTGCAAGCTGGGCCCTGGTTGACCAGGGATACCATTAGCCTCGGCTAGCTAGCTGCGAACATGACCCAGTAGGACGTATTGTATGAGAACATGATCCGTGTTCTAGTGATAATGCAACATTGAGACTTTAAAAGGCTAGTGGTATGTCCATAGTGCTTCTGGGAGGAGGTAGACTTGCCAACTGCAGTAAATCTAGAACTTGAGAGCCCAGAAGCGTCTTAGGAAACACCACCTACAAGTAGATACAACTGGACGGTCGAGTTTAATCTTCTGGATACCATGAAAAGCTCTCCATTATTATGTTATACTATTTACCATGAAGGTAGCCTCTAGCAACTCCGCATCAATATCTTAACTATGGTTGCGAGTAAAGCCATGAGTAAAAGAAAGGTTGATCGTATACCCTCAGTAGTACCCGGTCATGCTTAATATTGTCAATTTACCTGTACCATCTTAATATGACTTCTAGAAATAAAATCTGAAGACGACAAAGGCATGTTACCCCTACGATGGTAAGTGGTTTGCGCCCCGACAGTGTCAACAACTCCCATTGTGAACCCTCTCCCTTCGGCAATCCATCACATACGACCATACCCATTGGAAAATTCGGGATCCCGTCCGCTCTCCCATAGACAAGCCAATGAGGGCCGGATTAGTAGTTGGGTCGGTGACGACCAGCGAATACCTGGTGTTGTATGTTTTCGAATGATTTCCACTTTTGCCATCTCACGATAGTTGTGGTGGGCCTTTGTGGTGAGTACCTTTTTTGACCTGTGCGCCGCGCTCCCTCCTCTTCCACAAGAGAGTCCTTGTTAAGTTACTAGTTATTTATTAGAAATGAATGTGGTCAGATTCAAGTTTTTCCTGTATTGAGACGAAACACACACTCTTGCTACGCAGCCTCTGCCGGCGTGTGATGGAAGCGGCTCAGGGTTTCAGGGTTCCAGGCCCCAGCTATGTTACCGGATTAAATCTTTTAGTAGGCACATAGCGTGGAATAACTGAAGAGATTTGTTCAGTGCTACAGCTCATGGTCTTCCTTGATTTCATTAGCTACGTGCCATATGTGGACTGATATACTGATACGGCAACTAAGGTAGTAAAACACTAACTACCCTTGAGAACTTGATAGATGCTTCTCCAGTCTACGTCGAGCATTCAATCAAATCTTGTGTAAATGTGGATCAACTCAATTGATGTAGATTAGAGCCATCCTGATGTCTAAGTATGGTTGCTGAAGTATCCATCATCCAAACTGCATGCGGTGCTGCTGCTAAGCAGGATGATGGATAAGTTCCTGACGTTTTCAACCCATGAAAGCACGCGTCGAGTTTTACTCTTTCGCACATACGAGGAACATCTTTCCAGAAAACATCTATTGTAGAACAATCATCGAGACTTTTATACAACTAAGGCAGTGGCATTGTTTATCCGCTTTCGTGGAGGCTGTGGTTCAATCAACTAGCAAGGATCCCCCAATTCGACAGGCACGGCCCGAGGGCCTGCTCCCACGGGATCTCCAGTCTATCACCGCGAAGTCTCGAGAGACGATGCTGAATTAGGTAGCCTTAGATGTGAGCCGGATAAACTATGTAGGTTCTACTTGATGGCAAACTCTCGATCATCCACGAACTGATGATCTTCATTACAGCTTTCTTGGCTTTGCTTGGCGCTTGAGATGACTGTTGACTTGCATCTTGACTTGCATGTGCCAAAATGACAGAAAAGTGCATCGCCGCCCGATTCCCCGCGTCAGGAAAAATGCAAGCCCGAGCCAATTTCCCCATTACTTTGACATGAGCTGTCTAATCCGTCAACTGTGCATGTACCAATGGGCAATGGGCCGAGAACCCACGCGAAGACGGGCTCTAGTATCTGCATGCCGACTCGTAGCGCAATGCTCTACTCCATTCGGAAAGCAATGCGGCGTCTTGGGCATGAAGTACGGACCACCGAAGCCAGGCGTTCGAGTATCATATAAACTTCCAACTAGGATGCACGCTGTACGTCTCCAGGTTTCAGAAGAAACACCAGACGACTTGCAACAGGAAAGATCGCCTTGGAAGAACTCTGTCTTCTCGGGCAACGAGAGGGATCGACCAACAAATAGAGTTGAAGAAAAAACTATCCCGGGCACGATGATCATCTCTGAGAACGATTGGTGACAATCGAGGGCGGTAAAATGATGGCGACCAGTCATGAGGCGGAAGTTTCGCCCCGTCGAACGGCGGATTATTGAAGTTGGGTTGCTTGTGGATCGAGGAGTTCGTAGTTCTGTTTAATGAAGACGTACGGCATTCCCCTGACTTGAAGGACTAATTACCGGAGATCATATTACGTGTATATGTTCATATTGGCTGCGTGTACTCACCGCGATAGATGAAGGCCGCTCTCTCATATGCTCATGTTAATGAAAACGCTCCCGGGTTGCTCATGCTTCGTGTATGTCTAAAATGCCTCGCTCAAAAATGCAAGTTCATGTCCCTTATGATGGTCTGCCGACCAAAGATGAAAACAAAAGCTCTAGGCTTTCTGTCGATCTGGATGATCTTGTACACCCACTTTTGACCTTCTCTTTTCTCTTTGAGCCCGCCACTTGGGCCCCCAAAATTGATTGACAACCTGGATAGGCGACACAGCTATGACCGCCATCCCGAGAACCAGGAAAGCCGTACCAGGGCCAACAGCGTTAAGCATTTGCTCTGCAAATGCTACGCCGAGAGCTGCCAACCCGCAACGGACCACGTTGTTGATGGCTGTGGCACTCGCGCCTTCACCGGGACAGAGATCCGAAATGATGGTCTGGTTCAGCGCAAATATAGCGTTCGCCGAGGCGGCAATGAGAAATTGCATTGTCAAGGGCAGCGCAATCCATCCGGGTCGGGATGTTGCCGTGGGATACGCCAGAGAAAACCCGTAGCCGACGATGGAGGTGACGAATAGGGTGACTATCCACGGCAGACGTCTCAGACGGGCTTGCTCTAAAGGGAAATCTGGTGCAATGTCTTTGGGCGATAGTTCCTCGTCGTAGGGGATGTTGTGGGTTTCCTTGTATTTGGCCTCAACGGCCTTGTAGTCCCGAGTCAGGAGTTTGCCTGCAAACACGGAGCCGACGATGGTCCCAATTCCTACCCACACAAGTTAGTCAAGTCTGGACAAGTCCGAATCCATCGGAGTTCACAGTATCCAATCAGGTTTGGTGGTTCGGAAGGAAGGATTTCCACTGACCGTTGGGTAAGAATGCCACACCAAGAAGGAGTTCGTTCAGTCCGAACCGCTCCTTGAAAAGTGGAGTTGTGCTAGTCGTGACCATGTTCCAAATGGCATAGATCACACCACCCCAGACGAGGTTGATAACCAAGTCCTTTTCTTTGAAAAGCCTGAACGGCCTCAAGAAGGTCCAAATGGTAATTTTTCGGTTCAAAGGCCCATCTGGATCTTCCATGTACCTAGGCTCCTTCGTCACATATCTGTAGAGCGGCTTGTAGATGATGCCGTTCAGACGGAGGGATCCGTTGCCGGCTATAGTTCTCAAAGTCTCTGGCAGAAACACCATAATAGTGATGAGAATAAGCGACGAGGCAATAAGCAAAAAGACAAACACGGATCGAAAGCCCAAGGAGTTGGCAAGGGCGCCGCCCAATACCGGTCCAATTGCCGTGCTGAAGTTCCTAACTGCAAAACGTGTTAGATGCCGTTCAAGACCCCGACGGAGAAAAGCACGACTCACTGGCTTGATAGAAGCTGATGTATGCACCCCTTTCGGCCGTCGGAGAGATATCCTGGATGACACCATTACCTGTCGCTCCCGTTATTAGCTGCTAACTCTGGAAATTGAAGAGACAGTCGGGACGAAAATACCCACCGATACTGACAGTGGATGCACTTCCTGCGGCTTGAAGACCACGGAAAATAAGCAACACAGCGTAGTTTGGCGAGAAGCTCAACGCAACGTTTGCGCCAATGTAGACTCCCATGGAGGCGATGTAAGTCGGTCGCCGACCGAGCGTGTCAGACATGGGGCCCCATAGTAGTGGTGTAACGGCTTGCATGATCAAGTAAGAGGTGATTGTAAGTGACACTTGTGATGCACTAACCATCAACTCCTAGGATTCATGTTAGCATCTGCCGCGCGCGTAAGTTCGGCAGAATGATGAGAAATATTCACTTACCTTTGATATTGCATCCAATGAGGGGTTGTAGATATTGGACGACAAACCGGAGAAAAGACCAGCAGAAGCGATGATGATGAGAATGGACCACTTCTGTCTCTTGGTAAAGACTGAGAACGGCTCATCATTGTCGTCGTTGTCGTTGTCTTGCTGGTCTCCCACCTCATTGGAGTCATCGAAGGGGTTTCGGTCCTGGCCTCCTCGCCCCTCATCGTACTGATTGTACTGAGCGTCTTCAAACGACTTGCTGCGGAGCTCTCCAGTACTGCCGTCCTTCTGCCAAGTCCTCTTCCGGATGGGCGGCGGCCTCAGCGGCAGAATGTTACGGCCGCGCGGGGCTCCTAGTCGGATGCTCGTGCCGGCCCGAGATAACCGAGTGGGAAAGGCCTTTTCGTCATGATATCGGTCCGGCATGTACTCGTAGTCATGAGCGAGAAAGTTGTACGCTGCAGCTGATGCAGCAGTCAGACTTCCGAGCAGTCCCCTCCTCAAGTCGGGTCGCAGCGGCTGCGGCTGTAGCCGATTGGGATTCATAGCTTATTTTGACTCTGAATCCCTTTTCTATTTTGTTGGTTCAAAATGAAAAGAAACGAAGGAAGACCAGATCTTGGTCCCGTGAACCAATTCTACGCTCGGTTATCTCATGCATATAAAGAACAAAACTGGTCCAATCCACCGGCTGGCCTGGAAGCCCAATACAGCTTTCACCGCCACGCTGTGACGCAGCCAGCTGCTATTCATCATCGTCCTGACGTCAATTTGAGATCGCGAACACGGCTGAAAGAGCTTAACTTGTGTTTAGATAATCAGCTCGAGAAAGAAACCTTCAGGTTAATGAGAGGAACAGGTTCACCCTCGTACGACATGGTCCGGGGATGCCTGCGACTCGCCGCACGGCCGGCCACACCCAAATGCATGGGAAGCGCAAGGAGGCTCAAGAGGTTACAGAAAGTGGTTTCGCAAAACACTGAGGCCATTGGACGTCCCATCTTCTAGACCACTTCTGCCTCCTCTGTGAAACACCGAGGCTGCTTCGACGCAGCGTCGCAGTCGCTGCCCACAATGAGCCTACGCATCGAAGTCCTTGGCTCTCCGACCCCCTACACCCTCCTTCTCCTCTCAACACAAACAATAGAGGAACTCTAAGAGCAGAGGAAACAAACCGGAGGAGAGAAAATAAGAGGGTCGGGGAGCGCACGTTCACCTAATGGGCCAACGCCGGGCCCAATTGATCACCTTCTTTTCCTCTTGTCTTCGGCAACCATGTAATGACACCCAATTCCCATCATGTCTAGCCGTCAGTCGGAAACTTGACCCCCACTTGCCCCTTTGGGATACATCTCAACCCCGTAGACCAGCGCGAAAGGGCCCGAGTGGTGGCGCCTCGGCCTTGTAAGTTTGACACGAGCCAGAAGTCAAATGATGAATGGAACTAACAGAGACTGACAGAATGGACGAGCACAAGGCCTGAATAAGAAGTGCATGGGTTCCACCTCGCTCGCAACCCTGGCCACTGCCTATCTAGCATCCCAGGACCCTTTTTCTCGGTTATTCACTACTGGACTAGCACGACAAGCGCATCTGCGATACGCTTGACAGTGCCTCACGACCTCTCGGCTCGTCGACCGAATGGGAAATGTTTTAGACCGTAAACCAACTCACTGATCAAAGTACAAGTTTCACGAACCACTTCAGCAACAACATCATCGGCGTGGAGGGTGAAGCAAGTGATGGATATGGGAAACCGCAACGTTGCCAAGCGCAATGAGGAAGAGGAGGAGATTCGAGATGTCCGCCGACAGATGCAAGATGCCGAAGCAGCAAACGCTCAAGCTGTCGCCGCCGCCGCAGCGAAGCAAGCTGGAGCACCAAATGCCAACGCGCTGCCTCTCGACCCAAACCAGCTTCTCTCAGTCCTCGGCCTGCTTAGCGGCCAACCTCAAGCCACGCCAGCAGCACCTGGACAGCCTGGAGCCACGGGATTGCCTCCGAACAACAATGCCAACGTACCGACAGTGACCATCTTCGTGACGGTGACGCCTCCGGCTGCGACACAGACTGTGATGATCATGGTCCCGACAACAGTCACGGTGACTGCGACACCGGTAGCGCCGCCCCCGGTCAATCAGCCTCCTCCACCACCACCGGCCCCGCCAGTCCAGACATCACCACCGCCGCCAGCGCCTCCGATGAGTACTCCGCCGCCTCCTCCTCCGCCGGTAGTCGCGCCTCCACCACCACCACCCCCTCCACCAGCTAGCGGGCTCACTATGCCTCTTGTCGGAGCCAGCCCATTCCCGATGCCGCCTCCCCCGGCGTCGGTGTCTGCCCCCATGTCTTCAGCATCATCAACGGGTACTCCCAAGGGAGCGGGCGGTACTCCCACGGCTGTTGTGTTATTAGGTGTCTTTGGAGGTGTTGGTAAGTTATTCGTCGATACTTGTTCGATGAGTTCGATGAGTTGTTAGCTAACAGAGAGTCCAGCTGGTGTGTCACTCTTGGCAATGGGAGCGTTTGTGTATGGCTTGATGAGAAGAAGAAAGAATAAGACTGAAGCAGAGGTAAGCACCTGATGTGGTGTAGATCCTGTGTACCGTAGGCGCTGACGAGTTATCAGACTGCGAGCGTTCAGAGCATGCAGATCGGAAGGCCTATGCCCTCCTGATTTCTTCAACAGAATCAGTGAGGCATGGTGTTGTAGACTTTTCCCAGATTATTGGCGGTGTCATCAAGGCAACTTCATGGTCTAGAGTTGATAGCAAAACCTGAACATACCCCAACACCTCAAAAGGGCAATTATTTTCGGTTATCTTGGGAGGGGAAGAAGGCGAGGTTTTCGTCACATTTCCGCTCCTATCATTCCAGTTATTTCATGTAAGATCAGAAGCGTTGGAATTTTCTTGGAATACAACTATTACTGTCTATTATTTAATATCATACACACAAAGTCTGTTCCTCGCAATCATGATGAAGAAAAGAGACAGACACTCACTGCATGATCATGCTGTTGGCTGAGCCAAGCCGTCCCAGACCTCTTTCAACCATTCGGCGACCTTCGCGGCTATGATCTCACTATTCTTTTCCGTGGTGCAGAACGCGTGAGGAAGTCCGGTGTCGTCAATCTCAACCCTCGCCCAACCGTTCTCGATATGCTTCTCTCGGGCTCTGATGAAGTGGTCCCGGAAATGGTCCCCAACCCAATGGTCCTTTTTTGCGAAGAAGAAGAAGAACCGAGGAGCCGCTCTCTTGACGTTCCCCACATCGTCCTCTTCGACCTCCCAGAGCTCCTTATCCCACTTCTCCTCGGTAATAACTTTCATCTCATCTTTGCCCATGTGAATTGCTTGCCATACACCATCCCGACTCTTCAAGAAACTAGTAGTGACATCTGCTGCTTTGGGGCCGAAGCCTAGAACATTGCCAACGAACCACCTTAACGCTGCTGCCGGCCAAAGGTTCAGAAACTTTTGGGCGACGACGTGTGCAGTGTTGTTGAGAAACGGCGTCGTGCGGATGACTTCCATTTGCTTTCCGCTCGGGGACTGAGAAATATGTGTGACGGTGGGAAAGAGTAGCATGCCCGTGAGAAGCTTGAGATGCGGGGCTCGCGAGGGATCCTTTAGGTGCCGGTGGAAGATTTCCAGGGCAATATAGCTACCGACAGAGTGGCCCGCGATCACGACAAAGTCATATGGCTCGCCTTTCTTGCCCGGCGCATTGCGCGAGGAGTCTGTCCGCCGCAACGATGCCAAATGGTCAAAAACAAGCTCAATCTGATGTTCCACATCATACGGCGGGCTGTCTTTGCTGAATGGCTCGTGGCTGTCATCTCTAAACCCAAAGAGATCGCGGCCGTGAACGTGGATTTGGCCGTCGGCCCAGCCGATACGGGCCTTTAGCGCATCGAAGAAGTCGGTGTAGTAATCGACGAGTCCTGGGTTGCCGGGAATGAAGAAGAAGAGGCCGTGTCCCGCCGCCATCTTCTGTGTCTGTGTTGGCGTTGGTATGAGTCTTTTCTTGCGCTTTGGTGAAGCGGTCTTGCAACACAGCACGACCCGCACAGATTCTGTCGGCTCTGTGCCGAGATTTGACGTCGTCTGATGTCAAGAGGTCCGGCAAAGAGAGGCGAAACTTTAGAAAGGATGTCGAAGGACGGAAGATCCACCTCGGCAATGAATCGCGAAATTGGCGGGCGGATTCCACGCGTTGCATTAGTGTCGGCGATAATGTCCCGTCGGCGTTTAATTGACAGTACGTACCTGGTCCTCGTGATGGCTTCATTTCACCGAGGGATAGTTACGTGACGATCCCAGGACGCACATTATACTTTATGCTTTTGTGGCTACAGTCGTTCACTCAAGAATATCTCCATAACTGTATGAAGGAGACCGATCAGATGATTTCAAGTGATGGTCGGCGAAAGTCAAGAGGTCAAATCAAGAACCTGAAAGGCGTGATTCTCCACGTGTGTGCATGTAAATAAGTCCCTAAAGCTACCCACGTCGTGTATCATTTTCCAACATGCAAATTTACTGTGCTACCTTCATTCAGCCGAATCAGAATTTGAAACGGAAACTGGGATGCATCCACCCAAGTCTAAACTCATGCTCTTCTGCAGATAGGCCGTCCCTATGACTCTCGTCTAGTCGAAAGTCCCGCTCTCCTTGCGCGCGTTTCTTGTTCTCTCGTTTCATGTACAGGGGCATCACGATTCCTATCAACAGCAACCCAATTAGGCAGCCAACGTTGATAAAGTGCCCTTTGAGATACCTAAGAAATGACAGAGTCAGTGGGGAAAACGCGCAAGACTTTCATCGGAGCGACATACCTGGGTCCTTCATCTTTGATGTAAGTGAAGGAGGCGAGAAAAGCAGCTGAGTTCCCAATTGACAGCAGGAAGCCAAGTGCTACAGCGCGAACAAAATGCGGAGATGCGTTGATGCTCATCCAAGTGAGAGCCAGCGGGGGTGTTGCGTTGACCGACATGGCAACGAAGAACGAGCCGGCATACTGAAACTTGATGTTCATGAATGTTGGTGCCGGACCGACGTGAGCCCCGATGATCATCAGGGTGTATCCAAATATACCAGTCATACTGCAGACATTCAAGGGTAGTGCGGTCTTTCCAGACCGACGACTCCAGAATGATATGCCAATGGTGAAGATCAAGGCCGCAAAGTTCGGCGGAGCTGTCATCAGTGATGCCTGTAGCCTTTTGTATCCCATGGCAGTTATGATGGTCGGGAAGAACATGGAAAAGCTGTAAATAGCCTGGATGGAGAAGAAGCTACCGAGGGCCATCAGAATGGTGACGACGTTGCCAATCGCGCCGAGAATAGTTTTCCAGGTTAAAGGATCCTTCTTGTTCTGGAGCCTCAGCCTTTCACTCATTTGATCTTCCCCTGCTGATTCTTGGTCCGGCAAGCGAGGATTACCGAGATAGTGCCATCGATCTTGACAATGCATCCTCTGAACAGCGAGAGCTTTCTCGGTCGAGGACAAGAATTTGGCGTCGGCGGGGGTGTGTGGAAGCACGAATAGCAACAGCAGACCAAGCAAGACGGTCAAGGACCCTTCAATGAAGAAGATCCACGGCCACCCGTCGTAGCCTCGGGCCCTGATCTGTCCAAGCCCAGCAGCCATGAGGCCACCAAGGAACCCAGCTAGGGCGGTGCTCGAGTAGAACAAGCCCACACGAAGGATGAGCTCGTCGGCAGTGTAGAAGAAGCCGAGGTAGATCAAGACCCCGCCGAGAAATGAGCTTTCGGTCAAGCCAAGAAAAGCGCGTGTGATGCAGAGGCCGACAAAATTGGTGACGAAACCGCTGAGAGTGGTGACTATTCCCCATGAGATGATCAAGGCTGGCAGCCAAATCGCGCCTCCGACACGACGCACGGCTAGGTTTCCTGGAATGTTGAACAAGATGTTGAGAATGAAAAACATAGCTAGAGCCGTGTTGAATTGGTTGCCAATCAGTCTTAGATCTCGTTCGAGTCCATTGATGCGAGCGAGAGCGATATTGCTCTTGTCGAGAAAGAAGAGCAGATGGGCAAGGAACATGGCAGGCACCAGCCTGTGATCGAACTTGCGAACAAGGCTTGATCGAATATTTTCATTCTCTTCAGCGGTCCTTGGCGTAATCGAGTCTGTATTGGTCTCGCTTGTTGTTTGTCCCATAGTATCACCGTACTTCTCCTTGCACGAAGCTGAAGCATCAAGACCAGCTCCACTCGCGTTGTCATCTTTGTCCAATTCATTGTCTATTGGCGAAGATTTGCCGTGGTTGAAGACTCCAGGAACTTCTTCCATTTTGTAGAGAATTATGTAGGTGAAGAGCTGAATCGACTGAGAGATGGGTCATAATCTGAGATGTATGCTAGTGACAAGTCTAAAAACTTGAGCTTGAGGGGCAACTTCGTCTTCAGAATTAAAGCGATGCCACAGCCTTGATAATTAATTGGGAAGAGCGTTCCGAGGTTGGTAATACAACTCACCCGAGAGGAAAGATTGATCGGATTGTGCCACCGGCGCTCCTTTTCATTGACGTGGGAGGAGGACCAACAGCACTGGCATCTCAACTCAGCCAACCGGGTCTATTGGTCGCCGCCGCGATTTTCCCACCATTGTCTAGGCACGCCCAACCACATGGCCTGTATCACCTACTCGGCGCATCTGGGCACCAGGGATAAAGTAAACGCCTTTACTTCTCGGCCTTCTTGAACAAGGGAGGAAGCGAAGGAAGCTCGATTGTTACAACAGCAAACACACAGGCACCCCTACCCCTGCCTGCGTTCCCTTGTTAATCACGATATCGTCTCTGCGATCTGTATAGCTTAAACACTGTGACACAGTACAATAAAGACACCCATAGAAATGGCTTTGTCTCGCCATACTTCAATCCTCAGTTGATCAACATACGGGTAGATGCATGTCCGAGGCGCTGCAGTGATTGAGAGCCAATATTTGTGCGACATGCTGGGGGCCATAATCGGTTCACTGCCTCAGCTAGTGTATCACATCTTTTTGATTCGCGGTTGAGAGTTTGACTAACCCACGTCTCTCATCAGATGCGAAATAAATGATGTGCAAATGAAGTGATCATCGAATTTGCGAGAAATTTGTTGATGACCACTGGTACTATTAGTTGACACTGAGAGATTTTCACGTCTGACGCAGGCTGGGCGTTGTGAACTCAGGTAAGTGACTTTCTGGTTTGTGATGCATCTTCATTTCCCATCAAGTTTGTTGTTGGATGTGTAACTTGGTCCAGTGATTCGCCGCCGTTCTCACAGGGTGCCCGAGACCTCTCCTTTGTCGGTGCCACAGAAGACAGATATCGCATCTTGGCACGACCCCCCGTTGGCCAATTATTTGGGACCCTGGCACGAAAATCAATATTTTGAAAACAAGATCCAAGACTGTCTCTTCTTTACGAAAGCTTTTAGACTTTTCTGAAATGCAAGATGGGCGCTCGGCACCGGTGATGGCTTGATCAGAAGCGACGCAAATTTTCGCCTAGAAATTGAGTTGGTTAACGTTATACGACGAGATCTTGGTCCCGCGATCATGGGAATTGTCTCGCAAACTGAATCGTCTTTGTTCTCGAACGATTGCGAGAACAATCGCATGAAACTAGAGATCGTAGAAGGAAGACACATTGGCATTGGATCATCACTTGGGCCCAATGTGAAGCACTCGGGGGTTAGGAATGACAACTGAGAGTGTTGGATTCAGTATGAAGATTGAAGGCTTGTAGCATTGCCGTCTTATACTAAGGAAAGCCGTCAGTGACTCTGATACATCGGTCTCTAAGTTTTCTTACGTTTCCCACAGGTCATACAAGTACTGATTCCATATGAACCACTTTAGGTTAGTTTTGTTGACTTTTGATACCGCAGCTCACGCCGAGATCTTTTAGTAGGCTTTCAGTGAATTTCTCTGTATTCCTTGGTTCTAGTTTCTTCTACTATGTTTATGTCATTGTTAATTCTCCATTTTCTTCTTATTCAAAGTAGCTTAGAGACAGAATTGAGACGAGAGCTGAAGCAAACCGGGTTGGATGTGTTTTCGCTGTTTAGAACTTCCACGCGGTCAATCGAAACTCCTATCTTATCACCATATGTGTCGTCATTCTCGTCGAGTTTGCTGTACAAATCTTACATAACCATGTTTCACGTTGCATACTAAGGTATGATCTCTGGACTCTTGGTTTCTATGATCTCGCTCAAACTTTGGAGCTTTAATACTGGTTGGAATGGGTGTAAACGTTTCGCTTTCGCATCACGACGCGGTAACCTGCCTCTTCCCTGGTGACTCGGCCCAGTTTTAGCTAAGGTTAGAAAGGCGATCGGATTTGCTCCACTGGGCCGAGTCAACATGACCGGGTGTGTTTGACCGAACCAACGAATCATCAACGAGCAAAACCGCCTCCTCGCCTGGTCTGCGTGTGTTAGTCAGGAATATTTCCGACCGATACTCCGCTAGCGCTCCGCGTCTTACTCCGAGAAAGGAACCTTGGAACCCCAGATGCTCCGGATAATCGTCGGTGGACGCTCGCCGTCGAATCCACCCCGCCCAGTTCGCAGGCATTGAAGCGAAGTCATCAGACCGCCAGGTTTGATGATCTTCTTATTATCGTGGCAGTCGTTCTACCCTCTAAATATCATCTCTGTGCTTTGGCATTGTTACCTTTCCCAACGATCGATTCCTTTGAAGACAGGTTTAAGCAGGCTTGGTTGCGCTGGTGACTGACAATACCCTTCAACATGTCAAAAACCGCCACCGAGGCGCGATCCGATGCGCTGCATCAAGAAACGTTCACTTCGGAGCCCTACGAACTCGGCCGTTTAAGTTCAAGCGGTCGGGCGCTCGGCAATGCCTCACCGAAGAAGGATGGCCCCGAAGAGCATCAATCGTCAGACCTGCCTGACGACAGTCCCCCGCCGAATGCTCAGGGAGCTATCGAACGATGGAACTCGCCGAGGGGCAACATGGGAAGACTGGGCTTCGCTTTCTTCTCGTTTGCCATTGCCGGTATGAACGACGCAGCCGTCGGTGTGAGTAAACGTCAATATGTCAACAATTTGCAAACAGGCACTAACATCCCATAGGCTCTGATTCCCTACGTAGGTTTGCTCCTCTGTCGTTTTGATGTTCAAAAACTCGCATTGGACTTGTCATCCTTACCCCTTTACAGCTTGAAACCTACTACGAACTCAGCTATACCGTCGTCTCGCTAATCTTCCTGACTCCATTCGCCGGTTACTCGGTCGCGGCCTTCACCAACGCCAGGATCCACCAAAAATTTGGCCAGAGAGGCGTGGCTATCATGGCCCCTCTATGTCACATCATCACATACATCGTCCTGGCCTTGCATCCTCCATACCCGGCACTCATTGTGGCCAACATGATCAGTGGTTTTGGAAACGGACTAACTGATGCGTGCTTCTGCGCTTGGGTTGGCGCCATGGACAAGGCAAACACAATTCAGGGGTTCCTGCACTCTTTCTATTCCGTAGGGGCTCTCATATCGCCGCTGATCGCTACTTCAATGGTTGTCACTGCCAAGCTGTCTTGGTACAACTACTACTATGTTATGGTAAGTCGAGCAGTAATTCGCCGTGCCTGTAGTCACGCTAACGACTCGCAGGTCGGTGCATCTGTTCTCGAACTCGTCGGCCTCACCGTCGCCTTCTGGCAAAAGACCGGCGCCGTGTACCGCGCAGAGCATGCGCACGAGAACGATGGCAATGGAGGCGCTGGCACTAGAGTTGCACTCAAATCCAAAGTCACCTGGCTTTGCTCTGTGTTCTTTTTCGCGTACATGGGTGTCGAAGGTGGGATCCCCCGTCTGCAGCGCTGCATCGCATTCACTGTTGCTAACTTGGCTTCTCAGTTGGTCTCGGAGGCTGGATCGTCACGTTCATGTTGCGCGTCCGAAAAGCATCTGCCTACGCATCTGGTATTTCTGCGACCGGCTTCTGGGCGGGTCAAGCCCTGGGACGCGCTACCTTGGGGTTTGTGACAGAGCGGTACGGAGAAAGGCTATGCATCAGCATCTACATCGCCATTTGCCTCGCTCTTCAACTCCCCTTTTGGCTCGTCCCGCAGTTCATCGTTTCGGCTATTGCGGTGGCTTTCCTTGGGTTCTTTCTCGGGCCGATGTTCCCTGGAGCTGTCATGATGACAGCCAAGCTGCTTCCGAAGCACATCCACGTAAGCGCTATTGGCTTTGCAATGGCTATTGGAGGTACCGGTGGAACGGTCTTCCCGTTCATCATCGGCGCGATTGCGACGAGCAAGGGTGTTGCTGTACTCCAGCCGATTATCTTGTCGCTTATTGCAGTCGTGGCTATTGTGTGGCTCTGCTTCCCCCGCATCAAGAAGCGGGACGAGAACGTGGTATCAGATCTATGAGAGTCACATCGAAGTCATAGCAGGACGCTCGCTTCGATGGTACAATTTCTCGTGCAGTTTGTTGCCTGATCATAGATGAAGCTCACATAGGTAGACGGAAGATAGAGACAACCGTTCGTTTCACTATAGACTGCGATGGGAGTAAGGCTGGGATAGAAAATCTTGTTCGGTTTACAGAGTAAACGGCAGATTTATATACAATGCCCCCAAATAAACCAGCTCTGGCCAACAGTTTAACCCCATATGTGCACGAAAGAGGCGTATATCAACAGACCATCGGCGTAACTCATATATACTGAGTCAAGTATGTACAAAGAAATATCGGTTCATCCCTCGATGATTAAGAAATCCAAATTGGCTGATAAATCAGCTTACAACTTCTGGCCAGCGGCGCCGGGAACGGAACCGGCGACCTTGCCGGAGCCGAGGGCGGCAATCTTGTAGGGCAGGGAGGCAGAGGTGAGGGTTCCTTTGGGAACAGAGTTCTTGGAGCCACCAAGGTCGACATCCTCAGCGACGGCGTAGCCGGTCTCCTTGGAGTCGGCGAAGAAGATGGCCTCAGCGGGGCAGCTATTGAACGCGGTGCTCTGGACAAGGACCTGAGCGCCCATGCGGGAGTTGATGCCAGTGAGCAGGAGCTTGTCGTAGTAAGAGTTGACGACGTGGACGGTACCGAAGCGGACAAGGGGAGTTCGGGAGTTGATGTTGGTCCAGTGGTTGTTGGCGTAGGTGACGTGGAGCTTGCCCTTGTCCTCGCTGCCATTGCTGTCAGAGTGACCGACCAGGGATCCCTTCCACTGTTGTTGTTGATGTTAGTCTAGAACTTGTTGAGGAGTATGAGATAGAAGCTAGGAGACACATACGTGGTCGTGAAAGTAGACGTTGGAGACCGTGATCCAGTCAGCGCCGTGGGAGATATCGAGGAGGCCATCAAGGTCATCCTTGCCTCCGCTCAGGTCACCCGAAAGATCGCAGTGGTCAACCCAGACGTTGGTAGACTCATCAATACCAATGGCATCACCGTTGGTGGCCTTGACACCGCCGATCTTTAGGTTGCGGATAATGACGTTCTTGACTTGGCGGACGTACAGGCCGACGTTGGTGAGAGCTGCAAGGATATTGATGTTAAAAAAGCAGCGCTTCAGTGACAGTGGAAATATCCTCGAGAATACTTACAGCTGCCCTTCTCTCCAATGATGGTCTTGTCGGAAGAGACACGGACCTTGGCGCTGCCAGAGATGGCGCCGGAGATGACGATGGTAAGGGGGCCCTCCTTCTTAGCAGCAGCGACGAGCTCATCGACGGTCTTGACGGTAACGCTGGAACCGCCAGCACCACCGGTGGTACCGCCGCCTTGGGTGCAGTAGCCGATATTGCAAGCCTCGGCGGCCTGACGGAGAGCAAGTTCGTTGCGGGCGGTAACGATATTGGCAGGCGAAGCTGCGGCCAGAGCGGCCATGAAGGTAACGGCAGAGAACTTCATGTTGATGAATCTATAATAGACTGGTTTTGGAATTGATTTGGATGAAAGAAAAGGTAAAAATCTTGAAGCGGGTGACTAGCACTACCGGAGTTGATGGAATGGGATGAACAGGAAAAAGAATGAAATATTGGAAGTGCGCGATGAGGAGAGAAGAACCGCTGGTCCGAACTATCGATGGCAGAGTCTTATATATGAAATACAAGCTCTCGATCTTGGCTTCTGGTTCAGAATTAGGAAGATGGTGCCATTGGTGGTTGTGGGAACTTGGAAGGAGGTTGGTCCACGACTCCACGTTGACAAGTGCATTGCTGGGCGTTTCTAACTAAACACATCCCTTGCCTCCATTGAGGCCCTTGTTTATTTCGCCATTTGTGTTGGCCAGGATAATCTCACAAACAAACCAGGGCATCGGAGAGACTGGACGAAAATTCCGTCGACAGAGACGTCTTCGTTGACGCATACGACGAGAGGTGATTGGCTTCTAACGAGAACGTTACACTGAGATGAACGGCGCGAGTAGTGTAAGGAAGACTCACGTCTTGGCCCGTCCCATGGCGACCAGGGTACCAGAACCAGATGACTGGGCGCATATTTAATTCCTAGGAGAAACTCGAGAGAGCGATTCCCGTGTGGTGTTGCCCGGCTTTTGGTTTGGATAGGTTGGGTTGGGGGTGCAGGGGTTGGGAATAGGCTCATTCGGCTGTCACTGGCAGGGCCTAGCTGAACCCACCGGGGGCAGAAGAACGAACCAGTACCGCCCCAGCTGGGCAGTCGTTCGCAGTAACGCTGAAGGTGTGACCCTGCGCTAGAACCGCACAGCTGCTATGTTTCGGATGAGCAGGGTGAGTGGCTTTTGCGCGCGGCACCCAAGAGATAGATGAACGCCAAGATGCTGTCTAAATGAACGAGGACTGATCGTTGGAGGAATAACTCAAAGCAGAGCGTCGCCGTGCGCACAGCGGAAGCCGTCACCTATCTGAGCAGACGCACTGCTGATCTGATGGAGGCATTGTCATGATGAGTGTGTGGGGATGACCCCTGGCTAGGTTGCTTGAGCCTTGAGGGGGTAGGTTGTCAGTGGGTTGAAAATTGAGAGGCCGGCTCCCACTTCTTTACACCTTTTACCGCACATTAAAAGACCTTCTCACGGCGAGTTCTCAACTATAGAGCAACGCAGACGCGAAACGAAACTCCTACACCTGACCTCCTTGTAACCTTTCGGCACTTTGCGATCACTTAGCAGCGAACTCTATAACTCTAAGACAGTATGCCCGTCATAATGAGAGAAGTGAGAGGGGCGGTGATTGACCTGTGCATCTACCCGCAACCTTGGCATGTTGCACTATTGAAAAGGGGGATTAGCTGCCAAGACTGCGAATATTGGCATTCTGCACTGCCAAACTTTGCTTTCCAATCATCGCGCGGTCCAACTGCCCACTCCACCATTTTCTCACTTCTGAACAAGCACGAGGACAAAAGACAATGACGGCCAGTCCTCTTGTTCAGCCTGCTTGAGGCGGGTTCCGTGACCTCCTCCTTAACTCTCAGGCGATCATCGTTGTTAGTGTCACCATTCCAACTGAGTCGCTAGCGCCAAGACGTTTATATCGATTCAACCTTGGCATTCTACAACGCAGGAGATTGGGACCTGAACATCAAACGGCTCGTATTCGATCAACAGAAATCCACAGACAAGGGGGAAATACCTGGATCTCGAACGAAAGGAGACATCAAAATCCGCGAAAACGAGGATTTGACGAGTAACACAATGCAGGTGAGCTCTGCAAGAAGAGCCTTGCGAACGATCGCAGCTGGATACAATAGAGATCATCTGGGATCTCTAAACCCGACTGGCCCGGCGGACTAGCCCTCACTCCAGACATTCCCCAAGTCTGCAGGGCTATACAGGCCCTCTACCGGTACAGGTACCATTGCTGAATGGGCCAGCAAGCGCAGTACCACAAGTTCATCTTTGGACTTATTGAGCCTCGCGACGGTTTCCCGAATCCCTCAGAACGCCGAGCAGTGATTGCATCTTGCTGAACCCTTTAGATCGCCCGGGCTGAGTAGCGATCTTCGCTGTCGACTTATTTTGCACGAATGAGACTGTTTCCACCGTTTCCGAGCGACCATACGGAAGAGCGACCGAAGTAGCTTGAAGAAGAAGGTGGGTTAATCAATGCCAACATTACATCTCAGTATTCCACTCTGATGTAAGCGATCCCCGGCTGGCTTTAAATTGCTGCATTAACTCGATGCAGGGACAATCTCCACGTCTATCGACCATAAAAGAATGATCTCGGACGAAGAGTCAAGACCACCAATTACGACCGCATTATCATGCCCAATAGTCTTGACTTGCGTCTCTGGGGACATCAGATGATTACCAGGAGCGAAGAAAGTACTTGGCTCAACTACATACCATGAGCTTTGAGTCAGTTGCCAGTCTTGTGCCTAACCAATTGAGCACATTCTCGGCCATATCTAGTTTCCCAGAAGTATGTTGATTTCTCCATTGGCGAGAGCTTTGTGCCGAGAGATGTGTTATACTCTTCAGTCCATCTCTTGCCACTGCCAATAGCTCATGGTCTGGGTTAGCCCCACGTCGTTTTCATCTCTACGTGTGTCATTCAACTTTTGAAATGGAAGGAGCGCGAGTTTACTTGATGCTTGAACCAGTGTTGAAGGCTTCGCGGGTGATTGATATTCATGATGCTTGCCGCAATCTTAAGATCTGATCTTACAGACTGGAACCACAATAGGCCTGGAGTCTAACGATGCCATCTTCGATGCCATCTTAGATGTAGGTGTTACTTGATACTTAAGTTGACCATTGACCTAGATATTCTGGTGGAAATTTGCTAACAACTCCCATTGACCTAGTAGCTTCCGGATATTTTGTCTCAAATTCAGTCATCCACCGGTCTCCAATTGACGATCGACCCAATTCCTCCACCTCAAGATAAGGCTGATGTTCTAAACCCACAAGGATGTGAAGCCATAGCCCGAGTTCTTCGCGATGATTAACACTGGCAGCATACTTACGAAAGGGAAGCTGGACGGGAATGAAGTCATCCTTTGCTGACCAGTAGACAGTTTCATCATTTGGTATTGCGGGATGTGAAGGCCTCGACCGGTCACAATTAGTGGCACATCCTTCATTTTATGCGCTCATAGTCGCCCTCATCACTTGGAACACTCCGCTTGGAGGGAGAAATGGCGAACAAGCATTCACGATTTGGATGTCTCGCCATGGGAAACGCAGAAGCAAACAGTCAGAGCAACAATGGCCGAAGTTGGTAAATATATCCCATATTATCTGGATCTACCGCTCTCCCAATTACTTGACTGCAACTAGTATCTAACAAGTATACCTCAAAGTATACCTTTGAGCGAGTGTTTAACCTAACCAGGTGGCCGAGCTAAGCCTTGTTCTGTCTCGCCCTGGATGTCGGGAGTAAGCGTGTGGCCTTGCGCGTGGCAGAGGCAAAGGTTCAAGCTTTTGTGCCCCCAGTAGACGTTCATCCTGTTAGACATATCTGCGGGGAGAGGCCAGTGGCCCCCAGTCAGCTGCACTCAGATATCATATCTACTCACCCTTCAATTCTAAATCTATGTGATATTGCCCTCGGAAAAATCTCACTGTGAAACACTGTCGAACCGGTGATCTTGAAGAGTGGGAAACAAGTAAGTGCAATTGTTCTCTGACGTGTCTACCTCCTCTTGTGCCTGTTCACAACGTATCTTAATCTAATTTATTGAGGTTATCAGGGTCTCTAGCGTCGGTGATGGTTTTAGTAGATAACGTAGGGAGCGGACGACACAAAATGCGGGGTCGGTCCGGCGCCGGTCACGGGCTCACGGCTTGAATCGGCTGACCCCTGTTTCCCCTCACGTTGCCAGCGGCATGTCATAACGAGAGAAAGATAAGAATGCCATTGGCGGCTCGTTCTGAATGACACCACGGCGATTTCATTCCTCATTCCTCTTTCCTCATTGCAACTCTCTAGTGATTTCTATCTTCGTTTGAGGGGGTACAGCTGTAGCGGCTCAATCTACCCTGACTCTGACACTTCCCAACCCGCCATGTCTGACATCAAGAGATACCAGCTTGGAGACTTCACTCTTCAAAACGGTGGCACATTACCTGGGGCGTGGATTGCTTATAAGACGTTCGGCGACTCGTCCCTTCCAGCGGTCGTCTATCCCACGTGGTACTCCGGTGCTATCGCAGACAATGAATGGCTCGTTGGAGACGACAAAACCTTGAATCCCTCAAACTATTACATCATCATTCCAGCCCTCTTTGGCAACGGACAGTCCATCAGCCCATCCAACTCAGCTATCAATCCATTTCCCGACGTGTCCTTTTTCGATAATGTGAAGGCTCAATACGATTTGGTCACCAAGGAACTTGGGATCACCCATCTCAGAGCCGTCCTAGGATGGTCCATGGGCGCAGCTCAATCTTTCCAATGGGCGACGCAATATCCCGACTTCTTAGATATTGCAGTGCCGTTTTGTGGCGCCGCGAAGTGCGCCCTGCACAATCAAGTTTTCCTGGAAGGCGTCAAATCAGCGCTTCTCGCAGCGAAGAAGACAAGCTCCGCCGGCAGCACGCTGGGGCGCATTGCATCGGCCGAAGATAAGTCTGTTCGGATCTGGTCAAACGAGGAGAAGCAAGTTGGTCTGAAGGCTTTTGGTCGTGGATATGCTGGATGGGGATTTTCACAAGCATTCTACCGACATGAGCTACACAAGAAGTTTTACGGAGCCAAGGATCTCGAAGACTTCATGCAGACATTTTGGGAGAAGTGGGCTCTTAGCAAGGACCCGGAAAATTTGCTTGTCATGATTCACACGTGGCAGAGTGCCGATGTGAGCGACCAAGAGCCATACAACGGCGACTTCAAGAAGGCCATGGCGAGCATCAAGGCCAAGACATTGGTGCTGCCCTCTAAGACTGACCTCTACTTTCCGTAAGAATCTCTTATCGAACTCTGGAAACTCCAATGCTAATAGTCACAGGCCCGAGGAATCCGAGTACGAGGTCGAGTGTATGAGTGAAGGTGTTGGCGAATTGGCTGTCTACCCCTCCATTTGGGGCCATTGGGCTGGAGGTCCCCCAGGAAACTTTGAAGATGCCAAATGGCTAGACGAAAAGTTGAAGAGCATCTTCGCTACAGCACCAAAGAGGGGATGAAGATGTTTGGGAGTTGCAGACGAAGTAGGCACGATGTTGCATCATCATCTAAGTGGTCTCTTTGCCAGCAGCAATAGTTAAGTTGCGCATTTAAAGAAGAAATAAGACAACTAGCTCTTAATACATCTTACGGCTTCGTGCACATCAAACTTGTTTCCTGGTGGGACACAGGATAGAAATGCATACTGCTCGAAACACTAAGAAGACTTTCAAAGTCAAGATATCTACACAATCGGACCTTTCTGCTATCCTTTCCTCATTTGTGCAAGGCTGGCTGAACAGCTATACCCTGAAATTTCTGCCGAATCTCTGTGGTGACACCAGTCATATTGCAAAGATCTTTATCATGCAACATGTCCGAACGAGGTACCCAGCTTCCATGTATGCCATTGCGTAGCCGGAAGGGCAGTTCAATGATCGCTACGGGACCTGTTCCAAGATTCTTGGTGTCGAGAATCAGAATGCAGGAGAGTTTGACATCTCGTCTGTTGGCGATGGTTACAAGAAAGCCGTCTCCTTCCGCCGCTGCAAAACCATTAACATGTCCGTCATCTGCATTTTCTCTCTTGCTCCATGGACAACTTACCATCTGGGGACCTTGGCAAGAACGCTACCTCGTGTACAGAAGTATGTTCCCCAGCAGACCAGTGAGTATACTTTCCAGTATTGATGTCTGCCGCTGCGATAGTGTTGTAGGTCCCACCGACGGGACTGTACTTAGCCTTTGGATCATGAACGCATAAAAACAGTTTACTGTACGCCTTGGTTGCGAATCTCTCATCAACCTTCGGCATCTCGCCATCGAGTGCGACTAGCTCTGTGGGCTCTACATTGAAATTTGTTGCGTTAGGATCGAGCTTCCAGCGAACGTAACTACTGGCTGGTTGTCCCGCAGCTGGTTTGCCGCTTGGGTGAGAAAATTGGTCCTCGCCTCGTGGACCGAAGAACCAGAACTAGTGTACGAATTAGACCACGATCCTGCCTTGGACCATGAATGCGTACCTTGTTGTGGTGGGTAAGGGGCGCGTCGAGGTAGATGCATCCGTCTTCGCCCTCGAATGCGTTTCCAGTGTGCCCATAGAAGGCGTTTTTGAAGTTGAACCACAGAACGTCTTCAGGTTTGGGGTTTCGCCGCGGCAGAAGACCAAAGGTCAAAGCCTTGTCCTCGGCCCATGCAAAATGCTTCGATCCTTGCTGAAGAATTTCGACCGGTTGTGTCTCGAGCGGAATGAGTACGAAAAGGATCCAGTTCTTGGTCGCTGCCATATCATGCATCATTCCCACGTAAGGCGTCTTGATCCAGCATTCTTCGAGCTTCTTCCCATTTTTATCAAATAGGTAGTACGCAACGTCATTTGTCGCATCACCCTTGGCCTCATAGCCCATGGTGATCAGCTCTCCGGTGTCAGGGTCAATCTTGGGATGCGCTGTAAATGTTGGAGCTGAATATTGCCCATGAAAGTCGTACAATCCTTCAAGGTTGATCAGTTAAGCATGATGGAAAGGAGCGTTATTGAGTGGTGATAACCTACCTCTAGTCTCAAGGGAGTCCGGATCCATAGCATATGGCCTAGAATCCTCTTTCAACGCCAAAAGTTGATTCTCGAAATACACAATGTGGGTATTTGCCGTCGAATGCACCTCATGCTTCACTCTCGGGTCGTCTGTATGGCGATTGCGATATTTGCCAAAGACAGATTGCCTCGCCGCCCTTTCAATGTTGAACTTGGCAGTGCGCACATACTTCTGTTTGAAGTCAGCGTGACCGTCTCTGATCCGAACTGCATCTATAGCGCCATCCCCGTTGATGAAGACATCGTCATCATAAAGAGGCGCCCAAGTCCAGTCGGGCATGCAGCGATAGTAGGTTCCGTTTATCTCTTCGGGAATTGAACCGCGGACAATGCAATTGCAGACTTCCGCTTCGAAGCGGCAAGGCGCTTCTGGTCCATCAAAAAAAGGCGTTGCAGGAAAGTTCGTCTCTTGCCGTACCTTGAGAGACTTCGAACAATCAGAAAGGTCGGGCATTTTGCTATTTTGAATCAATCCAACGTTGGAGCTGCGCAAACACTTCGAGTGTTGTGGCGGACGGTGCTACAATATATCCAAGCTTCATTGCACTATCATTTCAACAATGTCTTCGGCTTTCGTATCCTACTCCTACTATCCGAAACCGACTACGAGTTGTTGTAATCGGAACGCCATAATCGTCATCAACGGTGCGGTAATCGATCCCAAGCCCTTCTCTCCAGGATGCCTTGAACTCTGTATCATCTGCCGAACCGCGACGTTGCGACATTCACCGACAGCGACCGCTGTGCGGAGATGGCGGGGGCGGGGACCGAGACGGAATTGGACTGCCGGTCGACCAAGGATGCTAGGCCAAGGACAAAGATTGTGTGATTGGTGGCCTAGGACGGAGACCGCTCTCAAGGTCTCAACCTTCGCTGTTCATGGTGATCACCGGGGAGATAAGGTGATTGTACATGCCGAGTATCTTGCCCTGGATATAAGGCTCTCAGTCCAGATACTAGAAAGTCAAGGACTGAAGCAAACCCGTAATTTCGCAGATCAATTGCTCTGAACTCTCTGCAAATTCATCATCAAGTCCAAAGCCAGCCCTAGAACCAGACAGTCGCCATGATTTCCAGCAATGACTATCTATTCAAGCAAGTCGGTGAAACGTCCATTGAGGCAACGGCTTACTGGAAGGCTACAAAGAGTGATGAGCCAAAGGGACTCGGTGAGTCCCGAGATAATCTTGCTGAGTGATTTATGACTGAATGTTTCCAGTTTTGGCCTTCCATGGAGGAGGTTTCGTTATAGGATCCAGGCATTCTTTACCAGAAGTTGAGATCGAGTATCTTGCCGACGCTAATTTTGTTGTCGTATCAACCGACTATCGGCTCTGCCCACAAGTTGCTTTACACGAAGTCATTCAAGACGCAATCGATGCTTTCTCTTGGTGCAAAACGGAACTCCCAGCAAAGTTTGAGGCAGATACTGGCCTCAAGATTGACGCAGGAAAAACTGTGGTATTTGGCCAGTCGGCCGGGGCTCTGCTAGCTTTGCACTTGGTGAGTGCCTGAGGGTTTCGATCCCTTTTGAATACCTAGATTTTAACAACTTGTGAGTAGGGTGCTGTGGCGGAACCTCCGCGAGCAATTCTCGACTTTTACGGCGTCAAGTATGTCAATGACGACTTCTGGCATACGTCTTTGCCTGCTTTAGCTGCAATTCCGACACTGCCGCAGGCTTTGACCGACAAGATCTTCGAAGAGCCGGTCATGACGACCACTACGACCTCGCTAGAAAAGGCGGCTGCATCTCAAGATGGGGAGAGGAAAAGGGGCATGCCATCACCCGATCTATCAGTTCCCAGAAATGCCTGGTTATTTACAGCATTGAAAAATGGAACGCAGATGAAGGCTATTGTCAAAGACGACAACTTCGACCGCGTCGATCCTGTAACGGGGTTTTGCTCAAAGTTCCCCCCTACCTTCTTTGTGCATGGAGATACGGATGGACTGATTCCCGGCGCCTTCAGCGAAAGAGCCTGTAGGGAGCTGAGCGGATTGGGAGTGAAGGCACGTATTTCTCTTATTTCAGGGCAATCTCACGGTTTTGATGCTGGCCTAACTAGGGATGACCCAGAGTGGCCACAGGTACGTGATGCTTTGGACTTTCTTATCTTCTATGGAAACAAGGCAATCTGAGATGAGAGTGATGTAGTAATTAGGTAAGTACTCAGCTACATAGTGAAGTCAAAACTAGATTCAGAGAACCCTAGCTGTTCCCACAAGTCCAAAATTGGCAATCCTGTTTCAAACGGAATGACACTGTCGTGAAAAGTTGTCGTTTCCCGTCTTCAAGAAGTCAGATAGTCGGCCAATCAGAAGGTGGAGTGGTGAAACTTACTGGTGGTGCTCAATATCTTCAAGCACTTTGTCAAAACACTGAACGGCAAAAGCATGCAACCTATCCGGGAATATTCGAAGTAGGTTACTCATCTTTATCACCTTATCTCGCAAATCGACAGATGCTGGATTTTTGATGATTCTAATCAGAAGAACCAGTCCGCATGTGACTGCATGGTATGAATCAAACCAGAAGTGGTTAGTAAGAACATCCCTCTCGTGCATCTCTACGAGGATAGCAATGGTTTCGTCGTTGCTCTCTTCGCAGATCTTCATTCGAGTATTTGCCTCGGAGCCTGAGAAAGTGGCATTGAACAGGTATGATTGCGTCAGTAAGACGATGGTACAATGATATCTCAACTGTAGGTATAGCGTAGATCGCACCAATGATGCTGGAATTGCTGCTGCAGGCATGGTCAGATGCTGTGGTAGGCTGTTCCACCACCCGTAAAGATCTTGAGTCAGTTGATCGATATCTTTGCCATTATCGTGACGCTTCTCGGAGTTGCAGTGAAGAGTACGAGAAAGAAGACGCGTGAGACGGGCTGAAGCGAAGGCATACATGGGTGGCATATTTGGAGCTCGGATGAGGTTCTACAATGCGATGTTAGTTGACGATCACAGGTCATTGAGTTGGTCTGGACTACATCTGCAGGGGAATCGATATTGCTTAGATCGACAGTGATTCGTAATGATCTCCCCAGGACGCTGGTGAACCACTGGTCCAAGTCACATAGTGACCACCAAAGCTTGGTCTTCTGTTCCGCCCATAGAGGACTTTCTTCGTCAGTAGTCACATGCAGCCCTAGTGACTGGGCAATCCTGACAGCGCTGCCGAGAACAACCCAGGAGGTATTCCGTTGATTTCTTCTCAGCCTATATAATGCCTGAGCTCAGTGAGCTGTGTTAGCTGAGCTCACGATCAGTGAATTAGGGAAGAACAGCATTGTTACTGACCATGATGATGATTGCCTGAATACTCTCGATACTTCCTTCCTCTACGACGCTCTCCATTTTCTTCGATGCAAGCTCAAAATGATGTGCATCGTCGTCAATGAGAGCCACGATGAGATGGATTGTGGCCTGAATTGGCACGCTTACGTCTGCGTTACCGTGGGCTCTGACAATTGCATCAAAAAGCTTTTCTGGGCTGAGGACGTAAAACACGCAGTTGATGAAGCGAAGAAAGACGAGGCTGCATCTCTCGCATGTCTTCCTGTCGGGAAGTGCTGCGTCGGGCTTTCTCGACAGCGGTTCGCCGTCACGTAGATCGAAGGTACCACTGGGCTGCAGCGCCGCAAGCCGAGGGAAGCTTCTTGTGATGCACAGGCTGACTTGAGACTGAAGGACGGCATAGCTTGAGACACCGTTGAATCCTGGAAGACGACGAGTCAATTGCTGAGTTGGTTTGGACCCAATCGCGCGCTTGCCTACTTACTTCGCTGGCGTGTTGCATCTGAAATGAACGAGCCCTCTGGCAATAGTGATGCTGAGTCCTTGGCAGTGACACTCGGTAGCAAGTGCCCACCATCGACCGGTGAGCATGACATATTAGTAGGTGGAACTGGTTCTGCGAGTTCTGCGGGAAACTCGGGTGCTTGTGGTGCTGCCTGAAGTGTGCTAACAAAAGTGCGTAGGTCTTCAATGCCTAACGAGATACCAGGGGCATAGTGCTGGACAATCGCGGCCATCAGTTCGAATTGCTCCTTCGAGGTGTGATAGTAGGGTCGAATGGTGGCCTCATCAGTGACAACGCAATCTAATCTAAGTCGCTCGCATCGTCGACAGGATCGGGATGTCGGTTTGTCGCACTCTAACTGTCAGTATGAGGTACAGTCATTGATGTAGTCGTGATTCTCACTTTGATCTTTCGCCGTCTGCAATTGACGCAGCTAGAGGGCAGCCGACCGACTCTGCGAGTTGTTGTGTTCATGGTGGCAACGTTTGATTCACGCTGACAAGAGGCGAGTTCTATGACCGGGCTAGTTTCAATTGCCCAGTGGGGGAAAATTCATTGTCAGATCCCAGGATTCCATAGAACACGAAGGGCAGGCCAGGAGACCGAAAGCCGAGATCATGGTCACAGACATGGGGAAGACTTGAATCCTGTGGAGATCTGTGCTGTGGTCCCGACTTTGTAACTGTAATAGCATGGACCATACTTAGTGCTGTTAGGCACGAAACATTGGAATATACCAGCTAAATTAGGTTTCCTCCAGATCGATCGTTTTGAAGATCATCTTGAGGCCGAAAGCTTCTCATTCTCTATAATTCATGCCTCTGAGTGTCATGATTCCAAAACATAAGAATCAATTGGTGGACTGTCTGGTAGCGGAAGACGGATGTTAGGGTGCAAACAGCATCCGGGAGAGATGGCCCCACAGCGGTCACCGCTCCCCGTCCCATGCCGCGTTTCTTGAATTCGGCAGTCGAGAGCGGTCTCCGCGCTGTATACCCACCGCGGATCCTCGATCCTTGTATCCAGGCGCCCCGGCAGCACTCAGTCCTGTCTAAGAGAACCAGAGGACTATCGAGGAGCAATAAAAATCCTCAGGATCACAAAAAAATGATACATTATCTTTGTGTTGCCGCGCCCCACGTTGTCGCAAAGGATTCAACGAATCTGCGAACACAACTCCGAACGAGCAATGGAAACTCAGATTGCACAGACTGGTTGGAAAGTTCCAAGCTTCCAAGTCACCGCCATAATCACTGCATTCTTATGTCTGGTATGCCCAAATCGTATCAGAACACCAACAAAGTATCGCACTGACGCCGAAGGTAGCTGATAATCCCGCTCATCTACAATGTGCTTTTCCATCCTCTGGCCCGAGTACCAGGGCCTTTCTTGGCCAAGTTCAACGACTTCTGGCACGCATACCAGCTGTACACAGATATGAGACATGAAAAACTCTGTAAACTTCATGATCAATATGGTGACCACTACAGTCTATTGCTCTCAATAATATCGACTAACGTGTATTGCTAGGTCCTGTGTTGCGCTTGGGCCCGAACACCGTCTCCGTGAACACCACGGAAGGATTTCAGAAGGTTTACTCGGCGACATCACCAATCGACAAATCGCCATTCTATCAAAGCTTCACCCCAGGTTTTCAAAGCAGCTTCTCTTCGATGGGTGCTGCGTACAAAGAGAAAAAGTCCATCCTCTCTCAAGCATTCTCTCAGAAGAAGCTGGACGCCATGGAACCAGCATTTATGGAGCATATTTGGAAGCTTTGCAAGGTTATGAAAAGTCAAAGTGAGGTAAACTTGGATGATACTCTATCGGCTTTGACAGTGGATATCCTATCCGACGTGTGTTTTGGTGAGACGTTTGACTTGCTTCATAATCCCATGGAGAAGGCGAAGGTCAGCGATGGCTTAGTGCAAGCAGCAAAATTTGTCTCTTTGGTATGAATAAACCGCTTTCCAGTGTTTCAATGCTTCACACAATTTGGTTGACATGTTTCTAGGAAGGCACTCTTTGGAGATGGCCTTTGTTGCAGCAAATGATTCGAAAGTTCTCGTACGCCTGTACAACCCGGGGCTATCCAGCGAAGGTGAGTGCGTCTCAGGCCTCATGTAGCAACTTCAACTAATACTGGTAGCTGGCAATCGACGCCATGATCAAACAGAGACAAAGTCCCTCTGGCAAGCACGACATTTTCAACTACCTCCTTACTGCTACCAGTCCCACCACTGGTGTGCCGTTCCCTGATCGTGAGCTATTCGGTGAAGCGATAGTAATGTTTGTGGCAGGATCTGATACCACATCTACTGCTCTTTTGACAATACTGTGGCATCTATTGGCTCATAAGAATGCATACGACAAGCTGGTTTCGGAGATCAGATCTACAGTCACGCGGCGTGATGAGTTGAGCTATCATAAGATTCAGCACCTTCCATACCTGAGAGCCGTGATAGAAGAAGGAATGAGAATATTTCCACCGAATTCAGGCTTCATTCCAAGACAGGTTCTCCAATCTGACGGCGCGTTCGTTCTCCACGGCGTGCCTTTGCCAGTGGGGGTAGGTCCATGATATCATCCAGTCTATTCTCAGGAGGGCGGACACTTACATCGTTCCTTTCTAGACGGAAGTCGGCGTTGCAAATATGGCTATGCATAGGAACCCCGAGTATTTCGAACGGCCCAATTGTTTTATTCCAGAACGCTGGATCGGAGATGGTCAATCTGCGGTGAAGGATAAGTCGGCATTCTCTCCCTTTTCCAAGGGCCCAAGGGCATGCCTGGGAAGGACGTAAGTGATCCCGCTGTAGTATGTAACATGCAATTACTGACTTTTGTTCTGATTCAGGATGGCCTACATGGAAATGTCTCTAGTCTTGGCAGCAGTTTCCTTGGAGATGGACCTCGAGTTCCAGGATCCTGAGTTTGAGGCAAGACAGGGCTACACAGCGACGGATTCTTTTGTCCTAGTGAGACCAAAAGTTAGAATCGTTGTAAAATCTCGCCCTTAGGAGGATGCGGTCGATCTGGGAGGTATTTGAGGTTTCTTCTGGTGGCAAGCGTCCAGTCTTCTATGTCGTGATCTCGGCAAACTGGTTGCATCTGAAGGGGACCACTACTTCGAGAAGGCACAGACCATTGGTCTTGTTCATAAGACTGTCACTAAGGGCCTATCAAGTTCGAGATCATGGTTGAAAAGACGGGAGCAATTTAGGCTAAAGGAGTCGATCTCGTTCACCCCTGCTGATCAGATCACGGACACCCGGCTAGGTCCAGAGTGCCCCCGGTGGGCGATGATCGACTTCCTTGGTGACTAAAGTCCCGTACATGCAAGTCTATAATGGTTAGGAGCGATAGCAATGAGGGGAGGGAAGTGTGAGGATGTAGAAGAGAGTGGCCGTCTTATAGTAATTATAGGAATATCTTGCCAAATGCCCACGCCTATACCCGACATCAGCCGCCCATGTTGAATAGTAATGAAAATGGTATCTAGTAAGTAAAGAGTGATATCTCCAACGCCGACGTAATCTGTGGGCTTAAATAGGCCGTCTCTAAAGGATTCATAGTTGATTCCGCATCAATACAACATGATCCGCGCAAGCATTGGCTCACGAGAAACCCCTTGCTTCCACCTTTTGTGACGAAACCTGCACAATATCGCACTTGACCTCGATCGGCGCTCCTGGTTGCAGCTCGATCTCGTCATCAGATTCTCTCCTCCCCGCCTCGATTCGCGTTTCGACAATAGCGTGGTGATTAGGTCTGTAACCACCCAACTCGATAGACTCCTGCTGCCGTAATGGAGACGGCATCTTATCCGTCTGACTGGTGAAATCCGGGTTGTCTCTCGGGGCTTGGATAGGTAGCCCTGCCTCGCGGCTCGCATCAGAATGGCTCAGATCATAGCTGGCAATGCCATAGAGATCCGCCTTGCTATCTGCCGACCCTGTTCGCCGTTTCGAGTAGCGGGCAGAGTAGTGGTTCGGGTTACCGAGTGTACCACCAAGCTCGGCATCGCGGTGGCGTGAGGTATTTTGGGTGTTTTCAGAGTAGTCTCCGTTCTTGTGGTATTTCGAGGACTTCGCAATCCGACTTGAGAGGGCTGGGATGAATCGAGAGACTAGAGGTCGGAACGTTGGGAGGCAAGCGCAGACGAGGCCACAGCAGAGTTCACCGATGGACCAGCCGGCAGTTTCGACATTTTGCCAAGTGAAATCTTCTTCGAGTTTGAGGAATCGAATTCTGATGAAAGATATAGTGCATGTGCTGTCAAAGAATTAGTCATAGTAGGAGATGGCCATGCAATCGGGGGATGAGACGTACAAAAAACCCAAGCAGAAGATGCCAAGCAGGACGTATTTCTGACCCCGAGCTAGGTTCAATCGGTGAATTACTGGCAGTGGCAACACAAAGACAATGATGTCTGTGATGATGTTGCCTGCTGCGTTGATGTACCACTGGGGATAATTCGGGATGCATGTGCCATCAATGCTCTTGTCCCAGAAAGCCGGGATAGGGGTACAGATGAAGATCTCAACCAGGATCTGGGAAATGCTCCATGCACCGACTATTACCATCGCCGCAATGAAGACCTTCTTCATCTTTTGTACAGCCAGAACTCGGTAGTATTGGAAGAGAAAGGTCATCTTGATACCGGCCAATGCTGCATTATAGAACACAATGGTGACGTAGAATGTCTACAAAATGTCAATAGGGGCACGCAGCAGATCACGCTAAATGTCGACTGACCTTCATGTAGTCTTGAATTTGTTCCGAAGTAAGGAAATAAACATGGTGACCGAGGCCATTTTTGGTGTCTTCAAGTTGTTAGATACTACTAAACGTCGTCACGGAAGAATTGACTTACTTAGTGCGACAGTCAAGCCACATCCAAGCACCAATAGCTACACAATGATGGTCAGAACCAGGTCATGGAGGTGAGAATTGCTTTAGAAAAACTCACAAAAGCAAAGACGGACGCCCAGTCATCCATACCAAACTGCCTTATCACAAATATTCTGGTGTACACTCGTATTGATACAGCCAAGAAGGCAACTGAAAGCACCAAACTGGCGACGCCAACGACGATCGGTACCCGCGAATCGTCCGGGCTCATTACTGGAGGAACTTCCATGCTGCTTATTAACTCTCCTTGAGCAATGTTGATAGCTATGCTTGGTTGATAGTGAGATCAAGAAGCATTCATAGCCCACGAGGACGGGCTGGCACGTGGCAATGTGCTTTTCGTTCTTCTTCAACGGCGGCTGATGATGGGGATAGGTGTGAGACGTCGGACGAAGAAAGGCATTGGAATCTAAACGCCGAGGGATGCTGTCTTTCTATATTGACAAAAGCTTGGCTATGCCAGCCTTGACTGGTCTTAGATCGAGGGGGCACCTTTGCGCGGGTGTGGCTCGAGACAGGGGCAGAATACAAAGAGGGTGTGAGACATACACGAGGAGGAGCTGCCCGCAAAGAGTGCTACACTAGCACGCCTCGCACGCTCGAGGGACCCTCAGGATTCTGATATTCCGTGTCTCATATGGCTTAGACGTGGAGACCACTGTGGGATCGACGGATCTATTTCCAAGGATATTGTCGATTGCCTTTGGGCAGAAAGAACGCAATGCAGGAGCCGTGCGCGCGGTACGGATATCGGTTGATTGCTCGAAAGACAGGAAGACAACTGGGCAGAACTAGCACAACGGTTGTAGTTTCTCTGATGACACCCTTTGTGCAGTTTTGTACACCTGCATGACGACCTAACGAGTTGGCTAATGGGGAGTGACACCTCGTTGACTAGCGGAAAAGCCGTAGCGTGGAAGCCATGCCGGACCGGCTCCGCGTGTCGTTATGAAGGTTTAGACGAACTAACGGGCTTCGATTCGTCATGTTCGACACCCGGAAGGTGGGAAATAGGAGAGAATGGTGGCAGGCAGTGGACAGTCTGCGGTATTGGTGTTCTGCCAGCCTAGGGACGCAACGTTATTTTCGACGCGCAGATGATGGCAATCTCCCGGCTTTGCTGGTACGCTGGCACGCTGACGGCGCATGGATTTGGCGGCACTGCATTCCTCTCCTCGCGGGCCAAGGCGGCAGGCATTCTGGGATTCTGCCATTTTGGAGATGCCGCGATTCAGCTGCCCTCGATAGAGAGACTCGCAATGTCTCAGACCACCTCCTGGCATGTGCAAATATGGAGCTGGGAACTTGGGAGTCGGCCCCGAGTTGGAGTCGATGTCTGTGTGTCAAAGAGACAGCCCAATGATGATCGGCTGGACAGGGTGATAGGCTTGAACCCCGGGTATCCAAAGTCGTATACCGTCCCTGCTAGCCCGGGAGAGGGACCGGGATAACTCCTGTTCGCCTCTCGGTGAAAGAGGATACTATCGCGGGGATTTATGTCGCCAGGGTCGCGGCTGACTCGCATGTGCGGTAGGCAAAGACTGTTGTCGGCGCAGTTGCCAGGCATCGGCGATCGCTGCTGACAGGCAGGAAAAAGAAATTGGGCATCAAACAGACTGCGAAGCCTTCTGCCGGTCCGAAGACAGATGTTGATAAAGCCATGGACGGATGGCCTCGACTACCTAAACCATCTGTTCATCTGATCGGTAGACTGACTTTGGCTCCAAGAATCGGGTGAAACAGAGACAGTTCAGAGCATCCTTTTCGTAAGACCAGCCAGATCATAGATGGCTACCCTCCTGCGTAACAGCGTGCCAATAGCGCCTCGCCTACGGAAATAACCTGGAAGGCTGAAAGGACGAAAATAACGGATAGATCTCTCACGGCTTTCTCGCTCTCGCACAAAAAAGGTAGTATTTTCGGACCTTGGAAGTCTCAGCCGCGCTCTCACCGGTGCCGATTGCTCACTATGGGGGGCAGACTCGTTATTGCTACTCAACCGAGCATGTTCGGCGACGGCGGCCGAGCCGGTGAGGAGAAGGGCCCACGCGGGTTCCTTGTTCTTCACTCTCGTCGTCGAATCCAGCCTTTTCAGCTTGGCGTTGAAGGATCCTGGCCTGGCAAGCCTAGCAGCCTCTGGAAGCGTGGATCTGGTAAATCATGCCACTCAATGAATCGCATTGGTCAGAACCTGGCAGACGAGGGTCTGAGCGCAACCACGCCGTCGGAGGGACGAGCCGGGGGGGGAGGGTAACGGGCAACGAATACTCTTCAACGCCTCTCGACTTGATTAGGACGACCGTCGTTACGAAGGTCCGTTTGGCTTCAACGTTTGGCCTGACGCTGGCGTGCCTGGCTAGACATCGTTTGTTCTCTTCGTACCATATTCAAGCCACAGCTGCGGCAACGAAGAATAAACTTCAGTCTATTGGGATTGGGTGAGCCAATGGCGTTCCGCGGAGTGAACGATCAGCGGCTTTATTGGCGGACACGGTGGGATATGGAAAACTTGCTGAAATGTTTGACAGGTACATCTTTCTGCAGAGCACAGTCCCGGTGTCAAGCATGCCACCCAAAGGGCCAATATTCAATACTGAAAGACGATGGGCATGCTCAAAGAAGAAGCCTGCCGGGAGCACCAGCGCGACTATCCGGACGAATTGCAGATGCAAGAGATTTTGAAAGGCACCCGGAGACCGGAACTAGCCCCGCTCATCATAGGGACTATGGAAAAGAGCATCACGTCTACTAGTGACACGGTTGATAAGTTCATCGTACACTCACTGCAGTATGTGTCCCACTTCGAATCCCTCGAAGACTGCTCTCCTTCCCCGCCGCCTGTCATAACGAGAACGTGGCAGTGGAGAGGTCCGAGAACCGACCATCACAGCGACCCTACACGCCCAAATGACCTTTGACGGGAACGAGTAAGATAGGTATTCTACTGAAGCCAACAAAGTGCATGACATCAACTCTGGAGTTGCAACCTAGCAAGTTGGCTTCGTCGGTGCGCGAAATCCACCAGAAAAGGCTCGTCTCGCGAGATCTACTGGCTCTTGAAGGTTGAAAGGGGTCAAAGCCAAGCTTCATCCGGACTTCGTTTACCAAACTTTAGCGTCCAGGGTCCTACTATTACATAGAACATTTTTTGGGGACACGCGGGGCACCACAGGAAATCGAAGATCGCTGCATGAGGGTGTGCCTGCGTCCTGATTGCTCCATCACAGCTGAAGAATGACAAGCGCGACCAGGATCCGATCTGGCTTCTGCGGCTTGACGACTGTTTCTCAAAGATGTGAGACGTTCGAATAGGTTGCAACAGTCGTCCGACACACGCCAGTAAGCAGATTTGATCGTGCTCCGCAAGTTCAGGCGATGTTTTGGGTGACTGAATCGCATCCCAAAATTGTGGGCGTGTTCTCTGTGACACCTTCGCCCAGAGGTGGCGCTGGGGCATCTCCAAGAACCCATGGTCCATGTGGGATGCAAAAGCTGTAGCAGCTGTCGACTTTGTCTCTGTACCATCACCTGCACGTCCAACTTAGCCAACTTGGCAGGGGACTGACTGAATCGTTTATCTGCTGATTTCCTCCACCTGCTCCTGCTGTGGTGCGTGGAGGATGCATGGAGAAGTTCCACCAAGTAAGGTAGAGTAAGCTTACACAAGAGGGATCCAGGAACAGAATGCTTATCCTGTGGATTCATGCAGTTGCGAAACGTGCTTCCTTCGCGCGGGATATATCTGTGCCTTGTTTTCGTTCCTCTTCAACACCTCCACTTTGCCCCTTCAACCTGATTCCAAGCGAATAGTCGCTTTTGCGGTGCAACGCCTGCGGTAGATGAGGGGATGAAGCAGCATCGTGCTGATTCCATCTTATTATGTTGTGCACACCCTAGCAGTGAAAAGAGCGGAAAGAATGAGGAATCCGAGTCTCCGATGGGTTGCACGCCCGCGCCAAACGATCCATGACTCCAAGGGAATACCTAGGTCTGATCTCCGATGCTCCTGGTAATTCTCTGGTACAGTCCGCCATCGCCCAAGTCTCAGGTGCTGGGATACCCCAAAGAGCCTCGAAATGAGCCCAAGACGGCAGTGCGTAAGGCTTCGGTAGAGCATCGACCACCTGTAGTCATCCTCGGCACTCGTCTCTTCGGGTACTAATGCTTCATTTATCAATTCATCAATGTTCCCTTTCATCGTGTTGATCGTCACCGCGCAAATCCCGATGACAGACAAGCCGGTTGTAACGATCGTTGGCAAGCTTCACTGAGGCCCGCGCATAGAGTTCATCTCTCCGATCCGGAGTCCCGCGAGTGCATCTTCTTGGCCGATGTCACGCTCAACGGCGTCCAGAGGAGGCTCACGGACTCTACGGCGCAGTCTCTGTTGCTACCTGTCGTTGATAACGTTTGCAGGCAAGCTGTTCCGCGGACTGTGGACAGCCTCTGGGGAATACGGCGGCTTCGTTCTTGAATGTTTTCGCGCATGTGAGAACTCAAGAAAACAGGAAGGTAACCCAACTTTCAATGACTCGTAGGTGTTCCATGACCAGGTAAACGTCTCGTGAGAGAGAGGGGAAGCGCGGAAACACGCTCCTTGAGGATACAGCTGACTGCCTGGGGATTGACAAGGAATATTCGCTTATTCCTCGCTGAATTCCACCGCGCGAGCCAGAATACCTAGCCCGCTGAAATCCCTGGCATGTCCGCCTGGTGTGTCACTCGTCATCCATGGCGGGCCGATCTAACGGGCGCTGCGCCGGTGACAGGGCCTTTGTAGTGGGGTAGAAGGATCTGATTCCCGGAGCGTGAGGGGGGGCCAGGGCGCGGCGACACCATCAAGACCGATTCGGCATGTCAAGACGGGCAAGCTGTTGTTCCTGGATCCTCATAGCCTTGTTGTTAATAACTACTTAGGTATTCAATGGTATCGGGCTTCTAGTACAATCTGTTATCGGCGCGAAGGATCAGTCCGCCTGTTCCCTTAACCCCATGCTGAGCTGTACCGCGCAATTGGTAAACTTTGAATTTCGTCAACTTGTTCAGTGATCACCCTCATTATACCAACCCCTTGGGAGACTGGGGTCTAAACTATGTTGCCCACGGCAGAACTTGTCGCGTATTCGAGGAGTACGGATACCATCACGAAACCGGTCATCCCCTAGAGTTTTACAACCTTTCATTGACATATGGGCAGCAAGATCCCAATCCCGTTGGAACTCTTGAGTCTCGATGAGCGAAGCTTGCCTTACTGTACGAGATTACGTATTCACATTACCACAGACCCGCCCAGCTCCGTCGTGACCCATTCTGGTGCAGCAAATCGCACCAGACATTTGAATTATTCCTCCATGGTTCGCGCAATCTTCTGTGTCAAATCAACCATTCGCAAAGGAATTCTTGCGGTTCTGGCTGGCTGGCCAAATGGTAAGGCGTCGGACTCCTAATCCGAAGATTCTGGGTTCGAGTCCCAGGTTGGTCGTTCAGGTTGCGATCACAATAGCGTGATTTTTTTGTTCTCACAGTATACCATGATACTAATAGAGGTCGTCAACTTCTTTTGTCCTGGCTGTCATTCCGTCTTTCTGTAAATCAAGAGAAGAGGAAAGCTGCAGCTGTGTGCATGTCCTTCTTAGATCCCTGCTGAATGAAGATTAACATTTGGCTCAATGGCAAGTCTCTTCATGCGATCGAGTAGGTTCCATGACTGTTGCCCGACGCTCGTCATAGCCATCAAGATTGAGCTTATTTATTACACAAATTCTCCAGCATTACTGGGCAATAAAACTACCGAGATAGTCGGCCTTGCCAACAGGAACCCCCTTTGATCTCAAAACGGCGTATCCTGCATTCAAGTGGAAGAAGAAGTTGGGAATTCCATGACTCAACGCTGCCTCTTTCGCAGTGACCTTCAACGTCTTGCCACCAAAGATAGGCCTAGTAAGATCATGTTAAATTCTATTCCTGTCTCATTTCATGGGTTGATCACTTACAAGTCAACCTGCGAGTCAGCCTTGGCGTTGACAGTCGCGGCGTCGACCTGGCTCAGGAGCTCCAACGCATCTTTGATGCGTTTGTGGAGATCTGCGATAGTCTTCTCCGTGTTCTCATACGGCTCCAACTCAACACCAGTCAGACGGCTGATATTAGTCTTGACAGTCTTTGTCGCATTCTGGACCTGGAAAGTGAGGGGGAGCTGGTCTTCGACAAGACGAGTCTCGGGATACGTGTTGACGTCCACGTTGTTGGCCTTGGCGTGCTCCTCTGCCTTTGTCAGAATGTGATCAAAGGTCCTGAGGCCCTTGGTGAAAGTTGGAATGACTGCGTCGTAGACGGTGACTGATGCCATTGTTGCGGTGTTGAGAAGAGAGGAGGTTGAGGGGAAGGTCGGAAGTCTCGGGAAATAGAATGAGAGCTTTTATATGTGTTGATAGAGTTCAATTGTCTTTGTGGCCAGCTTCGAAATAATCACCATGAAACGGACCTCAATGCCGTCTTTAATAATTCTGTAGATCAATTGACAACAAAGCGGTATGGCACAGATTTGTAAGTCGTACCGCAGGATTGCGTGCTTGGTAAGCTTTCCCCCCCCCCTCATCAGTGCACCTGCAAGTCAATCTCACGACAAGCGGTCACCGCCAGGAACGCATCTGATCTTAAGCAGATTCAGCGCCCTTCGGTTGGATTTTTGATGTCGTGATGGTCCGGGGATGAGGGGCTTCCCCTGGTCTTCGCCATTTCCGGGAATTGGGTCTGCGGTTTTCACCATACTGGTGGAACGTCACGTTATCGGTTCCCAGATGGCGTCATCAGCCTCTCTCTCTTGAACCCCGCGAAGTCGCTGCGCGGGCCGCAGTTCATGGAATCAATAGAACAACAGCATGGTTCTGCTGGCGTCGTTTGACAATATTCTGCTCCAATCACATCGAATCGAGTGATGCAAGGGAAATCCAGATGATGGGACCTTTAAGTCCGATTTCGGATTGAGCCATTATGTCGCAATGGCGAATGATATCGAACGACCAGACATGACTAGCAGCCATTGAATAGCCTGTCAACCGAATTGACTACAATTCCATGTTCTTGGAAACTGTCTTACTTGTGTTCAAAAAGAAAATCGGTGCTTAATGTGTTGCGAAGACCCCAAATCAACTTGAAGTCATTAATTGCCAGCAAGAGCCTATGTGTAAAGGTATCCGTGATTGTCTTTCTCATCTCCTACCCTTGTTTTTCAGCTGCCCATATGGACTTTCCAGTCCTATCCAAAGCATCCCATCTATCAACAGATCTTCAGTACTGTTTACGGCGTGACATCCAGATATTTAGTAGAAACTGAGGTGCTCATCCTCATACTCATTATGTTGTTGTCTCAATACCGCTGAGGTCTGAATTACGTGCATTCGAGCTTTTTAACCCATCACTCGTCTGGATCATACTTGATGCAAAAGATGTTTTAAGGGCAGCTATAACTTCCATCTATAGTTCATGGGAAAACCTTGTGTATGACGTGGTAACCAGAGGTTCTTGGTGGTAAATCAGATTGCGTGATATCAGACTCTAAGGAATATGGAGAACTTAAGAAACTGCAAACGTGAAGTGAGAGCGGCCTATCCTGGGCTTTATTCAGCCAATCCGCCGAATGTGAATCTTCAAGAGATGTATGATTTGAACACGACCTTGAAGGCTAGACGTGACCGCCGTTCCTTTTTACTCGACTTGCGGAGTGACTACCTAATTTGAAGCACATCAAATCGTTCAATTATCCAATACCTTATAATGATTCTATGGTCTTCTTTTGCCATGAGTGCAAAATTAGAACCCTGGAGTAGATTCGCTCAGACATATTCTATTTTACTGCTAACTGCTTGCATCGACTAATTATCTCTACTACCTTATATAACGTCGAAAGCCCGTCAGTCTCACAACGATTGTCTAAAACGGCACATAGGCTTTTGAACGTAGAATTCAATTGCAGAAAGTCTCATCTTTGTTTGCTTCCAACACGTTGCGCCACGTAGACGCATCGGGCCAAGGACACAATGCGGCAGGCGAGGTTTGAGGCGACAAGATAGCGAGCTACCAACAACTATAACCAACAAAACATCACCACAAAATTGATCTTTCCCGCATGGAATAGCCGGAAATATCTATGACGCCTGCTAAAAGTAGAGATTGCTACCGTGTTTCCTTTAGTATCCATCTTTAGTCTCGTGGGTAGTGGCTAACATCTGCCGACCTTACCCCTCATCTGAAATCTGTCACCCAAACACCAGCCTTGACAATCCTACCAATCCATGGAGAAGCACGGGTTGCACTGTATTTTTCGGCTCTAACTCCGGCATGACGGCCATGTCGGATTGCTGTGAGCCGTGGATAGCGTGTGGTCGTGGATAAACCCCAATATTTCTGGAATGGGAATCTCTGCCCTCAACAACGACAGACCCAGATTTCAACAGCAAGAATACGCAAGCTCAGGCATCCTGAAACATTCATCGAAAGCACTATTCTATCACTAGACCATTTTTGAAAAAAATCTGACTGAACCTATCCCGCTTCGTTCATTCATCATGGTTCAGAACGATAGTGTGCCGCATTGCACAACCAACGGCAACTCCCTAGGAGACCTGCAGTAAGTTCTACACTACATTCACCACTCACAGGAGTGAATATGCTCATGGAATCTGCGACAGGGAAGAAGTAGACTATACGTGGGCGTCTCCTCTCCTTGAACGGCCTATCGATTCTGATCGCAGAGTTCGGGTCATCTGCGTTGGCGCGGGCTTCAGTGGCATCGGGGCATCAATCCACATGAGAGAGCATGTTCGAGACATTGACTTCCAGATCTACGAAGCTGCAGATGACATCGGCGGAGTGTGGCATCACAATCGATACGCTGGTGCCGCATGCGACATTCCCGCGCACAGCTACCAGTACTCCTTTTGTCAGAATACCCAGTGGTCCGAATTTTATGCGCCCGGCCCAGAGATTCACAGGTACTTGAAGAAGGTTGTCGACCATTACAAATTGCAGAGTCTCATCAAGTTGCGGCACCGAGTCGTCGGAGCCGAATGGTCCCAAGAACGTGGAAAGTGGTCAGTCAGAGTGTTAGACCTGGACAAGAACGAGGAGAAAGTAGACGAGGCCGACTACTTCTTGTATGCCACTGGTCTTCTATCAAAACCCAAATGGCCAACGATTACGGGTAAGCTTGAGCCACATATCCGAATGTCTGCGGACATTGGCAATAAAGGCAAGCTCAGCAGGGCTAATAGATAACGAAAGGTCGAGATAAGTACAAGGGCATTCTGCATCACTCTGCAGCTTGGGATGCCGCCAAGGAAGAAGCCCAGGAGGGATTCTCGTGGAAAGACAAAAGAGTGGCCGTCATTGGTGTGGTAAGTAACAAGCCCAGTCCCATTAAGCTGTTTTCAGTCTGAATTCCGTGTTTCTCTAGGGATCTAGTGCAATTCAGATCATGCCACAGATGCAAAAGAAAGCAAAACATGTTACGAACTTTGTAAGGAGTCGAAGTACGTATGCCATTTTCCTATAAGATACCGTAGATAAGCTAATCAATAGTCGTCATCAGCTTGGGTCTCTTCCACGTTTGCCTCAGCCTTCCTTGAGCGCCTCAACGAGGGTGCAGGTGCTAGTAACCGTGAATTCACTCCTTCCAAAGCCTAGCACGCTTACGGTTTCTGATGCTAGAATTCTATTCAGATGTATTCTCTCCCGAGGAAAAGAAGAGCTTTACAAACGAGGAGTTATACTCTAAGTTCCGTCGAGAGTTGGAGAGAGGCCTCAACGCCGTACACAAGATTACCGAGCAAGGCCAACCTTTGCAGCTAGAAGCCCGGAGGATCATCGAGGCTAAGATGATGGAGAAGCTTGCGTGCAAGCCTGAAATCGCTGAGAAGCTTATACCTGACTTTCCAGTTGCTTGCAAACGACTAACGCCGGGACCGGGTAAGTTTACCAGATCTTGGTTTGCACAACTCCTCCAATCCTTTCTGTGTCAAAATGACGTTTGACTGAAATGAAGATTCTGTTAGGTTACTTGGAGAGTCTGACAGCAGACAATGTCGAGTTCTGTTCTCAAGACCTGGCATCGTTCACTGAGAAGGGTGTCGTGACAGCTGACGGCCGCGAACTCGAATTTGACGCGATCATTTGCGCCACTGGCTTTGTGAGCTACCTTCGTTACCGAATGCCTTACTCCAGGGTTAACGCACATAATCAGGACGTCTCTGCCGTACCTAGCTTCCCGATCTGTGGATCTGGCGGCATCAATCTGCAAGACCTGTGGGCCACAGATGTCAAACAGTACTTGGCTGTTTGTGTCCCTCAGATGCCTAACTTGTACGTAACTATGGAGCGTCCTGTGCCCTTAAAAGTTCGCGTCCGCTTATATTTTCTTAACAGTTTCCCAATCCTAAGCGCTCAGTCTGGCGTTGGTTCAGGATCCTTGCTCATCTTGATGGAACAACAAATCGCATACGTCACGAAGTGCATTAAAAAATGCATCCGTGAAGGGTACAAGAGCATTGTTGTGAAGGACGAGGCTGTGGAATCTTTCCTCCAGTACGCAGATAACTACTTCGACAGGACTGTATACACCGGTAAGTTTCCTTAGTCTTCTATCCGAGGATGGTTATTCCCCGGCTTTTCAACTTGCGCGACACAAGCTGACACCTGACACCTCTGTGTTCCCCAACTTATAGGTAATTGTAAATCATGGTACAAGAATGGGGCTTCGGGCAAGGCCAAGATCCGAACCCTGTGGCCTGGTTCTTGTCTACACGGATACACCGCTCTGGGTCACCCTCGATGGGAAGATTTTGAATACGAGAGAGCCAAAGACTATGATCATCGAATGGCATGGCTTGGCAACGGAGATGTCCGACCGGACCTTGATCGAGTATTCTATCTAGACGAGATTTGGGCGATGCACAAGGTTTGTTCACAACAGGTTTTGACACATTTACTACCCCATTCTTTACTGACTATGACGATGGTAGGATCATCCAATGTTCAATGATTGAAGATTCGGGGAGGCATATAATGCGGGGACTCACCCGCATTTGCCCGCATCTAGGCATGTGTCAAACAAAGTAGAGTTTGCCGGTGGACTTAAGGTTGTTTCATGACAGGTTCCAGGATAAACATGGAGACAGAAATACTTCCGGGGAAACATAAAGTTGCGTTCATTACCTTCAGCAGGAAAGTTTCGTCTGCGGTTCCGTTTAGGTACACGCGGGCGTTCTTGGATTCCACGGGGTTAATTATGCCGCTCAGGGTGACAAATTATTGTTTATCGACAACGAAAATAGCAATCAAAACATCCTAGATCGAACCCTTTGGGCTAAAACATAATGTAGCTCAACGTAACAGAGACTCGGGAATATTTGAGTGAAGAGGTGTGATCCTTCAGCAGTTTTCCATATTGCGACTTCAGCCTCCGACCGTTCCCGAACTTGGGCTCTAGTACTCCACGGTCCACTCGTCCTTATTCTTCAGCGATCTATGCCAAATCAAGCTTTGACACATTCAATGACCTGCATCTTCATTTCCAGGCCATGTATCTTCTCGATCTTGAGCCTAGACCTAGCAACAAGTACTTTCCAGTCTTTGGCCGTCCGTTCCTTTCCCCCAATTCCGAGCATGCTGAAGTCGGTCATGGCGCCAATAGGCGGGGGCGGGCTCGGAAGGACGTATTCAACAATGAGTACCTTGCTGTCCGAACTCATGGCATCCGATAACTGCGTGAGCATCGTGGCGCAGTCATCGTCTCCATAGTCGTGCAGACATCGCCGGATCCAATAAATCAGTGCGTCTGCATGTGTCAGCTGATCTTCAAGGACACCTGAGAGATTCGAAAGCATGTAAACGTACTTTTGACGGGTTGCGCTTTGTGGAAATCGTGTACTTGCAGCTGTACTCCATCGAGCCCGGGATCTTTGAGTTCGGCAACCTGTTCAATCACCTCATCTCGATCCTGGAGAATGATGCGATCGGCTGGAATGAAAGGGTTCTCCTTCATGATTGCCTTGATAGTATGGCCCTTGCTGCCACCCACATCCACAAGAATCGGCCTGTCGTGCTGCTCAGAGAGCTTCGTCTCCACCCAGCCAAAGTCATAGATACCAGCTAAAGGAATGAACTGCTGCGTCATCTCCATAACTTCCATAAACCTTTTCACCTGCGCAGGGTTCTCTTGGTGAATTTCCCAGACTTCCTTTTCGGGCTGACCATGAGAAAAGGCATAAGGCGTATGGCGGCGAGTAGCCGGCTCGCGGCGGCCGTACTCTTCGAAGTACTTTGGGAGCCCCATAGCCGTGACTACATGCTCCTCGAACCTAGCAGACATGTTAGGTGATTGGACGAGGAGGTGACTCTCTTTCAGCCTCACATCATGTGTAGAAAGACCTCATTGGGCATCCCAGGAAGATATTGGCGCGACTTGTCTGTATGTGCAATCTTGTCTCCGTCAATCTGACGCAATAGTCCACCAGAAACAAGGACCCAAGCTAGCCTTCCTTTTCCCGATGTCAATATGGACGTTTATCGACAGCTTTAGTATGGAGCTGAGCGAGCAGGCTGCAGACTTACGAACAAGAGGCTCATCCGCTGACAACTTATCGGCCAGCTCAGCATATTTGATAGAGCCTTCCGATGGAATCATTTCCAAGGCGTTCCAGTCAAGGAATAACTTCAGTCCAGTCAGTTCCATGACCTTGATCATCCAGTCCATCCAGTCCGGCGTCGGTCCTCGCGTTGCAGTAAGGATCTTTTGTGCGATGCTGACAGTAGCGCTGTTCTTTTCAACATCGCTAGAAGTCGAAGTCGCCAGCTGCGAAAGCTGAGATGCCAGTGTGGCGAGGATCTCGGAGGATTCGCTCATGGCTGAGTCTCTGGTGGAGGTGATGAATTTTAGTCACTGCAATGGGGATTTGAAAGGATTGACAGGTTTTGATGGCGGGAGCAGAATGAAGCTCAATAAAATCTTGTTTCAATATATATATATATATATGTTCTCCATTGCAAAGTTGGCATCGCAATCTAAGGTCCGGCTTACATCTAGCGGGGATGAATTCACCGAACGAAATCACCGAGGACCGGGTGGGTCTCGATTGGCCGATATGTGCCCCGCTTTGCCGTTCTCCCCGCGCCGATAGCGGGGCCGAATCCTTCGGCCCTCTCGCAGGGGGCTCGCAGCCCTATTGGATTTGAGAAAAACCCGGCCAACCCCCGAAAAGACCGTAGGGCCTCCCCGGAGATTTCCAGCCGTCTTTGTCAGTCGAGACCCTCAGCCTCGTTAGCTCCAGTCAGCTGAACTACGAATCGCATTCTGCGGAGGGTTGTCACATGAGCTTACTCAGTCATTTCGTCCCATTCTTTGGCCGCCTTTGCCGCAATTCCGGTGCGGCGAATAATCGCACTCGCATCGGCATCAAGCTCTCGACTCGATGTAGGTAGAGACATGACCTGAGAACGGCACTACCACGGCTCTGTCTGACAGTCTTCTCGAACAATTCCCGCATTCCATTCTGTGCAGCGACCCTGAAAGGAACGGATAGGCCGTGTTCCCGCGCAGTCTGCAACTCAACACCAAACCCCAAAGCCGCGTTTGCCCATTTGCAAAACCCCCTTTTGCCTCTTGTTCCGCTTCCAGTTGACTCATGAATTGCCTGAAGAGGGAAATGGGTGGGCAAAGGAGGCGACGCATAGTCCATCATGCAGGGTCATTGGGCGACAGAGACCGACGGGACCAATCTGTCTCTGTCTTGGCAGTCTCTGCTCTGGTCTTCCGGCTTTCCTGTCGTGTTCCGGTTCGATGTTTGTCAATGAACGGAGGGGCCTTGCGTCGCCGAATATGGGTGGCAGCCGATCATCCGTCACGCCGTACCAGCTGATTAGGTCGTCTGGGACTAAGACACACGCCAAAACCGGCGACGACATCATCGCCTCCCCAGTTGCACGAGGTATCAATGGCCAAGACGATGCCGCGTATTCCCCAGATCAAGAATCTGAGAGTCAAGAGAGGCAATATCCCGGTGGTGACACAGATGCCATATTGACCTTCGTTTTCGTGGGGATCGGTAGTTTTGTCATACATCTTACCCCGTTTCCCTAGTGCTAAGGTTAAACCTATTGCCATTTTGGCACAGAGCCGTGAGCCGTGAGCCGTCAACTATTACTTAGTGCTTGGCCTCTGCGTAACCCTTGCGGCGATCTAGAGCCTGACCCCGTTTGAACCTGTTTGGAGGCCACCCCGGTTACACGAAACCCACCAGCCTGGAGAGAGTTTCTCCTCTACATTACCCGAATAGGAAACCCATACATTGGCACTCGAGTCTTTCGCTGGTTTGTGCGCGGGAGGCTGGGTGATGGACTCTGGGGTGATGAATTGTTTGCTGCATTTGATTGCCCAGATCGTCGGCAACTCCCTGTAAGCCACCGGCGAATGACAGATGTCGTCGCGCCTGAAGTTCTTTGACTCTCTGACTCGAAGCAGTGGTGAAGGGGTGTGGTGGTGCATACCAACCCCAAAGCGGCAAGATGGTGAGAAGAAGACAGAGCCTCAACCCTGCGGTCTTCCCCCATCGCCACACAATGTCCGGAGGGAGGTCCTTGGCATAGGGATCTCAACGTCTCCAAACGTCTCACGATTTTCTTGAACAAACGTTGCCGCTCAGACATGGGGGCTCCCTGCACTTGTCCAAAAGGGTAGCTGCAGTCGACCTTGTGAGACGACTTACACGGCCGAGTTTCGTTTCATCTGAACTCCAACGCTCGCAAGCGCACACAACTGACTATTTCCCTCCCCACACCAACGGCTCACATAACACAAATTCACACACACCTTGACATGGCGCAATCCTGGATTCGTCAATACGCACTGGTAGGGGGCGACATAATTGCCAATAAGCCATGGAAGTTAGTGCTGCTCCCCTCAACTCAACAACGACAGCCAAGAAGCTGCAGCTGAACTGGACGTGAAGACTGGGCCCAACGTAGCACGTAATCCGTGCCCTCCTCCACCATAGAAACAAGGGAGGGCTCTCGAACACCTTGAGACGTCCGAAGAAACTGCCCGCAAGCCGTCGTGCCGTCGGTCTGGTGCGATAATTATATCCACACCTCTATGGTTTCTATCGTCTCAGGCTTCGGGGGCTGTGCGTACATTGGGCCTATCTTGGTACAGGGGACTTAGAGTTGCTGCCGAGGTGAACTCACGAGATGCTGCTTCACTGCTTGCCCGTGGCACATGAGGTCAGCGCGCAGCCATCCGGTCACTCATATATCAGCTCGATGGTTCCCGGCTCACAATCGGGGATGAAAAAGCATCCTCATCCATCAAACCTTGTCAGCACAGACTTTTCCAACGCTCTTACTTATATACTCCCGGGTTGGAGACCTGCTATTGCTCGTTACCTTATTCTCTAATTATCCCTCGACACCATCACAGATCACTCTGGCTAGTGACTTATCATCAAAATGCAACTGACCAAGACTCTTCTCTTCGCCCTCGTCGGCACCGCCTTCGCCTCCCCCATCGAGAAGCGCCAACTCTCCGTCATCCAGGGCGCCGTCACCTCCGTCCAGGGAGCTCTCACCAAGCTCAACACCGCTGTCCAGGTACGTCGGTCCGAACGTCGGGCATACGGTACCGTTGGGAAGTCTCGGCCTCGACGCGGTGCAGAGATGGGATATGCAGGAACTATGGTACATCGGACTTGACTAACATGCATTCGTCAGGGCGTTGGTAACGATGTTGCATCCGCACAACCCATTCTGGCTGCTTCCACTGAGGTCCAGAACACCCTGTCAAAGGCCGCCACCGATATCCAGGGTGCTCAGCCTCTTCAGCTCCAGGAGGCTCTCGGCCTTCAGCAGACCGCCACCGATCTCACCTCGTCCGCAACTACCTTGATTGACACTCTCGTCTCCAAGAAGTCCAACTTCGACCAGATCGGTGTTTCCAGCGTCGTCCTCCAGAACCTCCAGCAACAGAAGACCGCCTCCGCCAGCCTCGGAACCGCCATCGTCTCCAAGGTCCCCGCTATCGGCCAGGGCATCGCACAGCAGAGCATTGACCAGATCACTGCCGCCCTCGACAAGGGCATCCAGGCCTACTCCGCTGGTGGTGCCGCTCCCGCTGGTGGTGCGTAGAGCACCCCCCCTCCGTCGCGCGCCGTCCCCCGCGCCTCCCCCGTTTCCGTCCGTCCGTCCGAGAATATAAACATAATCGAATACTAACAATGGTACTCTTGCTCTTCAGCCAAACCTGCAACGAACACCACCGCTCCCCCTGCTGCTGCTCCCGCTAAACCCAAGACTCCTGCTGCTGCCCCTGCTGCCCCGAAGACACCTGCCGCTGCTCCCAAGGCCCCCGCTGGGGGTATTGAGGGTCTGCTCGGTGGTCTTCTTGGCGGCGCGGGTGGTGCTGGCGGTGCCAACGGCGCCGGAGGCTTGGGTGCCCTCCTCGGAGGTCTCACGGGAGGTGCAGCTGGCGGTGCGGCGGGCGCTGGTGGCGCTGGAGGAATTGGTGCTCTTCTCGGTGGTCTTACTGGTGGCGCGGCTGGAGGAGCGACTGGCGCAAAGGCGAACGTGGTCGATGTTGCAGAAGACGCAGCAGAGGAGGACGAGGAATAAAGTACAGACCGGGATACTCCTTACAGCTTGTTTAGCCTGTAGCAAATCATCATTGAGGCTTTCTTTCTACATTATGGTCGTTGATCAAGCTGTGCCTTGTGAATCTCATGATCGTGACACTTAGTTCACATCCAAGGTATCTCCCTGCACGCTCCAGGACTGATCGCGATAGCTGCGCTTATCTAGTGTACTCTCCAACGTGATAGTCTTATGTATCGCAACACCTAAACAATCCACGTTTTGTGGCCACCAAGGTATTTGGTATTATGTCAGGGTTCTTATCTCGCTTACTATCCGAACAAAGAAACTTCAACAGCTTCATTTGTAGTGGATAAAGGCTGGCATCCAGGGCAGTCTTAGATACCTGACGTGGGCAGAGCATTGCCAGATTCCCTGGATTTGAGTAGTTGATGAAACATATCTAGCGTCGATCTTACGAGAGACCCAGCCGTAAAACCACACCTCATAGCGGCACAGCCAGGTTTCGTAGATCTCTCCACTTGATTCTGGTTTACGTTCCTTGACAAGAGGAAATCATACCACGCAAGCCTGCCAGGTTCCGGGCCCCCGCGTATTGGTGCACTTGGCGAAACCTTACTTACGCTTGTCGATAGCCTATAGGGCTGTCATGCGCGGCAGGCGAGTCACCCTTTTGAGCTTTTATCTTGTGATGCCGCGGCGGCCGATGGGGATTTGATCACCCACCCTTGACAGCCCAAAACAATTGTTGAAAATTCTGCACAGCAATAACTCGCCATGTCATGATAACTAAGATGTTATGCCGTTCGTCTTCCCCGCATAGCATTATCGTGACAGAACTTTCCCCGCGTAGGATCAAACCCTATTGTTAACAATTCCCTTCTCCATTAACCATAATGTTACTGCCTGCATCTGCAACGACGTTCCCCAGAAGACATGACAGCCGGTCGACCGCGCGCTAGGCATTGAAGAAGGCGTGTCTGTCCAAATCTGGTCAGCGCTTCGGAGGATTAGCGACGCTCCCATGATCCCTGCCAGCTCCATGCCACATGGATGACCTTGAACCAGATATTGACAGGGCGGGAGGGCCAGGGCCCCCAGTTAACCGGGACACGACTCTGGGACTCGGAACCGCTGATCTGTTGAGCCAATCGCATCTCGATTCCGGACTCTAAAAATCGCGTCTCGTCTTCCTCGCGTTCCTACTTCATATCAGCCAACTAGACCACTTTCGACAACCGCAGAGAGTAGTGTTTGATCCCCACGATCAACATCATGGAGTTGGTTAGTTCTTTGGAGGCTCAGCTGTTCCGGCGATCGAGTCCTACGGCGCGCAAGTATAGGCATGAACTATAGGCATACTATACGGATAGGTATATTTGGAATTCATTAATAAACCCCCAATGTGTGCATACACGGTGAACAGGCACTAGTAGCCGACTTTCACGGTCCCTGAAATCCAAGATTTTTGCGATGTCGTGAGATTCCGCTGTGGCTTTAGGATGAGCATCGGGTCTCGTTGGTTTTGGCATTGTGACTCGCTGGAGTCCATCAAAACGTTTGAGAGTCCAGCAAATCACAAAATGTGAATAGTTCAAGTTGACTGTGATTCGGACTGTGCGACTCTTCAGGACTTGTAATTAAGAGGTCCAAAATGCCTCATTGCCTCGTAACCTTCAACTCTGCTGCCTTGGTCACGAGCAGTTGTATGGACACACATTCTCTCTCTTTATCTCGCCTACACACCATGGTTCAAGTGCAAATAATCTCCTCATCAGAAATGAAATGTGAACCTCCCGCACACCGGAAACCAGCACTCTGCTTGATCCAAGCGAAATTCATGGGACATCGACCCATCATCGCGGCCTTCTTACGCTGCTTCTCTTCTTTCTTTCGACGCTTTTCCTCCTCGATAAGCTCTTTGAGAATTGCCTCCCTAGCAGCACCAACTGCTCTGCGCTTTTTCTCGAGCATGTCTCGATACTTGGCATATTTTTCCTCTTGGGCCTTCTTGTCCTTCTCCAATTGTTCCCAGACTTCATCACTGACACCAGCGTCGCGTGTTGCTTTCCAGCTCCCGTCACTGACCTCCGCCACCGGGCTCTCAGGAGGTGTGGGTTCTGCTTCCGCGTCTGTGGCCTCAGCCGTAGTTTGTGCATGTGCCACTGTTTGCATGCTCCGTGTTTGAGGAGGGAGTGGCATCTGCTGGAAGACTGGCGCGAGCTTGGGCATGCCACGAATGGTCTCCGCCTGCTGTCCCCGGCTCTCGCGCTCATCAAGCATCCTGAGAAATTCCTTCTTCACGAGGTCTTCGTCGATCATTACCTGTCCGTCGCGACAACACTTGATCGCGATGCTGAAAATTGATTTGGCGAGGCTTTCAACATCTCGAGCGCTGGCCCAGCCGACGGTTGTAGTGAGCGCGTGAAACATGCCGATGACTTCCCTTTGGAATTCGGACGATGGGTTTGATAAGCAATCCAAGTCGAGATTGTTAGATGCTTTCTTGCTGTGGAGGATTCTTTTTTGCTTGAGTAGAAGCTGCAGCAGAAGCTCATAGCAACTCTCGGAGCTAAGGCTATGGAAGTCGATGACTTCTGGGAACCGACTTGACATGCCTGGGTTCACTGAAAGCAGTCGATTGATGTCTTCGTCGTAGCCAGCCAAAATTATCACAAGGCGGTTCTTATACTTGTCCTTCGTCACCGAGTCAACAACCTCATCAATCGCTTCTTTGGCATACTGTCCTTCGGCAAGACGATAGGCTTCATCGACGAACAGCACTTTCCCGAGAGCCTTATCCAGGAGTTGTTGCACTTTGGGGCCAGTATGGCCGACGCATTGGCCGATAAGATCGGATGCAGAGCAGTCAATAACTTCTGCCTTGGCCAAGAATCCCATGTCGTAAAAGACTTTGCCCATCTTTCTCGCTGTCGAGGTCTTGCCCGTGCCAGGGGGGCCGCGGAAGAGGAAGTTGAAAGGAATACTCTCCTTTGGGTCCATATCCAGTGCCTTCATAGAACGTACAGTCTCCTGGTATCCCTCGAGCGTAGCGACAATCTTCTCGCAACCAACGGTCGCCTCGAAGAGTTTGGCAACATTGGTCTCGTTCCGTTCCGCGCGATCAAAGTCTTGGTCAAAGTCTAGAGCTTCGAGCGTGGAGACTTGATGACTTTCCTTAGCGGATAATCGTCGCTGATGACGTGCCTTTGCGCCGTTTAGTAGATTGTCTACTTCTCCGGCGTTGCCAAAGTTTGGTCGATTGCGCGCCCTTTCGAGCATCTCTGAAGCGACTTGCTTGGCTTGGTCTGTAGCAGAGAAACCCTGTAATTTGAGTTTGAGGTTCAGGATTTGATGCATCTCTTCTTTGTCGAAGTCTTCAAAGACGAAAGCGGAAGACAATGGAAACCGTCGGCTCAGGCCCGGATTGACATTCTGGAACATATCCTCCATATGGTCCTTGTAACCCAGGAGGAGCACGCATCGATCTTCTCCTGGAACGCTTTGGACCTCGGCAACAATGGTATCTACGACAGCAGTCTTGTAGGGATCAGAACTGCCCCCAGATGAGCTACTGCCACCATAGAGTCCGTAAGCCTCATCGATGACGAGAACCTTCCCGACGGTCGACGCCAGTATGCCCTTGGTCTGGGCCTCGGAGGCTCCCAGGACAGCACCTACGAAGTCTGTAGGGTTTTTGACGATCACTATAAAGCATTAGCACTATCACAATCGTAGCCAGGTGCGCCGGCTTACCCTCTCCATTAGATAAGAGACCTAGATCAACGAGGATCTGAGCGTAAAGCTTCGCCACGGTGGTCTTCCCCGTTCCCGGCGAGCCGAGGAAGACTTTGTTGAGCGAGTACTCGATGATGGGTTCCTCTGCCAGCTCGCGGACGTAATTTGTCTGGATGCTATCGATCAAGGCTCGGACTGATTCTTTGACTGAACCAAGTCCAATCAGTGTCTGCAATTTACTCCAAGCTTTACTGTGCCCAAGGGCAGCTGAAGGTTCCGGCCCAACTAAATCCTCCATCGTGAAAAGGAGATCATCTGGGCTTGCCCCACCTTGAAGAACCTTTCGAATTCGATTCGCCTGCCGATTAGACACGTTGGAAAGAAGATTCTCGACTGCTCGTGCGTTGCCAAATCCCTCCTTTCCGCGCCCTCGACCAAGCCTACGACATGCGACGCGGAGGTGGAGGTCATCTTCCCACTTCATGCGGCCTCCATACTTCTTGTCCAACTGGTACTGAAGGATCTTCAGAAGCTCGTCGTCGTCGTAGTCTTCAAACTTCATCGTAATCGGGAATCGACTCGGAAATCCAGGGTTGTGCGCAAAGAAGGACTCCATCTGTTTATTGTACCCAGCGAGAACGAAGACAATCTTGCCGGTGTAATTCTCAACTTCCGCGAGCAGGAGATCAAGAATTGCGCGGCCACCGGGACTATTACCTGAGGAGAGTTGGTATGCCTCGTCGATAAAGATCACTCCGCCGCCGTCATTCAAAACGTCATCTAGCAGCTTCTGACAGCCAGACACGCCCAAAGACGCCAACTTCGAACCAGATGTCTCTTCGAAGCGACCGCCGGCTATGACACCCACCGACACCAAGAATTTGGCATAGATCCGTGCTACGGTGGTCTTGCCTGCAATTGGTATGTTAGCTGTCGTATCAGACCAATTTGTGAGGTGACTGAGCCTTGCCTGTTCCAGGGTTTCCCAAGAGAGAACAGCCAAACCTCTCCGTTGACAGTGAAATCTCCTGTCTCACCGCCGTGTCGACTTTAGATTTGATAGAGAGGAAATTCTCTTTGATGCTCTCGAGCCCAATCATCTTCATGAGTTGATCCATTGCATTGCTACTAGCTCCGAATCTCGCCTTTAAGTTTTGCCACTCTTCCTCTGCGCTCCCAACTTTCAGGGACGGACTCGCCGTAGGTTTTTTTTCATCCGGGAAAGCACCCGGAACACTCTTGGGGGGTTCTCGGTTGGCCTTCATTGCCTCAGCACGAGCTCTGGTCTGCCGGAGAGCTTTCAGTTCTTCCAAGCGTTCTTTTAGAGTCTTGCTCCGCTTCAGATCCTCCTGTTCATTCTTTATCAGTCTTCTCTCGCGATCCAAGTCGTCGTCTACCTTTTGTAGGTCTTGAGCGTATTTCTTTTGGGCAAGGTTGCGTTCCATTTCCATCTGTAAGTCGCGTTTCAAGCGCCTTCGAGTATCCTCGTCCTCATTGAAGCATGCAGCACATTTCTGATCCTGGTTGTTGCAGTTTACGCTGTACTCATGCCCCCTGTCGCAGTGCTTTGCGAGCCTTGTATCACAACGAATCTTGCTGTGATCACTGAGTCTATGGCAACGACGCAGGCACTTGTGTATGTTGCAAGACAACATGGCGGTGCTGGTTTCAGTCTCTTAGCGTGGTTCCTCTTGTATTCATGTCATGTTGAGCTTCTTGACGGGACTTACCAAGCCTTGTCACAGCCACCATCAGGGCACTTTGTATCAAAGTCATCCGGATCTTTGAGCAGTGCAGTTCTGTCAGGGTGCTTTTGGCAGCGCATTGCGAAGCCATCGTGTAGATAGTTCTTCTCCTTCAGTAAGCTGAAGAAAGGCAGCCAGACTGCTTTGCCGTGCGAAGATGCCATGAACGTCTCCATATTGCCTATGAGAATGAGGCACTCCCTTGCACGGGAACACAGAACGTTGAGCCGCTCAGGCGCCTTCATGAAGCCGATGTCGCCGTTGTTGTTGCTCCTGGTGAGAGACGCAATGACGATGTCGCTCTCTTCACCCTGATAGTTGTCTGTATAGGTGAGCCGTTAGTCTTGAGGTCTCATTGACCGAAGATTTCTCCAAACTCACCGATGGTTGAGAGTCTGATTCTTCCTGACCCTGATCCGTCTGGTACTTTTCCTGCGGCGGCAGTCATGAGTCCCGCGCGAATCAGCTCAAACGAATCCAAATCGTTGAGCAAGGGGTCGTTCTCGGAACTCAAGATTTCTCTGAGCAGGCGTAGTTGTCCCAGATATGGTGTGAGAATGACCAAGTTTTCCGTGCCGTATCCTTGCTGTCCAATGTACTTTACCAACTTCAGAACCATTCGCGCTTCATAGAGGTTGCTCTTGCTTGAGACGACACCAACATCACGGCGATCGGCGATATTACTAGCCAGGTCCTCTGGATGGCTGTGGTTAATGAAGCTGACTCTTCCTTGAAATCCTTTGGGCGGCTTCCGATCCTTGGTTTTGTCACCGTCCAATAGATCCGGGTATGTCATCTGCCGGACAAGATCCGAGATGTCGGGATGCATACGATGCTGCTTTTGAAGCGTGACGTGGTCGTGTCCCTGGAGAATCAGTCGTTCAAAGAGCGAGCGATTGAGGTCGAAGCCGTCTCCTTTTTCGACACTGAGCGCATAGTTGTTGATTTTGGGCCGCAGTTGCTTATGATCCCCGATTAAGAGGAGCTGCTTCGTGTCGCTGTGCAGAGCAGTCAGAACGTGAGCCTCGAGGATTTCGCCAGCCTCCTCAACCAAAACGACATCGGGCTTGGCAGCCTTAATCAGCGACTTGTACATGGCCGCCGCGGTCGTGGTGCATCCGATGATCTTCTTCGTTTGCATGAAAGAACATTTAGACTCGCTAAATATTCTCTCCACTTGCTCCTGGGCCTCGTTGAACCTCTTGATCAAGTTCTGTACTGATTCAATTCTTTCCTTTCGAATGCAATCAACCCATCGTTGGATATGGACAGATCTCTGGGTCTTTGACAAGTGCCAGATATCCTGGCTTTCGGTCGATACGAAGTGCCGGAGTTCGCCGGCATCTTGTCCCATAATCCAGCGGCCCAGTAGATGGTCGGGGCCCATGACGCCCTTGTCCTTGCCTGCGAGTTGGAACCCTCTCTCTTGCTCGGGTAAGAGAAAAGCTTCGTAGAACGTCTGATCGTCGTCGGAAAATTCAAGGAAGTTCAAGAGCTCTAAGGACCCAACCTTATCCCGGACGAGAAGGGCACATGCCGCCTCAATCTCAATCCGAACTTCATACATCTCTGTTCTCATGCCGTTGATGTGTTCCCATGTTGCATTATTTCGACGGTAAGCATAGCTTCGCAACTGCTTCTCTAACAACAGCCCCGAAGTTGCGTCGGTCGACTTCGATCCTAAGCGAACCATATCGCCAGACGAGATACCAATTTTCATCAAATCTTCGAGGAACTGATCCAGCGCATGATTGGTATAGCTAAGCACTAAAATTCGTTTTTCCGGATCTCCAAGTAGTATCTTTGCTGCCAGAGCGCCAACAAACGATTTGCCGGTTCCTAGAGTCAATAAAGTTAGCCTCAAACACTGTCAACATGCAATTTGTGTATACTTAGTGGACAAGGCTGAAAGTCACGTACCAGGAGGGCCTTGAATAAGTGCTACAGGGCTCTGTAAGGCATGCAGCAATGATTGAACCTGGGAATCATCGAGACGAAAGGTCTGCTTGTCTAATGAAAGGCTACGCGATTCCTCTTTCAGTAGATCTTCTAGTCGCCTGACATATTCTTGCACGTAAGAGGATTGCTGAAGTGAGTCTTGTGGCCGGTTTGTCTCATCAGTAGGAAGCCGCAGAAGGCTCTCTCCAAGTGGTAACTCTGTTACTTCCCGGAGGCAATCCAGAACGGGCTGATATGCAAACACCGGAGTATCTACAAGAATGAATCTCAGGTTGTTTGACGGCTTAAGTGCCTGCAAAGCTCTTGCAGTAGCTTCGCTGCTGGTGAATTGCAGAGTAATGACCGGAGGCTTCTTCAGCAATTGGTCCACGTCCCGTAGCAAGAACGCGAACGCGACAATGTGATCTTCGCCACACAAGGCTCCGAAAGACTGGTGTCGCAGGAAGTTCCTGTTGTCGTCGAAGAAGGCCTTGCACTTGGTCGGTGAAAACTTCTTCATGAACTCCAGTCCCCCGAAGCATGTAAGCGAGACCGCACAAGCACGAGTTCGCCTCTCGTCTCCGGTGTCAATTTCGATGGGCAACAATCCCGAAAGTATTTGGGCCCTCTTCTGGCTCTTCTTCCTTCCAATGGCTATTTTCAAATCATCACGGAGTTCGCCCAGCATGTCTTCACGGAGAAGACGGAACTGGTTATCCAGATGAATTCGCGGTCGCTGGAGGTGATCTGCAGTAGCAACCTCGACTGCCGTTCGGTAGAAAGGCTTTGCATTGGAGTAGAATTCATCACTAGTTGGAAAGATCGAAATATCCCGAAAGTTCGGAAAGTCGTTGTCATGGCGACCACCAGCTGCCTCAAGATTCTCGTCGCCCGAAGGTGACGACCTGAGAGCAAGAACCTTTTTGATTCTGTAGATGAGCTCGCGAGTCCCGTGGTTGTGAGTCTCCTGAAACTGCTTCAGGCTCAAGGTGATGGAGATGTCCTTGACGATATTATCGAGTGCGCTGTCAGGTAGACTAGCAAGCTCGAGGCAGAGCCACGCAAAGACTTGAAGCTCATCTTCGGTGAGTTGCGACTTTCGGAAAACATTCAAGAGGTTTCCCCAAAGGACTGGGGGGTGGGCGATGAGGATTAGGACTTGATGGAGGAGTTTGCCACCATACACCATCTTCGCCCCAGGGTCGCTAAAATAATCGATGAACGGAAAGACGTGTGCTCGTATGAAAGAGATTGACGAATCGATGCGGATGCTGTTGCTAACAGCATTGCGTGCAACTTCGGTAGCCGTGATGATCTCCAGGCAGGCAGCGGGAGAGGCGTTCGTTCGAACAGCCTCGAGGAACAGACGTGCTTCGCCGGCCGTGGAAATTGCTTTGCCGCCTTTGGTGACATCCCTGAAGACCTTCAATAGACGGGAGGCGCGAGCAGGATCAATCTTTGGGGGTGCTGTGACACCATCTTGCTCGAGCAGGGCCATGATTTCGTTCACAAGGAATTGTTGGACAATGTATTGATGACTTTGAGAGCTGTCAATTTCAAATTCTGGGAGAGGTTGATTTTTTGCAGCGACAAAACGCGGTTTCTGGCAAAGGATGACTCGCTCTCGATCTCAGTGCGGTTACCCAGCCGAAGTACATTAGCCAAGAAGTTGTCACATGCCACGGTTAGCCTAAGCATCAGTGGGCAAAGTTAGGCTTCGATGCTTTCTGTTGGGAGCGAACGTGTTGGGAACGTAAAAGAACAACGAAGTAGAAATACCACCAAAAGTAGGCGTTCGCCTTGACTGGGTGGTGAAGTGAGGGGTTGTAGGCCTCCGGCATGAAGGCTGCAAGAGGTCGCCTCACAACTTGATGACTGGTTCGCCGCCAACGGACCAGGCCGATTTTGAACAAGGTTCAAATATGGGAACAATCTCCAACCATTTCGCGGTTCTTGATTTCTTCGGCATGGTTGTCCAATTCCCCAAGTCTTCAGAGCCCTCATTCCTGCATCATGTACCGACGACAAAAGTATGAAGAATTTCAAAGAAATCCGCGTTGGCGACGATCAAAACCTGCGGCGGCATCGCCGGTGCCGCCATTCGGACCACTTGTAGAGACGATCAGCGTAGCAGATTTATCGAAATCCGCTCTGGGCTTAGAATCGTCTGCTCGAGTGACAGATTGCCAGCTCGTCGCGTCATACAACTGGCTGGACAGAACAACACCTTCAATTATAGTCCCAGGTACGTGATGCCCCTTCGCCCGCTTCAAGGCATGATACTCACTAAGCCAGGTGCTCCGCCCAGATGGACACCCCTCGCAGAACCTCGACAACTGTCAGAAGACGATGGTATCTACTATCGGGACAAGAACGCTGCTCGATACCCCGCTCATCCGATGGAGCCTGCCATCAAAGCTGTTCTGAAGGGGCACCCAGAGCCATCGCCCAGACCAGTTGACGTCGTTGCCTGTGGCAGTACCATTGGAAACTTGCTTCGCTTCATCCGGGGCGACGAGAAACCCTTCCGGATGCTTCTCGAGGTGGTTGGTAATGCCGTTCACCTGATCCGAAGGGAGAATTCTCCCAAAGAGACGATGTCCGATGTCAGAGGCTATGGACACAAGTTCCCAGAGGCTTACACCACTTGGGATCATGAAGTCCGTGGTTCAGCATCACACCAGCGCGTCATTCAATACGACTTTGGGGGTCTTCATTGCATTGTTCGTCACGAGGGTGATGGCTACCTCAAACATAAACAAGACCCCTCTACGAACCAGCCCAGCCCTGCCTTTGTCGAAAAGCTTTCAGTCGACAGTCTGATTGAAGATCTCAATGTCAAGGAGATGACACCAAAGAGCCCGCAGGACTCACATCAGCAAATACAGTTGAAGAGTGGCGGCTTTGACGTGTCTCAATCTGCAGTCTTCGATCTCAAGACCCGGTCGGTTAAGCGCAAAGGCACTGACTTCCTTGGCGAGGAAATCCCGCGTCTATGGATTGCCCAGATTCCCAACTTCATTCTGGCATATCATGATAGAGGCACATTCAAGGATATTGAGGTCATGGATGTAGCCCAGGAGGTCAAAGCCTGGGAGACATCGAAGAACCGGGAGCTCTCGAAACTAGCGGCACTCCTACATCATCTTGTTCGCCTTGCTCGTGCGCGAAGGGACGACAGGCTCGAGATCGGCCGCCAACAGCTTGACAAGCTCGAGATTCGGAGGCAATGCTCTGGACTAGCCCCAGCATTCTCAAGTGAGGTCAATGAAGAATGGAGTATATGGCTTGCGAGTAATGTACAGTATGGGCCGAGTGCGGATGATGAGGATGGACTCCAGTGGAGCGATGGCGACGGTGACTATACAGCCTGTTCCGAGAGCTGTTCATACTGTGGAAAGTGCACGTATTGAGAGTAGCATACTCTTTCAAGCGGCTTATATGATGCCTCTTGTAGTTCCCGTCGGGCTTGCTGCGGTAAATTGAAGATCTGTGGAATTCGATGGGTGTCTCCTTGTGCCTAGAATGTCTAGTCCTTGCTGCGAGCTTCTTTGGAATGAGTCCACGCGGTGTTGGTGTTTCAGCGGGTGAGGTTGATCACCTCGGTTCTTGGCATTCAACGAAAACGCGAGCGCCTGAACAAAAAGGTAGAAATCAGCTAGATACCTCGTGTGTGAGTCACATCAACCCAGTAACTGGCGGCAGACTCCGATACCCAATCCTATTACCTTACTCTACGGTGCCCTTGCCAATGGTTGTAAGCACTGCTATATAGACTGAACTCTAATCGGGTGGTTCTCCAGGCCGCCAGTTGCCTCGCTAAATTCTACGCCTTGATAATCCGATGTGGTCATTCTGAGCGTTCATATAGGTAGTGAGTAATACCTACCCTCTGTCTCTTTATTTTGCTTTCTACAGAGAATTAGGTCTAACCACTATCTCTCGAAAAACCGTAGACAATCTGGCTAACGGCACCACCACCACCAGCAGAAAGGTGGCTAAAACCACGAACCCTCCACAAAGTATCACGATATGCATATACTGTGGTTCGTCCACCGGCAATGACCCTGCCCACTTGCAGGCTGCACGAGATTTGGCGCGACTGATGGCTGCCAGAGGTATCAAGTTAGGTCAGTTCACATCTTTCAGCCGAAGTTTGGTCCACGGTTTCTGATCATCGCAACAGTCTATGGTGGCGGAACAGTTGGGCTCATGGGGGAATTGGCCAAGACCCTGGTCTCACTATCAGGCCCCGACTCAGTACACGGCATCATTCCCGAAGCACTGGTCAAGTTTGAAAGGGACAATACCTACAGCAGCATGACTTCGGGTAACATGCCAATCCCGGAGGAGGCAACTTACGGTCGCACAACCATCGTCAAAGACATGCATGCTCGCAAGCGCATGATGGCGGAAGAGGAGATTGCTGGAGGTCCCGGGTCTGGCTTTATAGTTCTTGCGGGCGGCTATGACACTATCGAAGAGATCCTAGAAGTTGCCACGTGGGTTCAGCTTGGGATCCATCAGCGTGGCGTTTGCCTGCTCAACATCAACGGCTTCTGGGATGGAGTACTGGGCTGGATTCGTCGAGCCGCCGAGGAGAATTTCATTCGCCCAGCCAATGCGGGGATTGTGGTGGGAGCAAATACCCCGGTTGAGGCTATAGACAAGCTTGCCGCATATGAGGTCCCTGATTCCATTCTACATTTCGAATGGGATGGGATCTGAGCTCCGTGTTCTAAGGCAGAGTCTGTAGGTTTGGCTTGCCTGTAGTGTAAGATAGAACAGTACCTAGACCACGACGATTTCGCCTCTCCATCTCATGAATCTCACGTAGTAACTGTTTTCACGACTCTTGGATATCGAAATGATCATCGTATGCAGGCGATACGTAGGCCATCTTGGTCCGTAACGCTGCTGAGAAACCGTGCACCTATCCGCCAGTGCCTACAACAGGTCGACTTGATCTTGTGGAAACCTCAGACTAGCTGCCTCAATTAGCACAGATCTCGACTGTTTTCAGAAGTTTTGCTGATTTGGCCGCTCGTACGCGATTGGTGTTTCTGCCCCAGGTATCAGTCATGCCGTCCGTAATCACCCGATGCTGTTCGATATCCCCCGATTTCGGTGTTTGAAAATTTCACTCGGTATTTGAGTCTACGATTGGTTTTCAGGAGTTGCGAGTCGGTGCTTTGTTCACCTGAATACAGAGTTCGTTCCTGAGGACTTCCCTTGAATTGTCGACATCTGAACTTTTGTCGAAGTTGAGTGAGTTCGGATATGTCTGGCGACGTCCGTCTTAGAGTTGCCGGGACGTGCATTTCCTAGCGCCGCCACTCTCCACAAGGTTACTCAAGCTTCATCAAACCCCACAGCTTTGGGATGGCCGCCTCTTACACGCCTCTTTAAGGCGTGTAGTTGGGATGAATCTGGATAAGTGGTTGACAAAGTGATCCAAAGCTCGAGGCATCTATACGTTTTCGCTTCGTTCCTTTCCATTGAGACCATTGTCACTATCATCGCCACTGTCACTGTCATCTCCATTAATCTTACTCCTCTTAGCTGCCTTTCTGAGTATAATCTCTGATGAAAAAACTCCAGAACATGTAGAATGCTGGTAATAGATCATAGAGATAATGGCAAAAATGATAACAAAGCTAGTGGTGATATGGTCGGCAGGTTATTTTGCTACCGGCGAATTAGGCTTATGTACATAGATCTCGGCCGCTGAGAGACGTCCTGGTACTGAGAACCTCGAAGCAGTCCACCTGCATGAAGGTTTAGGAAGTTGGAAATGGAGCAAATAGCGAGGAGTTTCGAGATCAAGAACGTGACTTAAATCTTTACCTAATCGAATATGCTTGTTAAAAAGATCTTTCCAAACAGATCTTCGCCAGGAGATTCAACAACTCTCCTAATCAGGTTGCCTCTATTGGCGCCGAGCCATCCTCCAGTATCGCCAACCAGCTCTTCAACAGCCGGCTCGTCAGCTTCAATGCTTAGCCCGACTGCCTTCTTGAAGCCCCTGCGATCAACCACGCACATGCCACGAGTCCATTGGCCCGACGTTTCGACACGAATATCCTCTAGCTCCGGAGATGTCCTCAAGCCGGGATCCTCCTGCGTGATTACGTACCATATGGTCATGGGATTGTGGAGCTGGAGTTCCGCCTCCGTAGTACTGCCGGGCGGCTTGAGCGATTCAATCTTGGCAAAGGTACGGGACATGAAGTGGCCCGTCCACTGGGCCAGGGGGGCTCCCCGCCTCCTCTAGTGGCTTCGCCTTTTCGGTGAATGGGCCCTTGAATAGTCGATGAGGGGTCGTGATGTCCAGCGGAAACAGGGTCAGCTTGAGCTTCCTGGAGAGATAATCTGGGTACGGTGGGAGAGTGCTGGCTGCCGTGGTTACGGGCATTGATGTGTACGGACGAGGAGATGTGAGTGCGAATACCCGGGCTGCCGCAACTGGGTCGGCGTAAATGTTGAACTCGCCGTTTGGGGTGATGCTTCCTGGCAAGTCGATGGTGCCTCCCATAGCAATGACTTCTTTGACGCGTAGAAAAATAACAGGGTCCTCTGCAGCTGCCAAGGCCAGATTGGTTAGGGGGCCGACAGCGACGATGGTGATGGTATCGACAGGACTCTCGCGCAACAGGCGGAGGATCTCCTGGTGAGCCGCCGCCTTAGAAGGGGTAAACAGAGCAGACGTAGATCTCTCGCCATGACCCTCGCGGAAGGCAGCTCCCCATGCTGCCTCGGGACTCAGATGCGGATGCTCGTCGTGGACCCCGTGCAGACCGTCGTAACCATCTGCGTCCAGTCAGCAGAGCACCGTCCATGGAGTAGTAGACAACTTACGGAAATGGTCGGCGGCTAACTCATCTTCCTCTAGGGGATGATCTGCGCCCACGGCGACAAGCGGTTTCGAGGCTCTCAGTGTATCGAATCCCAGCGCCTTCCCATGAGCCTCCCGCCAGGCGAACTCCTTCTCCAGGACATTGAACATGGCGACAATGTTGCGGAGACGTCTTTGAATGATCTGTTAGACTCAAACCAAGTAGGCAATTCCAAGCCTTCTCCTTAGACGTAACATGCCTCTGTACTGGAACGTTGCCGAACGTTACAGAAAGTAGCAGGACTTCGACATCAGCGGGAGATGATGACAGCGCCAGCAGAATCGCAAGGATTTCATCCACTCCTGTGCTCGAGAAGCGGTCAGTACACGTATAATGTCTCCAGTTGCTCCTGTAGTCAGGAAGCCACGCGACGTACCTGGATCAGTGTCGATAATGATGCGTGGTCAAGAACCGAGTTCTGTTGCTTCAATAGGTAAGGTAGGAGAGAGAACCAGGCTTCCTGGAAAAGGGAGACTCAATAAACACCGCCTTAGCGACAAGATACACGCGGTTGACAGCACATTCAACGTGCAGAAGACTCGGGGTAGCCCGCTTGTGTTATATCAATATACCTTAGATACTAAAGAGGCTAGTAGGCCCGGAGATCTGTGCGAGTCTCCCATCTCTCAGGTGGCGGACCTAGCCGATGGCATGAATATCTCCTTCCGGGCTCTGCCGCCTTGCCTGTCGGCTGGTCGGCTTGGCGGATCAACCCAGCTGGACGATGGGATCGGTGTGCCGGTATTCATGTCCCGCAACAAGTAGTAAGGGTGCTCTCTGGCATTCGTCTCTGCTAGGCCCTATCTTGCAATGATACTCCAACGCTCAAAGTCTGATAGCCAAATGATAGGATACTGCCAAAAGCCAAAGGCTTCAGGTGAGTCCAGGTAGGAAGCGTGACTCGGGAGTGCTGCGAACCTCCATACACATACCTTGCGGAAGAAGAGCGCCATCTAGGAAAAGTCGAGCAAAAGTCATCTAAACGCACAATGAATCGAAGAATGGAAGTGTACCTAAACACCCACTCTTGCATTCATCCCATAATGTGGTAGATGACAGATGAGGCAGCGTCCATGTCTACAACACCTTGCCGCTTCATCTGAACTTGGAAGTCATCAATGCGGTGCGATGGCCCAAGGGCCTGAGCCAAGCTGTAGGATAGTGTGCTGGGATATTGCTTTGCTTCTGCATCACATTTGTGAGAGCAGTCGTACCCACGAGGAGTGGCACAACGGTGCATATTGGAGACACGAGCTGCTCAGTAAGACTAAGAAACACAAACAAGCATCCTCTCACACCGCAGCCAAGTGAAAGAAAGCATCCCGGCTCGTGTGAGTTACGGCACTGTTGAGACCATGCATTCTACCTTTTTATCGCAATATTTTGAAGAATTGGAACCGTCGACGCGTGAGGGCGTGTTTTAGCGGGTTGGTTTAGTGCCGATTGGTGGGGTCAGTTAGGTAGTTGAGATGAATAAGCGGGTCAAGGTGAGCGGGGAAGACCCTCGGTGAGGATGTGCTTCACCGAGATGATCATCAATTTACCCCGCCTTGTGGGTGAGCAGGTTGCAGAGTGAACTACCACTACCAAGTTACTAGGAAGACTACACTTCATCTCTTCCTTTCCAGTAGGCTTTAATCATGCATCATCACTCATTTACCGACTCTTATGAGCTCCTAGAGACGAGGCCTTAAGTTAGGTAACCCCCCTCGAGGACGCCAACTCATTGTCGGCTCATCTGATCCTGCTTCCCGAAGTAGGCTCTTCAAGGATTCAGTTCTACTTGCTTTTGCTAGAACCTAGCATCAATTTTCTGTCGTTGGGCCTCATCGCCATAGCAAGTCTGCCGGTCTGTGGTGGCCTCCCGCATAAGCCGCGTGCGGACCGTCTCAACCGCTGTGATCTTGACTAGTCCCAACGCTCCTACCAAAACTCTCATAAATGGTTGAAACATGGAGTCTGATAAATAGAATATGTATGTCGGGTGTTGTTCGTCCCTCCAACAAATGCGCTAACATTGGGGGGGCATTACCCGTGCTCCGGGGTTGTAGGGATTATTCTCACCGTGATGGCAACTTTAACCTCGCATCTCGACACTTTCGTCTTATACCGGTGGGACGCTCCGAGCTTGCTCTCGGGTGCTTTACAGTGATTTTCAGGCGACTCTAAGTCACTTGCAATGATTTATGCTTTCTTTTGGATTGCGATAGGACATTGGTCAATCTTTTCTCTCTTCAAAATTCGGGCTTGTAATTCGAAGGAACCTATCCTTCTTCCCTTTATTGAGCTACTACGAACACCGTCCACCACATACGACCCACGAAGGGGCAATGCATCAAACTGATTCATTTGGCTTGGAGTCGTATGACTGGGCAGTTTTGTAGCAGGCAACCACGGTTTAACGCGGCAGGTTAGCTGTGGTCATCACTGGTGCAGCTTTCGGTCCCTCACCTGTGACGTGCTCAATACCTTAGTAGCCAGCGTCTACCAACACGCCAACCCAACCCTCTCACGATTGGGCCTCATGATCGGCCTCTGAGGCTGAGTATAGCAGCGGAGATGTTGGAAGTAGAATACAACACATTCCCAACATAACAAGCAGGCCTCTTATTTACCTTGGTGATATCATCCTGTCACCGGGCCATGTAGCCAAAGTGGGGCCGGTGAGTTCCCCAAAACCATCGTCTGTCTGCCTCACCAGGAAATGGAAATACGACAGGAAACAGCGTGAACCAACAGGATAAAAAGAGTAGAGAAGGAAGTAGACAGAAAGAGGCAGAAAACGACGGATATACGGGCCGCTCGTGGAAGAGAGCAAACGGCCGAACGGGGCGCTCGAACCTGAGAGGAGAGACAGTCGGCTGCAAGAACCCTCCGCTGCCTGCCGCTGAACTTTCACTTCACTTCACCTCTCATCTTCGCCGCTGCCGCATCATAATCTCACCTTCTCCCTTCCCATTTCAGATTCAACCCTCACCTGTAGGAAGCGACTGATTCATTTTCTGATTCTTCCAAGACTGGGAGTCGCGTCTGGTCGACGCTCTTTCGTCACCACCTCAACCACCGACCATTCCTCACTATTTTCACGTTAGAGGCTCATTGACGCAGCCTCATGAATCACCACCCGCAACGATATAATATCCCATACACGCACCACAACACCACAAACAAACAAACCATACGACATCGTCGGTTGCAAGGCCATCAATCACGATGGCTTTCTACCAGCGACCCCAGAACCCATACGGGTCCCCGTCTCTCGTCATCGAGCCAACCCAGAGCTATCTATACCACCTCCGATCAATGGCCCACCGGAAAGATGTCCTCGTTAAGAGTGGCTTCATCCTCAACCCACTTTCTGAGAGAGATATCGACGATAAGAAGCGATGCCTCAGATGCAACCTTCGCTGTGAGTATTTGTCCATCGGCGTCTCTTCTCCCTCACCATCACCATCGCCATCGCAATGCTGACTCCAAAGGCAGGCTCCAACAACAGGAACAAATTTAATTCGATTGGGAAGGGTTCTCAAGCCGACGTCAAGTCCTCATCCGCCCAGCCAAAGACCAAGACGTTCACCAGATCTTCTTCCATGGCCGACGTCAAGTCCTCATCCGCCCAGCCAAAGACCAAGACGTTCACCAGATCTTCTTCCATGGCCGACGAGGAGCCTGAGGGCGCTAAGGCGGACGAGAAGCCCGCAAAGCCGGTCCTCAAGTGTCAGTACCACACCGGCCGCGTCATCAACATGGTACTCTCACTCCTTTTCATTTCGTTAAATCAACCTAGCTAACGCATACAGCGCTGGAACTGCTGTAGAGTTCACGTGTCTGAGCCAGGCTGCACGTACGCCCCAGAGCACCTCGTCCGGACCTACCCCTCGGGCGAAGTCCACGCCCGTCACCAATACCATAAGACCCCGGCCCATGCTCTCCTGAACGTAGGAATCGACACGGTGTCGCCCAGCCAAAGAGTGCCGCGCCGTGCCGTCGCCATGGACTGCGAGATGGGCGTCGCCTACGACGGCGAATCCGAGCTCATCCGCGTCACCCTCGTCGACTACTTCACCTCGGAGATTCTCCTCGACAGCCTCGTCTACCCCCAGGTTCGCATGGCGCACTACAACACGCGGTACTCGGGCGTCTCCCGCCCAGACATGGAGGCTGCGAAATCAAAAGGCAAGTGCATCACCGGCGGGCTGGCCAACGTCCGAGCCGCGGTGTGGGAGTGGGTGAGCGCCGAGACCGTTGTCGTCGGACATGCCGTTCACAACGACCTCGCCTCGCTGCGTTGGATTCACACAAAGGTGGTGGACTCTTTGATCCTCGCTACTAACGTCCGGGCCGAAATTGAGAGGCTGGAAGCGGATGAGGAGAGAGCCAATAAGGAGGCTGAGAGGGTTGCTGCCGAGGCCGCTGCCGAGGCCGCTGCTGATGATGGCGGTGTCAAACTGGAGGAAGAAGATCTCATCTCCTTTGATAAACCCAAAGACTCGGAAAAGGCCGAGGAAGGAGGAGGCCCCGCCGAGAAGAAGCCCCAGAAGCGCAAGACTGGTGGGCTCTCCCTCAAGGCGCTGACATCCGAGATGCTTGGTCGTGACATTCAAACGGGTAGGATCGGTCACGACAGTCTGGAAGATGCCTTGGCGTCGAGGGATCTGGTGCACTGCTTCGTGGCTAAGAAGCTGGCAGAGTCGGCTGTGGATGGTGGACCGATCATTCCTGGTTTCTGGTGATGAAAGTCAAGGGGGAATGGATGGATGGATGGACGACGCTCTTGAAAAGGCGTAAAGCGATGTACCTTGACACAGGCGTCAGGAGTAAAATGGTTTACATTCCCATTACAACGGATAGCTAGGCAGCATAGACAGCGAGGCAAAATCTGGGATTCTTCCACTGAGTTTACAACTTTTTCAGCGCCATTCTTCAATATGTGCATGTGCAACTCTGTTGGGACAAAAGCCACCCCATCATCTTTCGAAAGGAACTCTCAAGCTGATTAGTCCGAACAATTGTTTAATTCCATGCCAATGCTTTGCTAATTTGATACCGTGGCCTGGAGGCCGAACTAACCTAACCGAATCTCCTACAGTAAGGTATGCCGTATTGCTCCAAATCTCAGAGAGGACAAAGGGAAATGGAAAACCCATAAGTCTACCAACCGACTAACAGGCCAGTGGGAAATTGGCGCCATCGGCCAACTTTGTGCGACGAGTCCTGGGTCTCAAGCCTAGAACTGCCCAAAGTGCCACAACCAAGCACAACCATCCACGAGATCCCCTTGCGCTTATCGCACGCGTCCCTTCCCCCGCTACCATACAATGCCAAAAGGGCTACCTACATGGACCCAAAAAGGCCCAACCAAGCTGAAAAAGGGTAATCGACACCTTGCCTGTTCCAACCTTCTATGTACCGATGTTTCCCGCGCGCTCCTGGGTATATTGTCGTTGCGTATCTCATGCCAGCGTATCATAGTCTCCAACCGCTTCCCCGAAGGATATACGAGCCTGCTTTAGTGCCCTCCCGTTTATCAATGCTGCTGTTGCCCATTTGGCGTGGTAGGCTCAATCATGTCTGGGTCTAGAGGTCCCAGCATAGATGCCTCCATGGAGATGACGCTCGCCGGTCGGCTACGATGGGAAACCGGGCTTAACATTGACGCCTCCATAGATGCCGTACTAGCGCCAAGGGGTGCAGGTCTCCGGTTTGTGTATGCGGGGAAGCCCAGATTGGTACCTTGCGGCGAAAGTGCGTTCGCCGTGGATGTGCTGGGTCCGGCACTTGTCGGGGAGTAGTGGCTGGAGATGACCAAAGGCGGCGGGTGATTTGCCGGGCCCCCGGCCGTTGGTGAACGAGTTGACTGCGGAAAGCTGGGGCTTGTAGGGCTGAACAGCAAGGGAGCCTGTCCAAGCGGCTGGGCGAACATAGGCACTGCGCCGGCCGGAGGCACATGATTCGGCGGGGGCGGAGGAACGCCGTTTTGGGCATTGCCGTTCACAAGGTTTTGTGCCAACAAGGGCTGGCCGTCCACTGCCATTTCACTGCCGTCAAGACCCTCGAACTCGTCGTCCTCAGGAACCTCCGCCTCGTCAATTTCGGCATCCCCATTGGTCTGTCCGGCGTGTCCGGCCGTTGCAAGGGGATCCGCAGGCCGACGTGCTGGGAAGCTCGAGAGACCCGGGAATCGGGGACCGGGCGAGTCGCGAAGACCTTCGTATTCGGGGGAAGTGTTGAGGTAGTCGCGGAGCTTTGTGACGCCGACGCCAGAGAATACACAAAAGACGCCTCGCTGGTGGTCCGTGAATTCTGTGTCTTGTTAGATTACCTGTCTACCAACAATGAGGAACTGAATATGTCATACCAGGTGGAGGAGGTCTACAGAATTCGGCGAATTCCTCTCTCAGGAAGGCAGTCACCCCTGTCAGACTGAGATGGGTCAAGCGTGGGCAGTAGTTGAGCAACTTGATGATACTCTGGAGCAATGTTAGCATGTGGACTCGATCAATCTGCTGGAGTGATAACATGCCTTGAGTGTAAGATTGGTGCAGTAGCTGAGATGTACTCTTTCGAGGCTGGACGAGTAGTATTCGTCAATATTACCATGCGCATCGCGGCGTGCCCGGGGACGATGGTTGGCGCGAGCGAGAGCAAACACGGACTCGTCGGTAATACTACTGCACTTAACGAGACCGATTCTCTTGAGCTTGGGAAGCTGTGCCAGTTTGGTGACGGAGTCGTCTGTGAGGTTGGTGCAGCACCCGAGATCAATGTACCGTATACGATTGCACTGCTGCACAAGTCGTTTCACAGCCTCGTCGGTGATGTGGTTACAGTGACCAAGATGCAAGTAATGCAGGTTCTTTCCGAGTTTTGAAATGGCATTGACAGCAACGTCGGTGATGTTGCGGCACTTGGCCAGCACCAGATTCCGAAGACGCGGGGCAGAATCAATAATCTTTTGTACAGACTGATCCGTGAGCCTTGCGCAAGACGTCAAGTCAAGAATGCGCAGGTGATCGTATGTCTTGGCCGGGGGCAAAGTCAAGAAGGCGCTGTCGTCGATGAGTTCACAGCCTGCCAGCCGCAGCTCGCGGAGGGACTGGCCCTTGGCAATGAGGGCAGTGATGGGCTCATTGCCAATCTGTGCACACTGGTGCAAGTCGATTTCGAGGATATTCGGGCAGTTCTCGGCAAATGCAAGGATGGCGTTGTCTTGCAGCTGGGCACAATCGTTGAGTTTGAGCTTCGGGGAGAAGAGTCATGTCAGTGATTTTCCAAAGCACAATGCGGGGGCCTCCAAGCCAAGCGCCAGGCGCATACGGGCCAGGCTGCAGGGAGAACAACAGGCAAAGGAGCAAAGAAAGGGAAGAATCAACATACCCTCTTGATAAACCGGCAGTTCTCAGCAAGCTGCATCATGCTGTCGTTGGTGATCAAGCGGCAGCCAGAGATGTTGAGACCCTGTAACCTTTTGCAGTGCTCGGCGATGGTCAAGATAGAGACGTCTGTGATGTGCTCGTCGCCCGAGATATCAAGGGCAAGCAACGAGGAGCTGTTTTCCACCAACTTGGTCAAGCCCTGGTCGGTGAGGTTTCGGCAGTTGGTCAGGGTGAGTCTCTCGACGCGAGTGCACACGGATAGAGGCATGACACTGCCATCGCTGATTTTATCTGCGAGACCACCAGCAGCGAGGTTGAGACGCTTGATGAAGTCGCGGTATGCGAAGAAGGGCGTTTCAAGTTGCAGAGTCAGGCAAATGGACGAGTGATTCTTCCAGTTTGTGCAGGCGGGGCGATGCCACAGCAAATCGACGGAGTTCTTAGCCCATCGCTTGCACGTCAGCATGCAGTTGAAGAGGTCGTTTGAGTTATTGAGCTTGGCGAAGATGGAGATGAGGATCTCGCTAGGGAGCCGGTTGACGGCGGGTTGGCATGGATCATCGCTGACCTGCATGTCCTCAATGTTGGGGACGCCAAGTGATGATTGCGAATCGTTGCCGGCGATGAAGAAGTCTGACTCTTCGTTGTCGGCAGGGAGCGGCGAGTTTGTGGACGACGAGGATCGCGAGTCCGGCGTGACTGACTGGGCAGCCATGATCTCTATTGAGGGGGCGGCGGGCCTCATGATGATGGGCTGCGATGTGCGGGCAAGGGAGCAAACGGTCGGCGGATCGTGGGTTTCGCGTGAAATTCGGTGAGAGGGGGGAAGGGGGATTCGGATCCCCGGTCGGAGAAAAAGGTCGTTGGTGACGGCAAGCGATTCCGAGTCGTGAGTCGTAAATCGTAGGCGTCGTCGGTGTTTTTGTCGTCGCGATGTAGTTTGTAGGGTTGTCGGGTTTCGTCAGGTTGACAGAATGAATGGCGGGGATTTGTCACCAGAGCGATGGTTGGGAAGATGGACTAGTTCCCACGAGGCCGATGGAACACTGGAATACTGACACTAACGCCTGACCCACGGAAGGTGGAAATGGAGAGGCTCCGACAGTGGAGGGGGAGGAGCCGGGACAAGGAGGCAGGCTGACGCTAAGTCTGTTGTGAGCCCGGTACCTCTGGTGTGTGTTTGTGTGTGTGTCGACTACTGCCTCAGCATGTAAACGGGAGGATGGCTATACAGGCTGTACAGGAGTAAGTACCCGTGCTGGTGCGTTGGTGGTGCAGGGCAGGGCGCGGGAGGTAATATTTTGTGTGACGGAACGGAGTGCCAAGGCAACGGAGAGAAAGGGAAAAAGTATTCGTAGCAGACGAGACTGCCAGGGAGAGATGAGGATTATTGCCGGAGACGGCGGGTAGAGAAAAAGAGTTGTGTTCTCGATTGGGATAAGTTGGTCTGAAGTCGTGTCGTCGATGGGAGGAGACTCGAGAGGGAGAGAAAGATCAGGTCGAGAGTTCGCGTCGCGAGAGAAGAGAGAATGAAAGGTGAAAGGTAACCACGGGGCACAGGGTCGTCGGGTGGCAGTGGGTGGTGCGTGGGCTGTGGTTGCGTTGACGGTGAATCGTGATTCAGGTTTTGCAGCACCGTCTCTCCCCTTTCTGTCGCAGTGAAGCGAAGCAAAGCAAGCAAGAGGGCCTGAAGTGATGCTGTGTTGTGCTATGCTCTATGCTGTGCTGAGCAGTGGGCAGCAGGCGGTGGCAGCGACAGTGACCGACAGGGCGGGTGACAATGACGACGGGGTGAGGCTAGAGCACCCTGATTCCCTAAGCGGCCTTGGTCGCAGCTTGTGGGCGGGCGTTTGTGTGTGAGGTGGACTCTGTCTCGAGTCGAATTGTTAGTAGTGACTCTGGAGCTGTGGAGAAAGGGAGCGGGAGGTGACACCCTTGAGCCTTGGGCTCTCGAAGGGCTGGGCTGGAACTGGAAACCAGGGGACAGAGGGCTGGGTCCGCTGGGACCTGAGGTGTGTAGGTAGGTAGGTACCTTGCTTTTGGATGTCTCTGGTGCTCAATGTGTGTCGCTTGCTGCGTTGAACTGTGATTGCTGAAGGAGGATGCGGCGGTGATGGGAGTCGGAAGGGGGAGGCTGACGGCTGTTGATGGGCCGGGAACCTGCGATGCGATGCGATGTGATGCGATGCGCGGGCAACTGGTTGAGCAAGAAGTTGACGATGTGCTGCTGCCGCTGCTGCGAATAGGTACTGATGTGAAGGGCCCCGGTGCAGGCGGTACTGGTTGGGCTTCGATTGTGGCACTTGTCAGGTCAGGGCCAACTTTAGACTCTGAGAGTAAGGTATCCGTACGGATACTCCGTACAGTATTATTCGAGTCCAAAGGTTGTCGGATGGAGCCGGCCAGGTCCTCTGGGGCGTCATGAGGTAAGGCTGGCGGGAAACCAACTTCGACGCGTGACCTGCTCTTGTGCTCTGCAGTTGCCGCTCTCCTCTTCTGCTGGTCTATCCGCTTTTCACCCTTTAGTTTTCTGCTGATGTCGATTTGATTGCAGAGTCCGAGCAGAAAAAAGGATGCTTGACTTGTTGAAGCAGCAGGAAGAAACAGCGGCAATGCGAAGAGTCACACACTCAGCTAGATGAAGTATCATGTATCTATGTACCCATGTGCCCATGTACCAGCCAAATGGAGGAGGTTGTGTTCCGCCAGTTAGGAAGGACGTGACGGGACCAGGACAGGGGACCGTAGAAGGAGCAGCAGAGGGGTCATCAAAGTATCTTTACATATGACTGAGGTGTGGAAGATACTTCAATACGTCTTCCTTTCTCCTTGAGGATGACACAATCTCTCATTGGTTGACGGCACTCAAAGGCCTGAGGTTCCGAAGCAATACCCAAAGCGACGGGAGATGAGGAGAGATGATGATTCTCAACCAGTACCTTAGGTGTCTTACTTTTCTTTGAAAACTTTTCGCACGAAATACATCTTCATTTCTGTATATTGTAGACACCCGTATTTGTTGAGTTTGCCTGGCTCATCAAGTTATCAACAGACATACTCGAAACCAGACCATGGGAGACGAGACGGTTTCCCCGACGTAGAGCGTGGGGCACATTCAACGTCCCGCTTTCTCAGGGAGCTATGCGTTAATGCAATGGGATAGGTCACGTCAAACCTAGAAGTACCTTACCTTACGTGCTTACTCGCCTTGCACTGCGAACTGCCCACAGAAGTACTGGAGGGCATCGAGTAACGAAATCACAGCCAATCTCAGAGAGTAGAGACAATGCCTGGCGGGGAACGCGAGAGGAGCATCTGCAAACTTGATGTCGTACAGCGTGTTCATGTACACCAAGCCCCTATGGGCAGGCAAAACGGTACTTGATCCTCGCTTAAACCTGACCCATCAAATAGGAACCTTAAGGTACTGTGCCTCATACTGCGGCGTACCTAACTTAATCTGACAAAGTACGGTGCACCTAGGTACCTACGTCCTTCACACGACGGGAAAGAGGAGAGACTCTAAAAAAGATACATTCCATCCGCTACTCGATGAATTGCATTGATACCGCATTTCACGCCAAATCCACCGTACTTGTAAAAAGTCCATGGCATTTACCATAACACGAATGGCCCGGCCAGGGAGAATGAGGCTGTCACTTGTACCTGACGCTACGTCAAGGACGGAAAGGTCTTCAGCCCCTGGCACGTCTTTTCAGTCCCTTTCATTTACAGAGTTCCGGCCGGGTGGTTTTCAAATTGTCAACTAGAATCGCGGCATTCTTTTGTGATGTCCAACTAATTACTTTCACCTTTGTCTTTGTGTGTTTGTTCCCAGCCTGAATTGTGAGATACAAGAAGAGATGCCAAATCAGGACTTAATCTTCTTAAGCTTGTAATGACGAAGATGATCATCTTCAAAATGAAATTACCTTCAGAAACTCCAGTAGATAATCAGTACCACATCGGCATTCTGGGGTATACCGGGAAACATGACATGATGAGCTTGTCGGCCTGTCTGCATGAATACGTCCAACCTAGTCTTGTTGCCCTGACGTCGGGGATCATCAAACAACTGACAATTGACAACAACCTCAAAGGAACGTCCATCCGAGTCTCAACGCCGCCACTCCTCGCCCTTCGCCTCTCGGAGACCAAATCTCCAGCAGATACCCGTGGCGCCATCTTCCTCACGCTCGGACGTGAGCTCGAGCTTCGTCTTCAGGGCACTCAATTTCCATTCCTGCATCTCGGGGCACAGACGCGGCCCCCCGCGCTGCCTGTCTCTGTCTCTGTCTCTTCCTCCCGTTGTGCCCCATTGTCCTCGGCCTGAGATTGTTGTTCCTTCCTTTCAATGACGGTCTCATGAAATTTTTTCCCACCCTCCCTGCCTTATGAGACGGGATGTCAGGGCCTCGGATGCTCGACTATAATGCGGTCCGCCTCCAAGACAGGCTAGACAGCTTGCTGTTGCTGTTTCGCGAAATACCCTTTTGAGTTCCCATCTCGGCTTCTTCCATGATGCTTTGTACACTTCAGCACAAGGATGTTGGACACGTTGGGACCAATGTCGTTGGTCTGCTCTGCACCTGATACCGTTTCACTCCCGCCCACCCCGGTCGTTTACGACATCTTCTCACCTGGATCATCCATGCCTCAAGACCCGTGAAAGCAAAGGTAATCTTCCGGCAACTCGCTTCAAAGCATGACGGCCGCAAGACCACGCGTTCAATCACATCCGTCTGACGGCATGTCCCGCATGTCACCCGCAAGCATTGTAAGAGACGTCGGACGTCGGAGATCGGTGACTACGATCGCCGAGTTCGCGTCTTCGGTGTGTAGGCCCACGTTGATGAGTTTCTTTCCTCCGTGGTGTTAAGCCCTTGAATACTGGAACATTGGGGGGATGCCAAGCCGGCTTAGACGGGTTTCCACAGCTTTTGGCTTTTAGGGACTCGGCTCCTGCGCTCACACGCGGCGGGAGGCATTGTCGAGTTGAGGAAGCTGTTACCGTCTTCCGTCAGGGCAGCTCTGAGCTCACTACGGTTTGCGTGGGTAGTCGGTCAACATTGCTCCCGGGCACCCGAATTCAATGGCCCAGCCCAGAGACACGAGGTATAGTGGGGTAGGCCGATTGAGTTGGGAATAAGACATGCTTCCCGTGGGTGGTGGACAAGAATAGCATCCCCCTCGCATACCAAAGACAACGTGTGCAGGGTCTGCGGGAGAGCGTAAGACGCCGGGGACCATCGTCTGTCTCGGTCTCACCTCATTCGTCATTGAGACGGCCATCACCAAAGCCCAGCATTGGGCGAGGTTGAATTACCTTCTCCTGGTTGGCGTTCACTGGCAGTGCTAGGTAGGCATAGTTGGAAGGAAGACGAGACTGCGTCTTTACCATCACGACGGCGCAATCATACCTCTCCCGTGGTCTAGCCATCTGCGAGGTCTGCATGCAAGACACACGCACATTCCCAAGTGACGCTGACGACCCGGACAGCCAGACAGACGTGTGTGTGAGTGAGCGGTGGCTTCACGGCCCAGCGTGATAGCATCACGATCCTGGACGCCATCACGCGTGGGCGCTTAGACGGCCACAAACGACTGACCACTCAGCTTCGCCCATTTCACATTTTCGGATCACAGACGTGGAAACCCTGTTGTGATGTAATGGTTGTCTCTGAGCGCAGAACCCTGGAAGTCTCAGCACACTGTGGTTGCAGTAATCAGGTTGTCACGTCTAACGAAATCCACATCTTGCGTGACTGTGTCTATCGACTTTGACGCACCCAGACCGTTATCATGGAGTAGATGGGAGGATGCATGTGCCGTGTCAGATTCGCATACCACATTTTGGTTCCAACATCCCATCCCACATCTGAATTCGGGATGTATACATGATCTGACGGGCGGACAAAAGAGAATAATCAGAATACCCATCAACATGGCCCAATCTAGCCCTTAAGCCGCAGCAGATCCAACCTCTACCTCGCAGATGGCGCAGATAGCAGATGCAACTGCAGCTGTCTCCTCGTTTGGGTCCAGGGGACTGCGATCTGAGGCGGAAAGGCGGAGGTGGGGGCGGAGTCGGAGGACGTCCGCACAGACCACGGTCAAAACTGAGGGAGGCCGCAGTACAGTGCGGATACGTGCCTTGACTTACCTAAGCGAGACGGAAGATGCCAGCACGTGACGACTTTTCGCAGGACGTCATTCGGAGGGGCCGATCATGCGCCGAGCCACTCAGGTGTCTCGCTCGCTGACGTGCTCCAATTTCTCGCTGGGCCACCAGTTTTGGAGCATTTTTTTAGCTGCAATGTGCACTGAGGCGGATCCAATGGGGAGAGCTCCAATTGCCATGCAGTTGACACTGACAATTCCCGCTTACGAGCCTCACGTCACGATCAGACCCTCTTCCTCCAACACCCCATTACGTTCGCAGCTCGCCAGTCTGTGCAGTACTTCGTATACCGCAGCATCAAACGAATTGGACCAATTTACACCTGCCCACATGACCAGGCCATGAATCGTCCTGCCCGACCGGCACCGAACTCGAACTAGCAAGCCCGGGTCTACGGCACCATCGACGGCTGTCCCCGCCCGAACGTCCCGCGCCATCTGAAGAATCTCGATTCTCCATCAGCCCACTTCCCATTGTCGACTGTCGTTCCTCCACACGGTCCATAGTACCAAGTGACTTCTACCCGATTCAACCACAAGGCGCACTCTCCCTCTCGCCGACTACACGACTCACACACATACCTAGACACATCTTCAACGCCCTCTACTTCCCCGACACCCCAATGTTCCGACCACGCACTCTCCGGCCCTTGCCCAGGGGTCTGCCGCGCCCGCAGCCGCCCGTCCGAACTAGTCGCCGCACCCTCTTCTCTCGCCAGCGCAGCTCGCCGTCCCGCCCGGTCGAACGCCTCAACCTCGGCCAGCTCAGCGAAGCCCGCACAAACTACGACCGAGACCGCACATACTTCCTCGCCGCCGGTGCCCTCGCCGGCATCGTCTCCTTTATCTACACGGCCAACAAGCTGCGCAAGGCCCTCGCCGCCGAGAAGAAGCGCAACGCCGCGGAGGGCGGTAGCAGCGACAACGGCGGCGGCAGCAGCAGCAACGAGCGCGTCGGCTTCCAGCTTGATTCGTCTGTGCCGGCTGAGACCTTCACCACCGAGGCCGGAAGCAAGCGCAAGGTCGTCATCCACGATGAAGAAGGCAGAGAGCTCGTCCCGACAGGCAACAAGACTGTGCCCAACTTCCCGCGGACCATTGACCTCTCCCTAAGCAAGACGCACCGCGACCCGGAAGCGCCCATCGCCGCAACGATACAGGAGTCAGACGGCGTAGAATACACCCTCGTCGGTCTCGGCATCCGCACCGTGAGCTTCCTCAGCATCCAGGTATACATGGTGGGCTACTACGTCGCCACCCAGGACGTCGCGAAGTTGCAGCACTATCTCACCAAGAAGATCAACCCCATCGCGACGACGCTCGTCCCCTCGGAGCGCGACGATCTCAAGCAGAAGCTGTTTGACCCCGTCGAGGGCGAGGAGACGTGGACGGCGCTGTTGCAGGAGGTTGGCACCCGCAGCGCGTTCCGCATCGTTCCTGTGCGCGATACCGATTTCCCTCACCTCCGCGACGGGTTCGTGCGGGCTATCACGGCGCGGTCGTCTGCCGACAAGGAGGCGTATGGCGATGAGGAGTTTGGGGAGGCGATGAAGGAGTTCAAGAGGCTGTTTAACCGTGGCAAGGTACAGAAGAACAAGGAGCTGCTGCTCTGCCGCGACGAGAAGGGCCAGCTTGAGGTCGTCTTTGATGATGGCCGGAGCATGGGGAGACAGAGCGTTGGCAAGGTACAGGATGAGCGCGTGTCGAGATTGTTGTGGCTCAACTGGCTTGCGGGCAGCAAGGTTGCGTCCCCGCCGGCAAGGGAGAGCATCATTGACGGTGTCATGGAGTTTGTCGAGAGGCCTGTTGGCACTGTTGCCGCGCAGGTTGTGTAAAGATGGGAAACGGAAATACCAGTGTAGAATTAGTTGAGAAAAAGCCACGGCTCAAAATGTACAACACATGTAAGAGGCACTCGCAAAAGAGGGTCCTATTTTTTTTAAATTTTTTTGGAAACTTGTATTTCGAGACTTTAAGCACCTATCTTTATGCCTTTAAGCTCGTGGTATATATAATCCGTCAATTCCAGCCTCCTTCAAACACGGGTTGTAGATTCGCGCAGCAACAGCTACAACTTGGACGGCCTTAAGATTTGAAATATCGCGCCCGTCAGCGTGCTCTGTGCCGTATGGATTTTCCAACCAGTTTCTATTCAATCATGGGTGTGTCTGTCTGTCTGTCCCTCCTCTTTCTGATCTTTCTCTATGCCGAGGACGGAATGGGAGCCTTACGCCTTGAGAGCGCCGGCCTCCTTGAGGAGGTTCTCGAGTTTGCCGCCCTTGAGCAGGCCCTGCAGGTCCGAGTTGCCGCCAATGTGCTTTTGGGCAATGAAGCTGTTGGGGACGGTGCGCTGGCCGGTGATATCCTGGAGGGCGTCCTGGATGGCGTTGCCGTCGTCTGGTGATTGCTATTAGCATGGTGTTCGGGGTTGGGATGTTCTGGGTAGATCAGTAGATCATAAAGGTAGGAACATACCAATCTGGTCGAGCTCGAGGACGGTGTAATCGGCGTTGATCTCGTCGAGGACGGACTTTGTGGCGCGGCAGTAGGGGCAGTAGGACTTTGAAAAGACGACGACCTTGTTGTCATCAATGAGGGACTGAACCTTTTGCTTAGTGGCGGCCATGTTTGCTGGTGATGTCTGGGATGAGGAGAAGAGACGTCTGAATAGTGATGCCATTTCGAGAAGGGAAGGGGGGTAGGCAAGAAGGAGGGGCAGAGGGCGATGATATAATAAATGCAGGAGGGAGCGGAGGGACTCTGGTGGGGGGGTTATTTGTCAGGCAAAGTGTCGCAATGCAGCGGGCAGGGGCGGGGTGCTGGTGGTGCTTGGAGCGTATGGGCAGGTGCTGGATGTGCTGGATGCAGTTCAGTTTAGTTGCGACGGAGACAGGACTTGCAGCGAGGGAAAGGCAATTCGGGGCCGAAGGCGGCGGGAGTGGATGATGCAATCGGGGGCTAGACGTTGCTTACCTAAGTTAAGTGAAGTACCGAAGACTGTGAGTTTGACTAGACTGAGTGGACTGAGCGAAAGCCGAGTTTTCTAGAAGGTGGAGGTCACAGAGTTTAGTGTATCCGTACAACCGTGGTGTGGCTTCCAATTTCGATACCTTCGGTTGTCTAGCCGCCCAGGGAGCAAAGACCCGATTCATAAGACACCGGCTCTCCCGAAGCTCACCTGCCTCGGCGTGTGTTACAGCTTCTGGCTAAGCTGAAATTCGGCCGCTTCGTTCGGGTTCTTGAGAGGCACCCGTGGCCAGCGAGATTTCATGCCCGAGATGATTTGATGAACTCGGCGATCAGAGAAGAGAGAAGGCTAATTCAAATCAGGCAATGAGCTCACCTCAGCGCCGAGTATGAATGGATCAGGGACCGGCTTGTGCCTTGAGTTTACGGGTGCCGTCTGTCGTTAGATGAGGTAAGCAATCAGATAACGAACCTTGAGATGAGGATAAGATAGGAGGACCCTGGGTTTCTGTGCACCTCGAGTTTTTGTGAATACCTTCTTCCTTCATGAACACCATCACCTCTTCGTGGTTTACCCCAGCAGGTAGGGCAAGGAGTCCACTTGAGAGGCTGAGGGAATGAGGCTATCACAAGTCGTTGCATCGATCTATCCGCATCACCCACAGTTCTCACCCGCGTCTAGCGCCTCACCGCATCCTCGGGCACCCTTACAGCACAGCCCACGTTGCGACGTCAGTGATGACTGGTGCACGGCAGGTTAATGGGTCAACGTTGTGTACTAGGTATTACTTCGTAGATGGAAGCTGGGTTGGGTTTGAATGTTTGAATTGGCCCCTGCAAACACCGGCTGCTCGCCGAATCGTAGCCAATTGCTGTTCCCGCCTGCCCCAGTTCTGGCCGTGCAGAGAATCCTCGAGGACTGGTGACAGTTACCTAAGTATTTGCAAACACCAGGCCATTCTCAACCAGGCTTCGTGTCCTCTTTGCCGCAATATTGCTCTGAAATAACTATTTCAACGCTTCGAGAAGTGTTCATCCTCAATCTGACTCCCGGATCTTTGTTGGTAAAGTACCCCCTGAAACACTTTGAAAAGGTACGTGTATCTATTAGTATCTGTCTTGAATTGCCAGCTCCGAATCGCAAAAAGGACCCGTGGCACCGTCTCTCGGCCCGGCCAATGACACCGGGTCCTCCCTCCGCACGCAACCCCCCGTCATTCGCTGCCCTCTGCGAACTGCCCGGTTTTTTTCTAGAACCTCCCCTCCACATCCACTTCCACGCTTCACCACCACTCACAACCTTACGCAACCTCCTCCTCCTCCTCCGACCACTCACCTCACGCCGCCGTCCCCGACTTTTCTGCCTTCATCCTCTCCGAGTCCCGTAGGGCCACCTTTGGCACACCACCACACTCGCTCACTCACCCATACTCCGTACTGGACGCTCGTCGAATCCCTGCCCGCCGCCCTCATCATCGCCTCTTCATCCGTCGCCGTCCACCCCAAAAGCTGACAGCGCATTGCCTTCTTTCCAGTCCTGCCTCTACAGCCTCACCAAAGCCAACGAGCCACCACCTGCATCCTTGACCCAGGTTGGCGATCGTCAACGCCAGTTGGAGCCGGATCGAAACTCTCGACCCAAGCATCCCGAACCGAACAGAACAGGACAGCTCTTTTTCCTTTTTTTATCTTTATTTTATTTCCCTTACCCCACTGCTTCTGCAGCCTTCTCTCTCTTGGTGCTGCTGCATCCATCGTAGTGTATCGACTCCTTTCCCCTCCAAAGACCTTACCAGAACCTGCGCCTGCGCCGTACGACCTGCCTTGCTGCAGAACGGCCTGATCATCGAACCCCGCGAGTCGGAAAATTCCAGACGAGGGTATCCCCACGGCACCCGACACCCACGATCAACATTCACCCCATCCGCCACGATACGAATCACTGCAGTCGCCTTCGACCTTGCCTCACTTCACCTCTTCTCTCCTCCACCCCCTCCCCCCTTCTCATCCACTTTTCTTCTTTCTCCCGGTTCAGCGTCCTTAGCTTTAAGGACCGCCTACTCCCGCCAAGGTGGCTTCCAGTCAGCCTCTTCTGGCATCTTCTGGTGCCCTCCAAAACATCACCGCACTATTGCCCACCACCCTCCAGGTCTATCTCGACAAATCCATCGCCAGCCTTGCCAAAGCTATCGCGAACTACTCCGGATACATCTGCGACACTACCGGCATCGATCCGAACCTCATCCTCTATTCCACCATTGGCTGCATTTTACTCGCAGTCCCCTTCACCATGTCTCGATACGGCTGGTCGACAAATCGGGAACAAATATCCCCCTACGGCTCCACCCTCAGTGGTGTTCCCAACGTCACGGACGAAGACTTCAGCTACATCACTACTGAGGACCTGCAGTCAACCTCCCTTGGTGGCTCCGTCCCGACGAGATCCTACGCCCATAACCCCCGATCCCGCGGCAGTGTTCCCGAAGACGACATTCTCCTTATCAAGAACAAGGGGATCACCTACCCCGCCCACTTCCCCGCGTATGCCATTGGCGACGGCAAGCTACGTGTTCGCGATGTTCGAGACCGCGTAAGCGTCCTGCTGGAGCTGTCCGAGAGACGTGGACGCCGTGTCAAGCTTCTCTACAAGGGTCGCCAGCTCAAGGAGCCGGCCGCGCCCGTCCGGGATTACGGTGTCAAGAACAACAGCGAAGTCATGGTGGTGCTGCCCGAGGGCGACGTCGACGCTGAGAGCAGCGACGACTCGGACGAGGAAATGGTGGTCGTAGCCGGCGACGGTGGCAGCGCTGTGGGCAGCACCGGCGGCACCGATGACGGAAAGAAGCGCCGCAGCAAGAAGAAGGGTCGCAAGTCCAAGAAGCGAAGCAGCAATACCAGTCCGCGAGACAGCGCATCAAATCTCGGCGTTCCGGGCCAGGACAGACAAAGCTCGCCGTCCCCCAGCAAGGCCAACGGCGCCCATGCCAAGCTCGATGCCATTGCAGCGAAATTCGAGGCGGATCTGCGCCAGCCTTGTGAGGACTACATCGCCTCGCCCCCGACGGACCCCAAGAAGAGGGAGGAGGAGCATCGCAAGCTGTCCGAGACGACGATGCAGCATGTGCTTCTGAAACTTGACGAGGTCGAGACGGAAGGCGACCAGGAGGCCAGAATGAAGAGAAAGGCCCTGGTCCAGACCGTGCAAGAACTCTTGAAGCGTCTTGACGCGAAGCTCAAGGCATAAAGGAAGAAATTGGGGCGGCATTGAAAGTGCCTGCGGTTTATGCGATACGTTTGTTTACTAATAACGGCCTACTTCCGTTGAGTTCTTCTAGATGAGCATTTGCGGAGGGTTTCTATTCAGTCGAGCTGCATGTTTTATCAAAGCGATATTTGCATCTAGAGGCATGCCGCGCAGAATGGCGGATGCGTTGGGAATTCGGGACAGCTTGAGATGGGATGCTGTACTGCGATAGGAATCAGTTGAGCAAAAGATGACGCTATGCAATGGGGAGCAGAGACGATGTGCAGAGGCAGAGGCAGAAACAGAGACAGAGAGGCGCATAGCACGCCGTAGACAGGAATTGCAAAACAACCCAAGTTTCCTGGGATCTTCACTCCCTTTCATTGCGCACATGATGCACCCGAACACAGCCTAGTACTGGACCTGCATCTTGGATTGGCAGCATTCGTCGTCGAAGCAGGGCTGCAGCGTGACGTTGTCGACGAGGTCCGGTGAAGGGGATATCCCGGTCTGCCGTTGAACAATTGTACCATACTTGGCGTCGTTGGCTTAGTCAACCCGCGTCCTTATCTCATGTGACAGAGAGGCCGTTATCGGTTAATCCGGTATCGGGAAACGTTTGGATCGCTACCTGCCCGGGGACAGGATGGTAAAGCAGTGACAGACTGCCCTGGGTCCATATGGGCGAGGTGAGTCGTCGGCCCCGCCGTGAAAGCACACCGAGGTGAACCGGGGCTGCGAATCAAGGTGAGTCAGCAGAAAAACCTCACTGTGAGCACTGAGAGCATGCGCGCCTCTGGTAGGTCTTTCCAGCCCTAAGCTGCCTCAGGCCCCACTTCGAACCCTCGCTTGTGATGGAGACCGCTTTGCCACAAACGGCTAGCGTCATTCATTTTCCAGGCGTGCCATTGGGGGGTTTTGTGTGTGCGTGTGTAAATTTCTCACTGACCTGTCCCCTTCCCAGTTGTGTGCCCGCCCCGATTTCAAGATTTTCGCGACGGCTTCTTCCAAAACTCACCCTCCGACAATACTAACCCAACGGCAGCAGACCAAATCTCTACAGAGGCACCCATTCCGCCCAGAGATTTGAATCCCCCTTTTCCTTCTTTTTTTTAGTAGAACACCGCGAACCGGTGTTTTTAAAGGAACAGGAAAGATGTCTTCTTTCGAGCCGGTGGTGAGTCTTTGCCGAATTATCTTTAACAGTCCCAATTTCGAGATATGGGATCCGCGGAATATCGACGATGAGGATTTTCGGGATACTTCTGGGAGCGAGGAACACCATGCGATGGGACGATGGCACTTGACTGCAGCCCGACTACACGTCAACGCCGCTTTCGCTACTCAGCTCGTCGCCGTTGCCGCTGCTACCCTCGATGCTTCAACAATCCCGAAATTCCTCACCGGCCGACTGCGAACAGTTTTTCGGAGATGCAGATCGCTGACTCCAGTCCTATATACAGGTCGTCATCGACGGCAAGGGCCATCTTCTCGGTCGTCTTGCCTCCATCGTTGCCAAGCAGCTTCTCAACGGCCAGAAGATCGTCGTTGTCCGCACCGAGGCCCTCAACATCTCTGGCGAGTTCTTCCGTGCCAAGCGTATGTCGACTCTCTCTCAACCCTACCCCACCGGTCGCACACCCAGTCTGTCAAGAGGAGGAAACACAACGGGGAAACCATCGAGGACTGCGGTATCGACGACCACGAACCGATCGAACAATTACTGATGAATGGCTATAGTCAAGTACCACGCCTACCTGCGCAAGATGACCCGTTACAACCCGACTCGCGGTGGTAAGCCAACACACATACACATAAATCCGGGCTCTGCTCTGTCTCCTAGATGAGATACTCAACTCGAGGACATTCAAATGTCTGACTTGACCGCTCTAGGTCCCTTCCACTTCCGCGCCCCGTCGCGTATCTTCTACAAGACCGTCCGTGGCATGATCCCTCACAAGACTGCTCGCGGTGCCGCCGCCCTTGAGCGCCTCAAGGTCTTCGAGGGTGTTCCCCCTCCCTACGACAAGCAGAAGAAGATGGTCGTCCCCCAGGCCCTCCGTGTCCTGAGACTGCAGCCCGGTCGCAAGTTCTGCACCGTTGGCCGTCTCTCCCACGAGGTCGGCTGGAAGTACCAGGACGTTGTTGCCAGGTATGTCCATTCCTGCAATCTTCTGGGTGCAAGACCGCCCAATACTGACGAATTCCCAGACTCGAGGAGCGCCGCAAGGCGAAGGGTGCTGCCTACTACGAGCGCAAGAAGGTCGCTCAGCGCCAGCTCACCGACGCGAAGAAGAACGCCAAGGTCGACCAGAAGACGGCGCAGGCCCTCGAGGCCTTCGGCTACTAAACGTGGTCAACAAATCCCTTTCGATGTTGATTTTTTGTACCCGGCCCGTCTGAGGGAAAGGAGGAGGAGAGGAGGGAGGGCTTTATCCCCGTTGAGCCGCCACCGCACCCACCACCAACACCTGCACGACGGTCTGACGAAAGAAGAAAGACTCGGAGGGTGATTTCTCGCGCACTTCTGTCCTCTTCCTCGCGTTTCCTCATTAGATTGGCGTGGGCGGTTCACAAGGGAAATTCTTCATTTTGCTGATGGCACAAATGGGCTGGTCATTGGAGGGGGGAATTAAAAAAGAGATGATTTTGGGGGGCCAAAGAGAGAGAGAGAGTTTTTATGGAGTGAGTCCGAAAAGGCTTCGCTTTGCAAAATCATCATCATCCTGTTCAATACCCCCCCGCGCCGCCGTTCTCGGTGTTTTCGGTAATTCGGTTCAACCACCAAAAACACAAAACAACGCACCAACCAAGAAAGCCCTTTCTCGCAATAAGTCACAACACAAACACTCAATCAAGATGTTTCATGTCCATGCGCTTTTTTTCTGGTGTACTTGTCTTTTTTTTATGGTGGTTACCGTAAAAAAGAATAAGGGGGTTTTGGCTTCTGAGTTATATGGGAATTGATACACACACTTCAACAAACAACAACCGATCAACCAATGGCTCTCCTGTCTCATCCTCTTTTTTCCCCTTTCCCCCCTTTTCGAGGGGTTCCCCTTAGACGAACAAACCAGTAGTCCCAGATGAGGCGATAAACGAAGAAGAGAAGACGGAAATCACACGAAAAAAGAACCATGAAGATGAAAAGTATACCACGGCATTTTGGGAGGGGAACCTTGGCGAGGCGTCTTGTGCTTAGAGAAGTAATTGCATTACAACCATGAGAATTGCATGTGAAATAATGATATCAAGTGATGATCTTCAATGATCTTTGAGTACCCTGATGATGAAATAGTTCGCATTACGTCCTGCCCAAAGATCACGAAATAATGGCAGGAAAGATGAATGGACGGTCACCTCGGCAATCTTTGTACTTTTCCAGTTACACTCCGTAGACGGCCACGGCATACGAACCTGGAGCAGTTCTCATCCTCAGACGCTCATCTCAAGTCTGACCACACCTGCGAGGGCACTTAGTTAACGTGACATGTTTGCGACAAGACGCGTTGGCGTGCCCTACCTTATTCCAAGGGACCCGCCGCCACACCAAGGAACCATCTTCTCGTCCAAGGGTCTAACTCGATGGGCCGCAAGAGTCAAAACTCATGTGGAGGAAATTGGCTCCCATTAAATCAAGGAAAGGAGCCGTTCCGCTGAGGATCGGGCTCTGCTCGTGTGCTTGACGGACTATCATGGCTGCTGGCGACGAGCCTCCCTCTAGAGGACCAGCCCTGAAGCCTCCAGGTGAGGTCATCAATCGGGCGACGAAGTCAACCCCGCCGGCCGGGGAAGGAAGACGGCCCTCTTTCGCGGAAGCCTCTCCTCGCGCGGGAATGGTCCGCACTGCGCGCTACATCAGTAAACACCCAGGAGTTTCCCTCAACAATGGGCGATTGGTTTAGTGGTATAATGACCGCTTAGCATGCGGTAGGTCCTGGGTTCGATTCCCAGATCGTCCAGCTTTTTTGTCTGTGGTAATAGATCTCAATTTTTGGCCAGTAGCATGATGCCCCCGAACGTGATAATCGTCTGCGAAGTGTTTCTGAAAATTCCGTCTTGAGTTTTGGCTCCTATTCTGTATCTGTGTTCCTTCCCATGCTGTTTGCTCTCATGGAAGCAAATGCCACTTGTGCCTGCCAATCCAAGGCTGAGCCGAGTGTTTGTATGTGGTCCGTGCTTTCGACTTCATGTCAACATCAAGACGGGGTTTAAGTTGATCAATAAGTGCCGTTTGGTCATCATACAACAGTGAACCAGACACTTAAACAAAAGACTCTGTGTTTCTCAGCTCAGGGTATTTAAAGGAGGCCCATAAAGGCATGTCTGGATATATACAGGCGAAAACGACACAAAAGATGGGCGACGAAACAAAATCGGTATCGAAAATGATAATAAATGATGAGAAAAAGAACAGGTAAGCTACCACGAATAGTTCCATCTCTGTTTTCTCGGTAAAACTGCTTTTCAATGCAATAAAAATACAATGAATCACTTTGCTGACCTTCATCTCCGCGTGAAGAGAATTTGAGGAGGCCTCAGCGGTGGTCGCGAAGCACGTCAAGCTGTTGCGGGAGTATAACCAGATCAAGGATGTGGGACAGCAGCTGATGGGCATGGTTGCCGAGAAGAGAGGCGTAACTGTGGGAAGTCTGTATGGGACTGGGGAGTTCGTTGTTGGGCCGAAGGATTGAGCTGGGCATGAGCTGGGCTGGGCTTAGGGGTTCGTTGCTGTCGCGGTTCCGGGTCGGGCCCAGAGTGAGAGGAGAGGTCGGACATGACGCTTCATACGGTCACGAAAAGTTGGCATTAAGTTGACTCTTAAGGAAGCATCGGGAATTCCCGACTCTTATCATCGTCATCGGAGCCTGAGATGACGCGACCTGGCGACGGCCCGCTGCATGCTGTCGATATCACAGAGCCCGCGACTCGGGACAAATCCATCCTCCCTAGCGACATATACTCAATCTCTGTATATGATATGACTCTTCCTAGTAATAGAGATGACAGCCGGAGGCAACGGTACTACGGAGGTGGTTAGTTGGAAAGCATCAGGTTGTCCTAGGTCCCGACCCGAAAACCTTGACCTAACTCAAGCATCGCGGCACCGCCGCCTCTGCAATAATGCGATGACAGCTGGGGGACAATAGTCGTCAGGCAAGCCTAGAGATTTCCAGGAATGAACTGTATATCTTTGTAGACAAGAGTCGAGCTAGTTCCTACACTTGCCGTGGATTTCAGTAACTTATAAGAGCGGATCCGGAGCCAGCACCTGGTGATGTATTCTTTGGAGACCGTGCAATGCCTTTCTCGATTGAATCTGATCGCTCACAAGGTAAAACCAACTGTCGCGGCGCGTATAGAACAATCTGGAGGTCCTGTAAATCGACATGTATTCTATCAGGTCTTGATTGAAATGCTCAGGGCTCCGAGATGAGCGTCGAAGTTACCCCTAAAGCTTTGCTTGCGGTAGCTTCCAGGATCACTCACTTGCTAAGATCAGACACAATAATTCGTGAAGATTCCTCTTCAGATCCATGAAAGCCTTTGAAATTGGATTAGAACAGAAAAGAGAAGACAAATTAGGCACAGGAGTAGAGTAGTTCGCTAAGTTATCTAAGTTATCAAGTTGAGGGCTTCTCTGAGGGAAAACGAACGGATTTCTTGGAGCCAATCGTCACTGCTGCCCTCTTGGCCCTGAAAAGCATGAAGCGTGTTCAAATTACCTTCGCTCAATGATTCGCTGGTTTCGAAGCCCACGATACCTGGCAACCTTTGCAATTGTTGCGATGCGTCACTGCTTGTCGACATCTCAACCATGCCCGCTCTACTGTTCTCATTGTTGTTGAGCAAGAATTCGTCGTTATCAGGCATTGGTAGATCTTCGAGATTTGACTTTGTGCTCTCGGTTCTGTTTCTTGGTGCCATAATGGTCATAGGTTCCAAAGGCGACCAAGTATGCCCTGAGTATCCACCATCGCTTTCGACTTCCTCCATGTTAATAGATGACACCCCTGCACTGTATTTAATCTTGGAGGGGTCACATCCGACATGGAGTGAGCTGACTCCGTCCTCGGAGTTTTCTTCAGAGTTATCCTCAGAGTTATCCTCAGAGTTGTCATCAGAGTTGTCATCAGCGTTGTCATCAGGGTCATGCTCAGGGCTACCCTCAGAGCTACCGTTGGTATCATAATCGAGCTGGCTGTTTTTGCCGAGTAACCGCAAGTTGTGAAGCAAGTCTTGATCGGCCTTGGTCCAACTTCGATATCCCATCAGTAACTTGTCGACAGCATAGTATCCGTTGTCCTGTGCATGAATCCTAGACTTGATATATTGACCGAGGCCAGGTCCCTCAGTTGAGGCACCAGAATCAAGCAGGAGCTGCACAATGTCTAATCTACCCATAGACGAGGCAGCTTCTAGAGCTGTCCAGTGAGCTCCACTCCAGGATCTTGCCGAACCATTTGGATCTGCCTTCAATTCAAGCAATCTTTTCACTACTCTAAAAAAACCCTTTGCGGCTGCCGCTACTAAAGGCGTAGGGTATGGGGAGCCTTTCTGAGTTTCATTGACATCCGCCCCTAGGCCAACGAGCTTTTCCACGAGGTCGATGTCTCCTATTAAGACAGCAGCCACAAGCGGTGTATCTGGGTACGGCCTCTTGGCCCAGCGAATGGTGTTGACCCCAATTCCCGAGGATAAGTACCAATCAACGACCGAAGCCTTTTTATCCTGGATAGCCCTCGCCAGAAGCCGGCGATCTATGCATGAGCCATCCGCATTCAGGAGAGGTAAGATATCTAGCGCACGGGGATTCTTAACAACATCGGAGCAGTCTATGTTGAAGCGATAGCCATGTTGTATCAGAATCGCGACGAATTCGGGCGAAGATGAGAGAGCTTGAGAAGTCACCAAGCAGTAGTCCCATTGCAGGAAAGCTGCTGTAGTGATTGATTTGAGACAATCCTTCTTATATTCCTCCATGGACATCTCAGGTGGCATTTCGAGAAGTGGATGCGTGGTAAATGATCTTTCGGCCGAGTACTGAGGGCGAAATACCATCATAATTTGGCTTGCCATATCGTCGATGCCGAGCCGCATTGCGAGACACATTGCCGTTCCGAGCCAGAAATTCTTCGGCTCCGAGCTCTGACCCAACATAAAGGCCCGCCCCATGTCAATGAGCTTGCGAAAGATGATCCAGTCGCAAGTCACAAGAGCCATGCGTAAAGCTACATAAAGTGCTCTTGCCGGGAATTGGGTGTTCATCATGATGATGATTTGGAGAGCCAGATCATGATCCTGCAGCACGATTGCGGACTCAAGAGGTGTTGGATGATCAGTGAGGCTCAAGACCGGGAGAGAAGCTCCATGTGCCAGTAGCTGCCTGATCATACGGCCCTAGCCAGTGCGGATTGCAGTCGCCATCTCACCCCCGATTTGTCTTGCTCCGCGCGAGAGGAGAAATATAACATTTTTCTCATTGCCGCTAGACAAGGCTGATTGCAATGCAGTTCTTCCAATATCGCCATAGAAGATGTCTTCATGAGTGGCTCCAGAAGTATAGACCCGGCGCAGGTGTCCTGCGAGAACAGTGTCACCGTCGGTATCTTCCAGAGCAAGTTGACAGAAGTTCACATCTGCACCGTGGTCTAGCAGAAGTCCGACGAGCCTCGGATCAGCATTGGAAGCAGCGCATTGAAGTGGTGTGCCAAATACGCTGTGATAGGAATTCTCGGCAGGCTCTGATGCAGACCCAAGCTCCAAGAGGCGTTCGCACAATAGATATTCATTCCTGGAGGCTGCAGCGCCAAGTATTGACTCCCCTAGGTGATCCACCCAGTTCAGAAAGCTTGGGTGCTTAGAAATCCATTCGAAAGTGTAATGACTCCTTGTTTTGACGGCTGTGATGAGAAGCTGAGCAAGTGCCTCAGGGCTTCGAAGTTTGGATTCCAAAAATATTAGGATAAGCTCTGTATGCGGAGAGTGAGGTGCCCAGGAGAGAAACCACAAGAGATCCCGGGCAATGGAATCGTCTTCGTTCTGGTATTCATATATGGATAGTATCCAACTCGACATGGCCGCAAGTGCCGAATCATCGTACGTACGATGCCTACGGCAAATGACCTGAAGCATCTCAAGGTCAACTGACTTGGTACTGGCACCAAGTTTGACGAGGAGCTCCACCATATTTAAGTTGAGGGTAATGACGGCCCAGTGGAGTGCTCTCGAAACTTCGAATGTGGATTTACCTAGCGGGGGACCCCTTAGAGGCAGGTCGACATCGACCCCGGTCCTGACGAGAGAATGTATAGTAATCAGATCTGACGCTATGACTGCTTTCTCAAACATCCGATGCAGAAAAGCCTGAAGACTGAGTGGGAGATCGTTACAATGCTGTGATAATAGCCATGTCCAGGTATTAGATATCCGGATTGTGGCTAAAATTGCATCATTGATGTTGTCTCGCTCTTGTAATTCGTGATCCAAGTAGTCACAGAAACCATTGGATAGTAGAAATATTATAGTTTCCAAGATTTCAAACGTTAACACTCTTGATGACGAGAACTGGGCGAGCCCTTCTGCCCTAAATGGATGGTCGTCTATTGCTTTCGCAGGCATCACGAGGGACAGAGCCTGGTAGACTTGCTGAGAGTTTGGTGCTTGGACTAATGATGAACGCTTCCGGGATACGGCGCAACTGAGTGCTCTAAGCACGGAACTGGCGGCGGATGGGATGTCGGAGACATGCGGAGATGTGGGTGCTGAGATCGTCAAAGCTGAGCCTGTCAGAAATGGACCAGAATTTCACTTAAAACTTAGTTTGAGACATACCACTCAAGAGTTGTTGACATTGGAACCATGGAAGGTCCCCAAGGCGATATTGAGCTCCGTATTCAGGTGACGGGGTCAGGATGAGTAGGGGCAAGTCCCCAGGTAATGAATCTGCGGCTGGGGCTACTAATCGTCAGTTAGCATACTGGGTAGTCATAAGAACCAATAAGACGAACAGAATGCGAGCTGATAGTTCTCATGATCGAAAAAATATACGAAACGGAGATATCTTTATTTATGCTCGAAAGACTTGCGAGAGATAGAGCGTGCTTACCAGAGTTGAAACGCTCGAGCACTGAAATGTGACCGTGACGACTTCTTGCCTTTTGAATCGCTAAAGGTTTCAATGGGACCCCAGAGAGATACAGACGGCTCTTCTTGCCCAAATTTTGTCGCTCAACAATTTGAGCATTGGCATACCTCCACTGCTGGGCGGTCATGTTCTTGACAATGTGCCATTGCTTGAGTTTCCACTCTAACTGAGCTTTGCTGTAAGGTAAAAGGGGTTAGCGCGATTACCTTAAGGGGTAAATACTCGACTGGAAAGTATCGATGTGGGTTCATCTAAGAGGAAAACCACCTGGCCTGGAAATTATGTACGGTCTTGAGGGCGGCAAGAATGAAGCTCAACGTCATATCTTCTCGTAGATACAGTTGTCGAATGACGGGTCTTACCCGCTCCCACTCTGCATCGCTGATTACAGCTTGCCTTCGTTGAAGAGGCATGGCGGAGTAGAGAGGACTAGCTATGTGGAATTTCGCCTGTAGAGATGGAAAGAAACATTAGAAATGCTTCCATGAATCCAAGTTATCGTACTGAGGGAGAAGGTCAGATATCAAAAGTCATCGAAAGACTTCATCATTTTGCGACTGCATTGGGGAGAGATGTGTGGTTCAAATACATGGATACGTATGACGGTATACAGGTTTGGTTGGCCTGTCCCGAAATCCGATTCAGTTGTACTACGCCGCGAACGGTGTCAGGCAGATGTTGGGCTTTCCAGATCGTTCCTTCATGATTGGCCTCTGCCGAAATCTGGTCTGCACATAAGCTTAGCCCCCGACCAGGTCTCACGAGTAGGAGATTCAGGGAAAATGCACTTCAATGCCAAGATTTACAATCAGCTGGAGCCTGCCGTAATGGGTCATCGCTTCCTAGGTGCATGGCGTGACATTCTCTCATTGGGCGTTGCCGAATTCTGATCGAAATTCTTCCAATTCTGTTGCTCACCGAGAAGCCAGGGAGGTAGTATGACGTATGTGTATAACAAGGCAGGATCTGTTCGTGAGGCGACCGGAACGCTTCTCGAATTCTAGACTTGCAAGGAACGTAGCGATTGTTTACGTTTGTCTAGGCATTACAATATTATGTCGGATATCTTAAGCACACCCTTCGCCGATCTTTGTCTAGAGAGCCCCTTTCACTGGCTACTTTATTTATTTAGACAACCAGGCGACAAGCGCGTCATGAAACTCCTCCGGTTGAGAGATCTGAGGCGCGTGACCGAGCGCGGGGAAGGTGTGAAGAGTCGCGTTGGGGATCTGAGCAGCAACAGCAGGGCCAAGAGCAGCAAAGTTGCCCAGCTTCGCGGCAACATCAGGAGGAGACCATTGCTTCCCGATGGCAGTGTTGTCCTTCTCGCCGATCATGAGCAAAGTGCGAGGCTTGAGGAGAGAGAACTCATAGCTGACGGGCTGCGTGAGGACGAGGTCGACGATCTGGGCCTGGTTGAGCGCGTAGGTGTCGGCCTTGGAACCCTTGTAGATGTTAACCAGCATGTTGACCCAGGTGTCGTACTCGTCCTTCCATTCCCCGACGTAGTAGGTCGCCTGTTCATATCCCTTGATGGAAGCGTAGGAGCTGGCACGCTCCGTCACGTAGTTGTCGTCGATGGGGAGGTAGGGAACGCCGAGCGCCTTGTAGTCCTCGAGGCCAACGGGGTTGACGAGGACCATCTCGTCGACCTCGTCGGGGAACATCAGACCGTAGCGGGTGGTGAGCATGCCACCGAGTGAGTGACCCATGACAGTGACGCTCTCGATGCCAAGGGTCTTCAGAAGACCGTTGGTGTTGGTCGCGAACTGCTGCAGAGAGAACTGGTAGCGCTCAGGCTTGGTAGACTTGCAGAAGCCGATCTGATCCGGGGCAATGACGCGGTAGCCGGACTGAGCGAGGACGCGGATGGTGGTCTCCCACGTCGGACCGCAGAAGTTCTTGCCATGGAAGAGCACGGCCGTCTTTCCATTGGGAGCGCACTTCGGCTTGACATCCATGAAGGCCATCTCCAGCTCCTGCAGCTGGGAGGTGAACTTGTATAACTTGACGGGCCATGGATAGGTGAAGTTGGAGCCGTTGAGGTCTTCGGGAAAAGAGTCGGAGTTGTCGTCGATTGTCCCCTGCGCGGACACGAGGGCGGCGCCCGCCGCGGCGAGGGTGGTGATGAGGGAGAAGACCTTCATCGTGACGGACTTAGTAGGGTTAGCTGCGTGAATACTGAGTGAAGTATCGCATGATGAGATCCCTCATGCGCTTGCCAATGTGGACAGCCGACGGAAGTGTTTTCCATCCCGTACAGGACGGAACTGATAATCACTGCAGACAACCGGACAATCAAACATAGCGAACAGATAGACCAACAAACAAGTAGAATGCTGTGGATGTCGATCATGGTCTTCCAAATGACTTCATTGTGAAATGCGACCAAAACAAAACTTTGCAAGTCCGTAGAGCTTGGGCATGGCCTCAACTAAGGTATTGACGCAAAGGGAAGCTTACCTACTTAACAGCGATGATAACTCGACTTTGACTCTACCAGAGATACCCGTTGACCTGAGCAAAGTGCCAACAGCTGGTGCGTGCGAAGGGAGATCATTCAATAGCCTTTAGCCCAGGATGGGCGTCCTCTGTTTATATTACGATGGTAGCTCGGACAAGTTGCCGGGAACCACCACGTGTGTTGGAGCACATGGTGGGCATGCAAGGCATGGAATAGCTGCAACATGCACACAAAAGATGGAGAAGTGAGGGAGGGACTTAGGGAGGGAGACAGGTAGGGATGGAGGAAGACCGAAGACTGCGTAAGGCGAACTCCATATTCGATGGCCTCGACACCCTAATTTCCGCTGGCCAGTGGGCCTGACAGTTTCGGCTCCGCTGGCGAGTATGCCCCGGACGGTGAGGTGGACTGGCGCCATTTCTTCATGTCGGGTGCTGCGCCGTTCAAGCCGGCCGCTGAGGGTACGGGCCGGGTCGGCGGCTCAGATGGGTTTGTTTGGGGCCTTGTGTCATGGTTGGACTGGGAGAGATCCAACACGTCAATGATCTCTGTCTCTAATGGTATGTGACCACCGTATTCACCGATCTGTGAGTTACAATAGTAAACATGGCGAATGAATTGGCAACATCGACGGTTGGCTAAGGCAAGGTAGGATCGTTCGCGCATTTCAAGCGATCACTGACCTGTGGAAGCACGCTGAGATCATGACGGACAGAATCAGTAGGATCTTGGCCGGGAATAACGAGATGGAAGGACTTTTGCAGGGGCCTGGTCGTCACCAACACGATTATGGGAGGGTAGGGTATCTCACACAGATGAACCCTTGTGAAGTGCGGTGGTGCGCAATCCTGATAACCCATGTTCTCGGCCTCAGAGGCGTCCACACTCCATGGAACTTGAGCTTTCTGAAGAGGCACGGTGTCTCTTCTTATCGACCTGCGATGCGCAATTGAGGCGACAGCAGGATCGGCGAGAAGCTTGATCGGCGTTGCACAGATATCGGTTTCCATCAATGACAGCCCTCATCACAATTGCTGTACATGATTGAATTCCATAGACAGATGTTCCCTCAATGCACGCGCGGACGTGAGTACTCGTTCGACTGAGGAGTAGGTACGCTCGCTCGTATTTCGTCGCAGACCGGTCACGAGCTTGGTGGCTCGGTGACATCGAATATTGGTCGAACGTCAATAAGACAGGAGCCGTGCTATATCAGCCGGGCTGTCGCTCGTAGCTCGTGTTTCGTCGGTCTGTTGGACCGTCCGTCGTTACGTATATGCAAATTTCTCTTCGAGACCTCCGCAATGTTCAGGTGAAGAACACCAGCCTCTTCCGACTTAGACCGCAGCAACTTCATCTTAAGCTGTTGCTGATGACAGGGATGCTTGCATTTTTAGTGCTTTGTCCCGGCTATCCGCGGCGGGCACCAGTCTCCGACAGAAGAACATAGAGGGGAAGGGGAAAATCCCTCAGAAGGGTGGCTTGGCCGATGGTACACGGCGGCGTAGGTATTAGCTCGCCAATTTCCAGGAACAGTGCCATTTTGCTGCTGGGACACCATGCTTGTCCAATGGACAATTTGACAAGCAAACTTGGGTACGCTCAGGATTTGATGCTGGTGCGTGGGATCACAATCCTTCGACCACCTATCCGTACAGTAAGTGTATTCATCCTCACCAGGATGACCAAATCGGGAAGGCCTAGCGAAGGAGGATTCTATGCCCTGAGGCCTGCATATCTTCATCAAAAAGACACCTGGAGAGCCACGGAACATGGGGTTTGCCAAGCGCGGCCCGGAGGAAATATCACACAGCGAACATCGCTGCCCAGAAAGGAAGCTCAGCGCCGTTGACCGAGAGCTCTATCGAGTAACTGCATCATGAGAGTATCTCGGTGGCCAAAGTAACGGCTGCCTCTTCTGTTGGAGCGAGTTATCGGTTCGCCAAGTTCAGCCAGAATACTACCTCATCTTACACTGAGTGTCGGACACGTCGTCACCATCACTGACCTCAAGTAGCATCGGATGTCAGATCTCAATCGCGACGGGTGGTTGCAACGAGAACAGACGGACATCCCACCAAACTGAGTTGGCGGGAGCGGGAACCAAAACGGGACGTTGGCGCCAACAGTCTCCAAGCCCACAAAGCCCACCTCAAGGCATCGCAAAGGGACCACAAGGCGGACGATAATGTGGTGGTGTGATAGTATTAGGGCCCGAAGAACAACGGGCCCCAGGGCGCACAGACGGGCCTCCGGATGCTACGGATGGGCAGGGAAGTTTAAACGGACCTGTCTGATGGTCGCATGCAACCTCAGTTTACCCAAGATGAACTGCAAGCCACAACGAGAATTTGATGGCAAGATGGCAAGTAACATTCCGAAGTACCTATCGAAGGATCTAGTCGACGCCAATGACTGGACTGTGGCGCTTCTTATACGTTGTACAAGTCAATAGTGGCGGAGCCTCATGACGAGATTCAACCAAGATTCTTAGCACAAAAAGCCTTTGATGAGTGAGCTGATCTTGTCATATAAACAAGGGGGAAAGCCATTCAGCTTATGCGAAGAGAGCCACCGGAATCCGCTACAGAACCCCATAAACTCTCCACGCCCCATTTCCTCATCCGACAAAATCTGAACCACGGGCCTGGTGGATGTTGAAGAATCTGACGAGAAAAAGAAAGCAGTAGAATCGACTCCCTCGACATGTGAAACCATGTCGGTCCAGGATCGATGGTGCAAAATCATCTGCGCCTCATTTCCCAGCAATTATAAGCATCACCCGGGCTGCGGGCACACTGTCCGTCTTTCTAATAAGCTATGGTAGAGCCTAACCCAACCGGTATCGCTGTCCGATGCCCGTGTCTAGACCACTTCGTCAAGATGTAAAGATGTAGAGGCAAAGAGTGACAAAGATGAGGGTGCCTGGATCATCCCGGCTAGGTACATGTTCGTCGGACATCTCTTTTGGACTCTCAAGGCTGTTGTCTTTCATGCAGGCCTTCTGTCGAACACCTTCACTGGTCAATCTCTTCAAGCTTCCGCCCTATTGGTATGGCATACGTAAGTCTAGGGCATAGAACCAGATTAGAACATCGGCAAACTTTTATTCGACATGAGTCTGAGGACCACCAAACGAACATATTCTTCAGCGATTACCTATTCATTTCAACGAAACTTGGATTGCTGCAGAATCGAACGTTTTGTGTGGAAGATGTCGTGGACGGTCCAGAATTTGATCCTGGCATCCACAAAGGACGGCGGATGCGGCGACCCATTCATCCACCCTTTTGTGGTTACTCTTCTTCTCCCTTGACCTGCGGGCAAATGCAAGGGTACAGAATTCATTTTCTCTTGGTAGTCTCGCGGTCGGTAATCTAGTTCATCGGCCTTTTTCTGTCTTCATGTGTTCCCAGCCCTGGTCTCCCTCCATCTGGCCCCCAAACCTACATCCACCCCTTGGCAACCTCATGGTTGGCTACTCAACATCTTCTCCTGTGAATGAAGACGCATGTTGGAAGACAATTGACTGCTCCTCCGAATACTGCAGTAGTCTGCAGACTGTCACGCCCGTTCCGCGCCACCCTCCTACTCGGTCTCGCTGCAAGGGTGGTGCGGACGAGAGAAAGTTTTGTAGACTTGTGCCTGGCGGCAGACATACGCGGGGGCCGCCGTTGTCTCTTACTGTTTTCACACTTTAATGCCGCCCAATAGGATTTCCGCCTTCCCCTTTTCTGCTGCGGAAAGACTACCGAGCCCTTCGGACTTGGGTGGACGGGTTCTCCCTAGTCAAAAGCCACAAAGTCTGCAAAAGAGAGGTCTGGGCATGAACATATAACCGTTCGTTGGGACCCAGTCGTCCCGGCCCATTGGATTCTTCCTCGATCTGCGTCTACCATCTTCCGATAACCTGGTGTCTTGCCCACAGACCGTTGGCCTTTCGGGGCCCACAACCTCATCAGACGAGCCTCATCTCCTACGACCTCGACCTCACTGCACGTTCACCATGGTTGAAGGGAACATTTCCGGCGAGAGCAATGCACTCATGGTGCAGGTGCCGGCCATCGTCTTCTTCGTCCTCACGCCTATTTTCGTGGGTATCCGGTTTTGGTCAAGGATCAAGATGAGATCTGGCCTTGGCTGGGACGACTGGACTATTCTCTTCTCTTTTGTAAGTCTACTACTCTATTAGGCACTCGATAGTATGGTGCCTTGCTGACGCTCTCAAGATCTGCTGCCTGATCGTGTCGATATTGATGATGATCTCTTGCGAGTATGGGTTCGGACAGCACATCAGAAATCTGTCAAAACCTAATAAGGTGATGACTTTACAAGTATGTAGTTGGCGACATCTCATACCGTTCGGTTGTAATGAAGCCTAAGTGGATACATGTCTGACTCTTGATAGCTGTTCTATGTTGCCCAGATCTTCTACAAGATCACCATCAATCTCACAAAGGCATCCATTTTACTCCTATATCTTCGCATCTTTGTCCAACGGTACTTCCGGATTCTTTGCTACACGCTTCTCAGCATCATTCTGGCCTACATGGTAGCGACCTCGGCCTCTTCGATATGGCAGTGCACCCCTATACCGAGGGCTTGGGATAAGAGCATTCCTGGTACTTGTATCTCGCTTACCATGAACTGGTATGCGAATGCGGGATTCTCTATTGCTACCGATGTTCTCATCATGGCGCTGCCGCAACATGTTCTGTGGCAGTCGAAACTCCCTACCAACCAGAAGAGGCTGCTCATGGTTGTGTTTGCTCTGGGCCTCTTCGTCACCATCACAAGTATCTTGCGCATGACGACGCTGAACTTTTCCACCACGAGCCCGGACACCACTTGTAAGTGATGCAATGACTCTATGTAGCTCCAGCCGCTGACACATTAGCGTAGTCGACATCGCCTCAACACTCTGGACAGTCGTCGAAGACAACGTCGCCATCATCTGCGCCTGCCTGCCCATGTGCCGTCTTCCCTTGACCTACCTCTTCCCGACCTACTTCGCAACCAAGAAAGGCTCGTCTGCTGGCAGCTACAACACAGGCTCCGCACCACGAACGAACAACAGCAACTTCATCCACGCCGGTACGAGCCGCAACGACTGGCACCCATACCAGGGCCGCGAAGAAAAGAATGGAATCCATCTGACGAGTGTGCATGCTAGACCAAAGGTTGGGGACGATACGAGCGAGGAGTACATCCTACCTACAGCCGCCGACGAAAGGCGTGTGAGGACTCCGAGCGAGGAGGTGGAGGATCGTCGGGCTATCAGGAAGACGACAGCATTTCACATGACTTATGATGATGAACAGCCGAGGAAATGAGACGCGGGACTTGATATGATGGAGAACATAGTCAGGAGTAAAAGTTATCATTCAAAGGAACTCACAACTACCCCTCGTTCCGAAGAAGGTGTAGGCAAATGCCATGAGCAATTTTTCTAACCTTACACAGCGACACTTGGGTCTTCGTCCCCTCTATCCTAGATACTGAAGAGATCTTTGCCAGAGCTAGGCCTTGTCTAAACTGCGAGAGACGCAATCACCCTGTCACGGCCGATGCAACGGTCGGTCGTTAAGCTATCATAATGGCTGACATACTGGCCGGTGGCGTTCATGAGCAAGACGTTCTCATCTCTTTCGTACATGGGGAACTCCATAACCCCATGTCCATGAGGATTTCCGCTCAGAGCGAAGCTGGCCATGTATCGCTGCAGAGCGATGGCAGTCTCTGGGCTAGACATGCCAGCTCCGTCATCGGAAAACGTGTATGCAACATCCTCGGCATGCATGGCAGGGAAGACGCCAAATTCATACTGATGAGTCGTGCCATTCAATGCTCTAGCAAGAGCAAGACCATTGCACCGGAAAAGGAGGTCTTGCATGGTGAGTGCAGTACGGGAGATGTGATCCGTGTATCCATAAGAGCCGTTGAGAATGGGTGGGTACAAGTCCGTTGCCATGTAATCGATCGAGTCGGCGCTGGCGCCTAGGAGGATAGAAGACATCCATTCGCGGTAGCCGGCGTCGTCTATGATGTTGAAGGAACCGAAGAAGAGACCGTCATTGGTGTTTGAGCCGGCCATGACGTTGACTTTGGTATCAAATTTGCCCTCCGATATCAACATCGCGGGCTCAGCGGGGACAAAGGCGCCGTCGACTACGGGACTAAATGTGAAACTTCCCAAGCGGCCGGCAAAGACCTGATCGTAATTGGCTGCGATAACCGCCGAGGAAGGAAGCTGCATGGCCTCGGCAAGGGTGCTGACGTTCAAACGGGATAGAAACTCCGCAAAGATGTTGTTCTGGCTTTGGGCTGGGGGGGATGGGAGGATCGCTGGGGACTGTGGGATAATCTGTTGGAACGGAACAGAGCCTTGAGAGCCCCCGAAAGCCTAAGATGCTCCGGTATTAGAAGTGTTCACTCCGGATAATTGAACGTCGTGCCTTGACTTACAGTTGTCTGATAGACAAGCGAACCTCCTCCAGCGGATTCTCCTGCAAGAGTCACGCGTGCCGCATCCCCGCCGAAAAGATGAATATTTTGTTGAATCCACTCCAGTGCAAGTCTCTGATCAAGAAGTCCTGCGTTGGTAACGCCTCCTTGAGTTGTGAATTCGGGACCGCTAAGGAATCCAAAGGCACCGAGGCGGTAGTTGAGAGCCACATAGACGAAATCATGATTGCCTTGCCTCAAAAGGCCTGCAGGCGAGCCACTGTTAAGCCCAGCCTTGGAGCCAGTGTCGTATCCACCGCCGTAGATCCAAACAAGGACCTGTTTGGTTCGTCCCTGTTAGCTCGGGCTTCTTTGACTATGATTGTAGTGCATAACTCATAGGAACCTCTACTTACGGGTGCTTTAGTAGCAGTCTCGTTTGATTTGGTTGCATCGAAAATCTTCTTTGGCACCACCACGTCCAGAAACAGACAGTCTTCGCTGGCTCTTGAGTCGAGGAGCTGGCCGCCAGATAATGAGATGTTAGGGCCGAGTACGTACTGGTACGCTTGCTCGAGAAGACCCGGTGTCCAGTCTGGCAGGGCCTGAGGGCAGATCCGGGCCTCTTCACCCTTCTGCACAACAGACCTATCTGTTGTAGGAGGTACCGGCGCGGCGAATCGAAGATCGCCAATTGGCGGGGCTCCGTATCGAATGTTGGAAAAGTTGTATGCTTGACTTGAGGTCTGTGATTGATGAGTTTCAAGCATCACGAAGTCAACTGCCCTCTCCGGAGCAATGAAGGTTCAAGCACCAGCTTTTACTTACGTCGAAATTGAGAGCTTGGTGGAGCTCGTAGTCCAGGTCTACGATCGGAAGACTCGTTGAATCATTGCCTGTTTGGATGCGTGACGCTGAAACAAGCGAAGTGCAGGCGAGCGTGACAGCACCTGTGAGGAGAGAATTCATGTCTGAGAGAGTGAAAATGTTGTTTCTTGAATGAAAATAAGTGAATGAGGAGTGCGTGCTACGGAATCTTCTCGGAGGAGGAAAGTGGTTTCTTCAAGATATTTCTACTACCTTTTGGTCTGCCTCTCTTCGCCATACTGAGAACCCCTTGACAATTTGGATTGCTTCAATACCATGTACGCATTGCGGGCCACTCCGCTGAGAAACCGGTCTCTATGATCAAAATAAAAGCCATGATGCAACCAGCTGACGTCTGAAATTGCTGCACGATAGAATAGGGTAGTAGCACGCAAGACTATAAGATAAGGGCAAGGGTGCTTGATTCAAGTTGCGGCCCGATTTCTTTAGTGAGCAGACAATAGTGCGGAACAAGTGGCTCTCCTCTTTTATCTGGTGGGGTTTCTCCTGTTCTCTTGAATCTTTACTCTAAAGCATGTCCATAAGTTTACCGGATAGACAGTGATGCGTGTGGCTCGGATTGTGATTGGGTAGATACGCGTACGTAGCTGTCTGTAGGTGCCTGTGATGTCCGAGTCCGGGGCCGGATCCGTCAGGTCGGTTTCGTCAACGCTATGCCAATTTAAATGCCGGGTAAGGCCACTTCGGAGCTACAACCAAGGAAGATGGCAAGTCGTTGTGGAGTGAAAGCTAATTATTTCTTTGCCTCTCTAGTACCCATAAGGCATAAGCTACAGTAGGCAAGGAAGCACGGTCGTGTCAGCGACACGGGAAGACATTTTCCTATGTCCGTCTGGACGGCTGACGTCGAGGTGTCAAGTCCGTCAAGATCAAGACTACGTGCAAAAACAGTTGACTTGCACGTGTTCTCTAATCTCCCATATTTAATACTGAATTGTTTTGTAGCAAGTTTTGGTCCTATTGGAAACAAGACACGACTTGAACTATCTACTTATTTGACATCTCTTCTTGATCAACATTGAATTATCCCAACAATTTCAAGCATCATCACGAATCGGACCTTGTCAAAATGACGAGAGTTCTTCTCACTGGAGGAAGTGGCTTCATTGCCACGCACATCATAAAGCTTCTTCTTGAGCGAGGGTACTAGACATTCCATTTCTTGGACGAAAAGCCTGCGCCCTTTTCTCAACTAAACTCACTCACGTAGGCACTCTGTGGTCACAAGCGTCCGAAACCAGGCCAAAGCAGACGCGATTAAGAAGTCATATCCTGACGTCGGAACCGACAGGCTGTCATTCGTCATTGTACCTGATGTAACCAAGAGCGATGCATTTACCGATGCCGTCAAATCTGACCCACCCTTTGAGGCAGTTATTCACACTGCGAGCCCCTTTCATTTCAACGTGACTGATATCGAGGCGGATCTCCTCGATCCCGCTATCATGAAACCACCGGAATCCTCCAAGCAATCAAACAGAATGCCCCCTCAGTCAAGCGCGTGGTCATCACATCATCCTTTGGTTCCATGATGGATGTTTCCAAGGGTCTTTGGCCTGGTCACACGTACGATGAGAGCGACTGGAATCCAATCACAATGGAGCAAGCGTTGCAGAGCCCAGGCGCTGGGTACTCTGGTATGTTGAATCCTACTGTTGAGAGACCGCATGGAAGCTGACTTTTGTGTAGCGAGCAAGAAGTTTGCTGAGAAGGCCGCTTGGGACTTCCTTGCCAACGAGTCTCCTGCGTTCTCCATCTCGACTATCCTTCCACCCCTCGTATTTGGCCCTGCTGTGCACAACCTGGCATCTCTTGATGCTCTCAATACCTCCAATCAGTTCATCCGCAGCTTCATCTTAGGCGCGGCGAAGAAGGAGATTCCACCCACGCAAGTCAGTCAATGTTTCCGATGACAAAGTCTCTCTATTTGATGCGCTTCGGCTAATATATAGTGTCAATTTCCAGAACGCCATTTTTGCCGATGTTCGAGACGTTGCATTTGCTCACGTAGCAGCCATGGAGAAGGCGGAGGCCGGCAACAAGCGCTTCTTCATAACCAACGGCTACTGCTCAAACCATGAGATCATCGACATCATTCGCAAACACTTCCCGGAATACAAGTCAGCCTTGCCTTCAAGATGTACCAAGGGCGGTGGTACGTGGATTTTATACTCACAAATCGTTCAAGGCTGTCTATTCTCTAGAACTCCCCAAAGAGGTGTACCAAATTGATACCACACGCAGCGTCGAGATACTGGGCATGAAGTACTCGGGGTTCGAAAGTTGCATTGTGGATACCATCAGATCTTTTTCTTCCATCAAACAGTAACAGCCCAATGCTCAGTTATTGAGGAACATATCGAAAATATAGCAGAGATTGATTGAAACGATTGATGTTGCTTCTTGTGTTCAAAACGCACAAACTTGCAGTCATAAGTAACTCGCGATAGTCCAGCATTTCACACCGATGTTTGCTGTATTTGACCGCCTCAAGTGTGGCTTTAAACAATTCAGACTGCTCTATAAAGTGGTCTGAAGTATTTATACAGCAATTTTCTCGCTTAAAAAGTCCGCCGCTATCATGTACGCTTCGCTCCTGATCTCCTCCTCGCGGGTGCCAGCCTTGATATGTTTGTCCCAGGCGTGAGGAACACCATCGAACCTCCGACTGATGACATTGCGATCAGTTTCATGAATCTTGGATGCCAGTTGCTCGGCTTCTAAGCACAGGCTGTCTCCTTCACAGGTTATGAAGAGCATATTTTGGGAGAACTAGTCGACATCGGTAAAGGTGGGGGAAATGTGAGGATCATCCTTCCGAATAGAGACAGGTATGTAACATTCCACGATAAAGTTGGCCACGATTGGTTGAATAGGCCGGATTGGCGAGAGTGCTTTCTTCTCCTCTGGCGGCTTATGCTGACGGGTGACACGATAAAAGGCGATGACTCCACGGATTGCTGCCGTGGATGACTGACTTTGAGAGCTTGCGGCTGAAGTGACCAAAGCGATGTTGCCGCCAGCGCTGAAGCCTGACAAGAAGATTTCGTTCACGTCAAACTTTTCAGGCTGACCGCAAACCCATTGCAGGATATCGAATGCATTATCGGTAGCGGCAGGGAAAGGATCCGCGGGTGCTTTCCGGTAGTCCGCATCGACCAAAATCATCCCCGCGGACTTGCTCACAGTGCTGCAGAAGGCCGCATCGCTCTCAAGAGCGGGAACCAGGAACCCGCTGCCGAGCCAGTTGACAAGGACTGGTCTTGGTCCGCTCTTGGCATCAGTTAGAGGATGGTCATAGACGTGAATTCTGATCCTTCAATCTTGGCCTCGCGATTCAACCTCGAGCTGGGTGATGTCGTCGAGGTAGAGCTCTACTGTAAGCTGGACGCAAAAAAAACAAAAAAAACAAAGCCATGGCTTTACGTCGGACGGACGTAACGAAGCCTACCATCTTTGCGTAGTTAGTTCAGGCGCGAATCGAAGGGATAAGAATTCCAGGGAGGGTAAAAGGATTGTTGCATCTTGCTTAGAATTAGGGACACAAGTGCTACTTTTATGCGCAATGAAACAATTGACCTTTTGTCTTAGATGTAAGTCGACACGGGTCTGGCTCTGGATAGATGATGCCGCCGACGCGGCAGCTCACAGCGCCTTAGTTTGCGGAAGACATTGAGTCTGCGGCGTGTAGCAAGATTGATTCAAGCTGATTTTTCCTTTGAAAGGCAGACAATCAAAGTACATGCAAGGATAGCTAGTTAATTGTGAAATTTGGAGCTTTTGTTCAAGCTTCGTGAGATCAGGTCTCTATGTTCCAAGCAGGGTATCCTAACGCGGGCAATGCGGCCGCATGCCGCGCATTTGCTAGCGGGCAGAGAGCCGCGATGCCGCGACGCGGCGACGCGGCAATGAGACGACGCAGCTTAGCCAACTCGACGGTGGATGGATAGAAAGTTTCTGGACTTAGCAAGATTAATTCCGAGGGAGAACGTGTTGTCTGCATGCATGTGTTTTTGTGTATGTCTGAAAGTACAGTATAAAGGGATGTTCGATTCGACTCTACCTGGTAAAAATCGAAAGCATATCACACTTCATCATACATCTATCTCTATACACCCCTAAAGACCAATTAACAGCACTTCAATCCAAGATTTCTCCCAAAATGTCTTCCAAGTACGCTTCTTCCCACGTTTCTCCCCAGGGCCCTGGAGATGCTCGTCCCACAGCCCTACAAATCATCAAAGGTGAGGGCCTCGAAGGCAAACTCTCGGACAAGGTCGTCCTCATCACTGGCTGTTCCTCCGGCCTGGGCGTTGAGACGGCGCGTGCGCTGTTAGCGACCGGTGCAACGCTGTACCTGGCGGTTCGCATTCCCGCCAAGGCGAGAGCTGCTCTGGGCGTCATGTCTCAGAACGACCGAGTCCATCTCCTGACTCTTGATCTGAACGACCTCTCCAGCGTCCGGGCGTGCGCCGCAGACTTCGCGACGAAGAGCAAGACTTTGAACATTCTTATCAACAACGCGGGTGTTATGGCGACTCCCGGGGGAAAGACTACCGATGGTTTCGAGACCCAGTTTGGCACCAACTATCTCGCACATTTCCTCTTATTCCAGCTTCTGAACCCCATTCTTCTTGCTTCATCGACCCCGGAATTCCCTTCACGCCTAGTCAACGTTTCTTCAAGCATGCACAGAGCTTGCGAGGTTCAGTTCGATAACCTGAACTGGACTGGGAACTACGACCCCTGGATGGCGTATGGCCAGAGCAAGACTGCCCTTGTCTGGATGGCCAACGAAGTAGAACGTCGATACGGTTCAAAGGGCCTCCATGCTTTCAGTCTTCACCCCGGCGGTATTCTTAGCGGTCTTCAGCAACATGTGCCGGACGAGCTCAAGGCGGCATGGGGGAAGAATGAGACCTTTGCCAAGCATTGGAAGAGTGCTGAGCAAGGAGCAGCGACTACTGTATGGGCGGCGGTCAGCAAGGATTTGGAGGGCCAGGGTGGGAAGTATCTGGAGGACTGCCAGATCATTGGCGCTTGGGACCCCGCGACTGGTGAAATCGGCCCTGGCTACGCTACTTGGGCGTATGATCAGGAGAAAGCCGAGAAGCTGTGGCCTCTGGGGCTCAAGCTTGTTGGGCTATCGGATGCCGCGTAAGATCATCCTGAAGACTGCATGACGATGCTCGTGCTAGATCTCAGGGCACACCTCGCAGAGGTAGGAAATTAAGATTCCTCGGATTCAGGACCTGATAATTAAATTCTTGAATGAAAGAAAAATGTGTTGTTGCATATAATACACTTGAGAGCAAGGTGGTCACGTAGTTTACGCAACCGACTACTTGGTGAGGACTCCCACAATATGGGGGATCACATCGCTACTCGACTCACCCGCTGGCTGAGCCAAGTCCACCTCACTCCACGAGCCAACACTCTGCAAGGTTTGCCCCGTCGACCGGCACAGTTGACAAGAACCCATCATGTGCTCCCAGAAGATGTTCGTGAAGCCTGAAAAGAAACGTCAGTGTCCTCTATGCACCTGAAGGTAAGTATCGAGAAGAAGGGCTCTCACGTTGAAAAAGGGGGATGAGTAGCCCTTGCTCCGCCTTGACATGCTCAAAGACATACCACCGACCACCTTTTTTCAGGTAGTTGTAAAGTAGCCGTATGTTCTTCTCAGGCTCCGGAATACTGCAGAGACACTGAACGGTCATGATGCAGTCGACGCTACCAGGTTCGATACGTCCGCCCCAGGCCGACTCATTTTGAAGATCTTCAATGCCCACTGGCACAACCTGATAAGTTCCCTTCAAGTCGAACTCCTCCACACGTCGTTTCAGCGATGCAGCGGACACCGGGTTCGGCTCGACGCCATAGATCTTGGTCGGGGCTGCACGAGACTCGGCCTTGGCGGCTCGAACGACGGTGGCGAGCGATTCAGTCCACATCCCGCTCCCAGCTCCAATTTCGAGGACAACACCCTCGATGGGCTTGCTGGCCCCCCTTTCGGAAACCCGCCCTTTTCGAATCCGGCCCTCAAGGAGTGGCAAGACCTTGTCCTCGCCTCTGGCTTTGGATTTGGGCCCCATGAATTTCCAGAACTCTCCGAACCAGGCCTCTTTGAGTGCGGACTAGGACAGCAGGGTCTTGACGTCACCGGTGATGGCGAGTTTGAAGATGGTGAGCCATAGGTAGACCAAGGAGATGGCCATGAAAACCCATGGTAGCAGGATATTTGCCAACATTGTGATCGTGCGAGGCGAGCTGATTGGTAGCAAAGACGCAGGTGCTGGTGCTGTTATCACTGTGATGCCTTTATACCAGAAGATCTCGGAAACTTTACGAAATGTTTCCGTTGTCTTAGTCAAAGGTCCTGAAGCACGGATATTTTGGCGCCATAGGATGGCAGCGGAAAGCAACGGAGACAAAAGGTTTGCCCCTCAGTTTCAAACCCCGCGCCGTCTGAGGTGGGCCGATCATCTCGAAGTCGCGACGTGGGGCCGGAAAACTTGCTCGCCTCAACGGGGAGAGTGCGAGTTCTGAAGATGTGAAAAGAGGCGAGGTTGAGCGAATCAATAGTAGCTTTTCATCGGAACACACGCAAAGCTTGGCACGCTTTCAGAAACATGCACAATAAGGTAGTCATCAGTTGTAGACTTTCGTTTCAAAGAGGCCAAAAGACCCGAGATGAGATTTTCTATGTACAGTCTAATCGTCGTCTAAAGTACAAAGGAGAATATTACAGGCGGATACTACCTAATGTTCGGTGATCCGGGTTGCTGCCAAAAGCCAGCTGAAGCATTTAGAGCTTCTTGACAGCCTTGGCGGCAGGATCCTTGGAGATGCGCTTGGCAGTCTCCTGCTCGTCGCGCTCGTGGAGTTCAGGCTTGGAGTCCAGAGGGCGGTCCAGGCCGAGGCGGTGTGCGGTGCTGTAGGAAGCGATGCCGCCCTGGGGGTCAGCCTCGGTGACGAGTTCCTTGCGGCGGGTGTCGACCAGGAGACGGATGAGGTCGGGGCGCATGTAGTGGCCGGCGAAGTCAGCGAGGACCTTGGTGAGGTGGGTCTCGTTGAGGTCGATGTCGACGAACATGAGACCGTCGAAGTCCTTGTCGGGCTTGGGGACAGCCAGGCTGCCGTCAGGCTTGTAGATGCGGGCGTGGCCGTTGTAGTCGGACGGGTCGGTCTCGGGCTCGACGCCCTCGGGGGTGTTCTTCTTGAGACCCTCGACGGAGAGGCGCTGGAAGGGAGCGAGGACCCAGGTGCCGGTCTCGATGGCGTAGGCGGGGGTGACGAGCTCGGAGGCGGTGTCGGCGTAGTTAGTGGCCGGGTCGGGGGAAACCTGGCGCTGGACGCCGGGGTAGATGGGCCACCCGGCAACGTGGACCTGCTCGCCCTGAGAGACGTTGAGGGACTTGAGGAAGGGGTTCATGTTCTCCCAGCAGTTGAGCTGGCCGACGCGGCCGATCTCGGTCTCGGTAACGGACATGAAGGTGTCACCGGAGCCGTCACCGTAGACGAGCTTCTCAACGTGAGTGGGCTTGATCTTGCGGCGGTGGTTGATGATGGCGCCGGTGGGGTCGATGAAGACCTGGGCGAGGTAGAGAGTGGCGTGGTCGAGCTCGGCGAAGCCCATGGAGACGAAGACCTGGTTGTCGCGGGCGGCGCGGCGGATGCGGCGCATCTCCTCAGAGTCGACGCGGAGGGAGTTCTCGCGGTACTTCTTGAGCATGGGGAGGGACTGGAGGTAGGTGACCTTCCACATCCAGTAGGGGTAACCGGGGATCCCTGGAGTGGTGTTAGTATGTTGAAGGTGGTAAGGGTTAGGCGAAGTAACTTACAAACTTCGGGGAAGGCAACAAGCTTGCAGCCAGCCTGGCCGGCCTCGTTGATGAAGTTGATGGTCTTCTGAACACCACCCTCAAGGTCGAACCACTAGGAAAGTCAGTATTGTTGAGGAAAAGAAGGAAGATGGTATTGAGACGTACACCGGGCTCGGAGGTGACGGCGGCGGCCTTGTACTTGGTGATAGGCATGTTGGCGGGTTGTTGGTACCGAAAAGGTTCAAAGTGACTTGAGTTGATAGTTGTATGAGACTAGAAGTCTTGATGATTGATGATCTTGTATGGGTGTGATGATCTGGAAGGAAAAGGAGATGAACCAAGTGGTGATGTTGAAGCCTTTTTATGGATTCTTCTTCCTCTAGAAACTGACTTTGATGAGTCGGATTGTCCAGTTCTTCGCCGTCGGGCTTTGCAAACCATCTTGCAGAATGTCTTTGGTCACTTGCAGTTCAGAGTTCACCAACGTTGATGTGTTGTACGTTGTTCGCTTACGCTACAAACGCCGTCTGTGATGGTTGTTGTTGATGCGACCCGGGCACTCGGGCCCGAATCAAGCAAGTTTCTGTTGCACAGTTCTTTTCCATAGGCCGCCAATCCCTTTGTGGCGTGACTGATATTCGAGAAGTTCCGAGTTGACGAACGGTAAACTACCGGATGGGCTCTGACACGACTCAGGTATGCGGATACTAACATCGCTACTCACAAGTGGCAGGTAGTAAAGACTCGGAGGACGTGCATTAGGCAGTCCCCTTGGGCGTAATTCCGAGCAATGCGAACTTCGTCCGGGAGTTACGGGAAAGCTGGGCAAAAGCCGCGTTGCAGAATGGCATGTTCCCTCTGACGTAAACACCACCCCGACTGCCGTTTTCCTCCGGGTCGATCAGACGAGATCTTGTGGGTGCCCTTAATTTAGTTCCCGTCTTCCCGGTAGCGGCGCGGTTCCAAACGTGCAGCTGGCCGGGGTCTATCGCCGGTTGTGGATCTCCGGGATCTGGAGATCTGCGTGCGTTCAAACCCCGCCAAATCCAAACACCTACATCGTCTGATGTTCGGAGACACCTCGATCCCGATGATTCTGTGGGGAACCCTGGATGTCAGTCACGGGAGAGAAGAAATCTGACGTTTACTATGTGAAATTCCTATCCACTACCGATCTGATAATGCTCTCATCTGATTCTCTGTCTGTTGGAGAGACCGCGTCCAGCCACGAACCTAGTGCTCCCGAAACACATATCTTTCCCCCATTCGCTTCTTTCCCCCTTGCCGTTACGTCTTCCGACGATCATCAAACCAAACCTTTTCCATATTGACCCTAACACCTCGTCCCGTATTCAGACATAGTGCTGATTGGATGCTACCTCATCCTCAGACCTCATCCCACGAGTCCTTCAATTCTCGCCTCGTGTTCTGCCCGCTCGCTCTTCACTTCAGGAGGGTCTTCATGACGACCTTGAACCGAGAGCTTTTCTCCTTATAGGTCAGATTGGGATTGCTGAGCTTTTCCCAGAGGCTGGGGAGACCGGCGGCACCCCACTTGTCTCGAAGCTCATCGTGCGCCTCCTTGTTGTGAATTCTCCAGAACTCCTCCTCCATGTAGTAATTGGTGGCATAGAGCATCTTGGTACCACCCAGGTCGCGAGTCACCTGCTCGATGGCTATGTTATCCCGCAAAAACTCTTGAAAGGCCTCGGCGCCGTCACGGCCCGGGATGTCATCGAGCCCGCGGATGGTCTTGAGACCCCATACACCTACATTGACGAGCATATCGGGGATACTGTGACGATTGCTGCGGGGACTGCTGTCGGTTGCGGCTCTGACAGGGCAGATCCAGAGGGGCTAAATGCCGAACTTCTGGTTAGTCCAGTTGATGAAGGCTCCCACAGTATTCTCCGGAAGCGTGATGTACTGAATGAAAAAGGACTGGCCCTGGCCACTGTGGTGAAGACCAGCGTACAAGGACTTCGCCTACATCAAGGGGTTCAGTATGAAGCGGGTAACACCGTTGAAGACATTGGGATTGCGGCCATACATTCCCGTCCAGAATGCGGCTCGGTCGTATCGGAAGAGATAATCCTTGATCAGCACCAGTTCGGTGATGATGCTACTCTTGTAGCTTGAGCGGGACTTGGAGAAGGCGCATGGCTTGCAGTCAGAGTCTCGGACGTGGGGTACAGACTCGTGCACATGAAGAGCGAACCACGGGCCATGAGCTCGGCTGAACCGAGCGACGGGCATGCCCAACTTCTTCTCATCAGTCATGGTGCCAATAATTACGGCGCCGTCGTTGGGGCCAAACATTATAACGTCGACGAAATCAACGAACGAGGTGGTGGCGGTGTAGTCCTTGATGGAGTTGAGAGCTTCGGCTGCGGAATGGACTGACAGGTACTTGATCTCGACGAATTGACGAGCTGGAACAAGCTTGATTTCGATAATCGTGCAGATACCGAGGGTACCACAAGCACCAGAGAGACTACTGAAGAGGTCCAACTTCTCGACGGGCGAAGCAGTGACAATATTGCCGTTTCAAAGCAGGACCTCGACAGAAGTGACACACTTTTCGATGTGACCGTATCGGAATGAGGAACTCTCGAGCGCAGTGTCGGAAAATGCACCGCCGACGGTGATGCCGGTGAACTCAGGGACAACTGTGGGAATGAGGCCGTGCTTGAGGGTGGCCGTGACCAGAGCCTCCATGATACGTTGGGTTCGACGCCAGCGCGACGTCGGCGCTTATCGATACTGATGATGTGATCCAGTCCACTGATGTTGATGATCGCTTCTGGCTTGCGAGTGCTGGAGCGAGTGCTGTTGGTAGTCTTGTGATAGATTCGGTACTTTATACCGTCTTGAGCGAGTCTTCTGGCCTTCGCTGCGATGATGTTGACGCGCTGGCGATGCTTAAGCAAGCGGTATTCAATTTTGATTCGTTCGTCCATCCTTGAATAAGAATTGAAGTGAGAGAAGCATAAGGTTGACGATCTTGGCGAATTCGCGAAAATTTCGAGGGCGAATCGAAAATGTGGGTGGAAATGGCCGCTGGGAAGGTGGAAAGTTTCAAGACAGAGACCTTGACTGATGAATGAAAAGTTGGAAGGGGGTGAGGGCATCAGTGAAAATTCTTCTAACTTGATCAATCTCAGCAGGGTGAGGGCATCGACACGGAGGAGGCCGGAAGGATGAGGAGTCTCATGGAAGATTCGTTCTATGCTATGGACTCTGAACCTTCCGAGGGCGTCCGTGGCCTGGTGGTGATGCAGCCTATTACTCCTAGCCCTGCCGCATGTTATGTATGAGCGTGGCCGAGGATGGTGAGTGCAAGGGACGACTGTGCCCTCGTTGTCTCTGGTAGCATAGAGATGTAAGACGGGAACTATCTGAAGGCTTTTAGAACGAAATAATGAAAGAACGAAAAGACGAATAGAAGAATGAGAGATTTGGGTGATTCTTTGTAACAATTGGAAGAAAGCAGGAAGAAATGAGACTGTTTAAACATGACTTGGCGTACAATTGCAGGAGATAAATTTCAAAAGCCATTGCGTAAAGTACTAACCACAGCCTGGACGTGAAACTCACTATACTGTGATGTTAGTTATTCGGTATGATTGAGAAGGTGAATGGAGATGGACTTTTCATATGAGAACCTGATCACTCTTATTCGCAGCTCATAGGCCTCAGAACTCTGGAATGAAAATACGATATCTACCTCAAGCCCTTAATTTCTCTATAGTAAACATATATTTGCAAGGCAACATATCTAATATGGACATTTGCAGTAGCTGGACTGATCTCATTATATTCAACTCCATATCACATTGACTCCATATCATATGAGAGATGTGATGGAAGTGAAGATGCGACGAACTTGAAATGCGATGAGTGTATTTACAAACACCTATAGATCATTTCCAGATGACCTGGTTCACATTCATTGTCAGCCTTCAGACGGAAGCTCAAATTGTGATTCACTACCATGAGCCAAGTGAAGCATGCAGTGAATATTTAAGGCAGATCTTCACATCGCGATGAGAGTCATGTTCATACTTAGGGGTCCTCAGACTTCTGTTCGGCAAGAGAATGAAAAAAGTGGCAGCCATCAAGGCTCTCGAACTTTGCAGAGTACCTAAATTGCTTGGGTCAAGTGGAAGGAGTCATCCCACAAACAGTCACAACCCAGGCAAGAAGCATCACCACCAAGCATCCTACAGGAAAGACAGAACCATGTAGTTTCCTTCACCGTTTCTTTCCAACATTTGGGAAACTGCTAGCGAAACAGGCGATTTCGAGTGCCACCTCCTCCGGTGGTTGCCCAACAACGACATCCGACCTTCAACATCATAGCACTCACATACATCAGTCTCCGGGCCTCGAACCAGATCCCGCTTCCCTCGTACCCGAAGAAAATCCCCAGCATCTATACCCACGCGCCAGATATATCTTTTACCTTAGACAGTCATGTTTTCCTCGACACTGCGCACGATGCGGGTCAGGGATGCCAGAAGGCAGGCCAAAATATTCGAAAGGGCATTCGAAGGGGCGTTGGAACGAGCCAGTCTTGACGTGGTCACCGAGTTCGCCGCCTCCAATCTGGAGGTGTCGTATGATTCCGACTGGGATCTAGCGGAGGGAGTAGAAGATGACATGGGGTTCTGGGATGATTCATCAGATCAAGGTTCCGAAAGGGGTTCGAAAACCGGAAAAGGAAAAGAGGTCGAGGAACGAATACCCTTTATTTATCAACCACCCGACGAGAATGACCCAGCGGACCATCGTTCAGATATGAATACTCTCTTGTGGTTGTTTGCAGCCACAAACATTGGAACTGATCAAGACAACAGCAAGACACCGAAAACAGAACCCAGCAACTCAGATACATCTATGGACGATGCCGAAGACCTTGAGCAGCGTGATGTAGAGATGGAAGATGTGCTGGGTGAACCAGAGACTAAAGCTCGCAAACTAGAGGGCATATCAACTCCAGAGACAGCGACCTCGGGAACTCCGTTCGAGCCAGAAGCTCACATCCAAATGGGTGGCATACTGCTAGCAACAGAACAAGGGAATTCTGGGAAGAAATTTTCCCCAGGGGTTCATGTCGAGCATGTGGAGAATGTTAAGAGTATCATCGAAGGTGTGCCACGGAGAGAAGACGACGGGTCCCTTGAAGCGGCACAACTTGAAGGCTCGTCCGAATCTGCCATGCCACGCAAAGACGACCAAAAGCAAGTGAAGAAGCCATCCCCCATCTCGGTCGGATTCTTGGAGGGTACCTGGTATCAGTTCCGCGAATTGCAAGAGTTCTGCGAGTGGGAAGATGCGCACGAGTGGAACCGAACACATCTTCGCAAGATGCTCCGAGAACCCTTTCGGCAGAGTCGGACCCGCCACCGACAACGCTCCCGAATGCCCTATCCCCAATACGGACGATCGAGAAGCCCGCTTGGTGTCAGTGTGATGACGGATGGGCCTGTAGAAGACACAGAGTCGGCATATGCGGCAGAAAACGTAAAATGGTAGTGACAGGGAGACTGGGGAGCGTCTTGGAGTATGACACGCAGGACTTTTTGGAGCTTCTTGGCGTCGCTGGACACTGTGATGAAAGGAGCTTTCTGTCACTTGTGGGTGGGTTGGGTGCAACAGCGAACATTGAGAGTTGATAAATGCATTAGATACTGAGTAGTGGGAAGAGCGAAGATTTGGAAATCGTTATTTGTATCATTGACTCGACTGTCTTTCCTACCAAGCGTTCTTCGTCGCCAAAGAGTTGTAGCTCCTGAATGATGCCGAAAATGACTCTCACGCTCATTGAAGCTTATCACTGAAATTTCCAAGGACTGGGTTAGGTTCCCTCTCTTCGGCGTGCTTCTCGACAGAATTCTCTGTGTCGTTGCTGATAGACTTTCCAGAAAATACTGGCGCACCCGTATTAGTCTTCGGCCTCATGCTACTAGGAATCGTTGCGCAAGACACTTACATGCGTCCATCTCTTCAAGAGATTTTCCTTTTGTCTCCTTGATGAAGAACCAGACAAATACTACGAGTACCCAATTGAAGATGCAAAACATCAGAAATATCTTCCAACCGAGATTTTGAACGGCGTGTGGCGTAGCTTGAGAGAAGACAAAGTTGAAAAGCCATTGTGTTGAAGTTCCAATGGCGATTCCGGCTTCGCGGATTCTGGATGGGAAGATTTCGCCCATGTAGACCTAAATGATGATCAGTCCGTAACTGTCCATTCCCAACGGAGAGGTTAGTAATAGAACTTACCCATGGTGCTGGGCCCCATGAGATGTTGTACGACATGGCTTCGAGGTAGATCATTGTCATCGAGGCGATGGCCGTCGAGGTCAAGCCCTGGTCTACGGACTTGGGCGGATGGGTTGCGGTAAGGCAGGCGATGATGAGCATGTACGTCCCCATTAGGAACGCTCCGCCCAATAGCGAGCCGCGGCGTCCGATGCGTTCGACGAGGAAGAGAAGATAGAAGAGACACGACACGACCTTGACTAGGCCGAAGAAGCCTGTGATAAGGAGGTTATTCTGTCCTGCGCCAACGGCTGCGAAGACTTGTGGGGCGTCTGTGGATGACTTGTTAGCGATCAAGAATAGTGGCATAGAATAAGGATCGTCGAAGCCGGGGTATCAGTTCTTACAATAAGCCAAGGATGTATTGCCGGTAAGTTGCACGCCTAGGGGATGTGTGTTAGTCGAAGCTAAATCCTGTAAGATGAGTCGCGGGGAAGTCTGTACCGATTTGCAGAGCAATGATGAGGAAAATGCGGTAGCGGTTGACAGGCTGGATCAACTCTCTCCAAGTTAGTCCTTCTTTTTGATTTCTCTCTTCTTCAATACTGGCAATGATCTCGGCAAATCTGCTTTCTAGTCAACATCCATGTGAATGGTCGAGGAACCGAAAAGCTTACTCTTCTTGTACTTCAGGCGCATGACCGCCACGGACCCAAATGAGGGACTGCAGTGCTTCCTCCCTCCTACCAGTCTTGGCCAACCATCGTGTACTCTCTTTGCAAAGCAACATTCCCAACCCGAGAGTTGCTCCAGGAACAAGTTGCAACCCAACAGGGATCTGCCACTGTCTAGTAGATGACTTGACATGTTTGCTCACGCCGTAGTCGATAAAATACGACGTCATGACACCTATCGTGAAGAAGAATTGAAACATGCTGCCGAGCATTCCACGGATGTTCTTGGGGGCCATCTCTGCCGAGTACATGGGGATCACGACTGTAGCCATGCCGACACCGACACCACTGACGACTCGTGCGACGTAGAAGGCGGCTAGGGAGTGGGTGTTGATAGTTTGGACGATTGCGCCTGCGCAGAATATTATCGAGGCGAGGATGATTGACCATCTACGACCGTATTTCGCGGTAAAAGGCCAGATGAAGAAGCAGGAGAAGAAGGCTGGATGATTTGACACGGTTAGCAGAGGACCTCCGATCAAAGTAAAGTTAATTAGTGGTATACCTCCTGCCTGCAACAAACTTGTAGAATTTGACCCGACGTTGGCCTTCTGGGACGGGCCATAACGAAAGTCCTCTTGGAAGCCCTTAAAGGTGAGGATGCCACCAACGATACCGGTGTCGTATGCAAACAAGAATGAACCAACGCAGCATAAAGCTACGAGGTAAAATGCTCGAAATGTTCCCAGTTTCGACATTCTGAAAGGCGATCTTTTGGTAGTCAAGACTCGTTTGATTTTTCCGAGTAGTCTTTATCTATTAGGTGATGTTTGGAGGCAACGGCCCGTCGACCACTCTTATGTACGGAGATGCAGTCGCCTCAGACGCTAGACACCAGATTCATGACTTGAAACTTCATCTCCTAAATGAGGTACAAACGAAAAATCCATAGAAGAAAACGGCTCTTACCAATTTGTCGTCGGCAGCTCAGCACGCAATTCTAAATCGTCCAATGGCTGACTATCACAGGATTAAACAAACGAACTCCTCGAGCCATTTCAAGTACGCTTCCAGCACGCCATACGCCCCTTGTTCCCGAGAGCTGGGGTCAGCCATGGACAAACAGAAAAAGACACGCTGTTTGCACTCTTCGATGGGGATGTGGATGCCGGTAGTCGGCCGGGACGCTCAATCTGGGATGGCCTCAAGGCCGGACGTGTCTCCACTTTCCCATTTAGGACGCCGGACCGACTACCGAAGCCCCCAGGAGAGTGTGGGGTAAGCTCCGGCGAAGCACAGGGGTGCCGGTCTTCCGTTCCAATTGGTCCCTCGAGAGAAACCTATGAAGATGTTTCGGCTGAGTGACATGCCATGTTGAATCCGCGTCAACATGTGTCCCACACTCCTCGAGGAGGTTCATTGCCAATGGGTGAGAGCAGGGGCATAGCTTTGGAGGGGCAATGCTCCAGGGTTGGAGCTATCCCAAGCTTTATCGGATGACCCCTCCTTCCAGTCACTTTTTGCCGTTAAAACCCTTCGAGCGACTGGAGTGTATTTTGCTTCTCCCGCCTTGTAATCCTCTTCCGTTGTTGATCTCTGTCGTAAATAGCGAAAATGACGGACTCCAGGCCCAACATTGTCTTCATCATGGCTGATGACCATGCCTCCAAGGCCATCAGCGCTTACGGGGCTGGTATTAATCACACGCCAAATATTGACCGTCTCGCATCGGAGGGGATGAAGTTCAACCATTGCTATGTCACCAACTCCATCTGCACTCCGTCCCGTGCGGCAATTCTTACCGGCACGCACAACCATGTCAACGGCGTTATGACGCTAAACGACAACATCAACAAGCACTTGCCGAACGTTGCGAAGCATATGCGCACCGGCGGATACAGGACTGCGATGGTCGGGAAGTGGCACTTGGGCGAGGGCAGACCACATGAACCCACGGGCTTTGACTACTGGTCTGTTCTGCCCGGACAGGGAGACTACTGGGACCCCGAGTTCATTGAGCCAACGGGCGAGAAGATTGAAGAAGGCTATGTTACGGACATCATCACCGACAAGTGCCTCGACTGGATCTCAAAGACCAAGGACACCGACAAGCCCTTCTTCTTAATGTGCCACCACAAGGCGCCGCACCGCTCGTGGGAGTGCGACGAGAAGCACAAAGACCTGTATAAAGACACGATACGCGTTCCCGAGACATACGACGACGACTACAAGAACCGCGCAAAGGCTGCAAAGGTTGCAAAGATGCGCGTGGCTGAAGACATGACGTACCAGGACCTGGGACTTGTGCAGCCAGACGGCGGTAACAAGGTCGGCGATCGCGTCGTCCAGGAGGCTGGCTCTGCGCAGCGCAAGATTCCCATAGACGCCAAGAGACTGATCGATAAAGAGGACGGAACCATGTTCACCTTCAAGAGTCAAGACGACCTCGCCCATTTCAAGTTCCAAAGGTACATGCAGCGATATCTGCGTACCATCCAGTCTGTCGACGACAATGTCGGGCGAATGCTTGACTACCTCGAGGCCAACGGACTCGCGGAAAACACCATTGTGATCTACACCTCCGACCAGGGTTTCTTCCTCGGCGAGCACGGCTGGTTCGACAAGCGATTCATGTACGAGGAGTCTTTCCAGATGCCCTTCCTCATTCGATATCCCGCGGGAATCGCCAAAGGTTCCATATCCGACGACATCATCTGCAATGTCGATTTTGCGCCTACCTTCCTCGATTTCGCGAATCTTCACATCCCGAGCTACATGCAAGGCGAATCCTTCCGCCAGTTGCTGCAGGGGAACACGCCGACGGATTGGCAACAGATCGCCTATCACCGGTACTGGATGCACAATGATATCATTCACCACGCCTACGCGCATTATGGTGTAAGAGACCAGCGATACAAACTCATCTACTGGTACAACGAGCCGTTGGAAGTCAGTGGTGCCAGGCCAGGTGGGGAGAAGGATAAGGAGTGGGAGCTGTTTGACTGCGAGAAGGATCCGTTGGAATTGTTCAATGTTTATCGTGATCCGGCTTATTCTGAGACCGTGAAGCATATGACACAATTGCTGGAGTTGAAGATGGAACAAATCGGTGACGAGCCTGTTCATCCGAGAGGTGGTGATCTGGGTAGGTCGGTGAGTATGGCGAGTAAGTTGTAAGGCAAAATACAAACCATCCTACGGTCTACTTCGAATGAGTAACTAGAGTAGTCGGCTGCATGATTGAGATTGCAGGGCAAGAGCCAAATCGTGATATCATCATGAGCTTCTAGAGTTTATTCTCATCATTGGCGCATTGGCGAATCGTCTGGTAGCATCGAACTACTTGAAGCGCAAAACCATTATCGTGACGCGATAACGAAGCAGCTAGGAAGTCACAACGAGCTTGGCATCACAGAGAATTAAGGTGGAGAGGTGGATCCGATCTTCCAGCAAGGGTTCGTTGACGTTGACAAGGATGAACCGCTCGTCGAGTCCCGTAACTGGCTCGCCGAGGTCCATTCCTGGATGTCGTTACCCTATCCACTCCTCGCGTCATGACAGTCTAGCTCGAGTAGGTAAAGTGTAGACTCCCTCCGCATTCATGTTTGCACTTTGCAGAGAGATCTGGAGAATCATTCAAGAAGCCCGGCGGCGAGGTCAAGGGACGTAATGTGAGAAGGCTAAATTCAGACCTTTCCCAACGTCCACTCTCCAGTTTCCATCCCGCCGGCTCAGTCAAACGACTCCTCCGACACTTCATGCCTGGTCCAGCTCTAACTTTTATGGTAAAGATATATCATTAACTTCCATCACAAACTCGCGGAACCGAACGACGCTGGGTTGCGGCAGGGGCGCTGCAACATGAGACGAGGGCGACCATGAAGTGCCAGGATGCCATAGTTTCAACAACAACATGATGGACTCTTTCGTTGGCTGCTTTCAAGCTGGCCCAAGCACGACGCGTCAGACTTGCTCTCAATGCCGGTGGCGAAAGGTAAGTCCGCCCGAATTTCACTACCTGTTGGTCTGTGGCCACGGACTGACAGATATCAGGTCAAGTGCGAAGGTGGCAGTGAACTGCGCTGCGGAACATGTGCTCGTCTTGGGCTCGATTGTTCGCATGCCACCGTCGAGGAAATCGGTAGACTGCCGAACTTTGATCAACGGCAACTAATCTCCGCCAAGCCGCGACGCCTCAGAGGCACCCGAGCGTGCAAAGCTTGTCGAGACAAGAAAGTCCGCTGCTCCGGCACGTCACCGCGCTGTACAAACTGCGCGCGCCATGCGAGAGAGTGCACATACCCGACCCCGGCACGATGTGCGAGAGCATCTTCCCCGCAGAGCACGTTTACTGAGGGAGACGAAGCCTACGGCGTCGAACTCGGCCATTTCCTCCCCGGCGCCGTGGAAAGCTTTTTCGAGAAGGTTTATCCTCTTCCATCCCATGCATTTATGCACCCCGAGACGACCAGGGAGCGCTGTCGAGAGGGGAGGATTGACTCAGCCCTGGCACACGCCATCTGTGCTTTGGCGACCCTTCACTGTGGTTCGGATCTTCAGACTCGCGACAGAGCCACGTCTTGGGTTCAGACGGCGGAGCAAAAGATATGGCAGCACCTCGAGAACCCTACCATACCTCGTTTACAGGCCCTGCTGCTCGTGATCAATTATCAGATGGAGACCGGAAAATTCCAGAGAGCTTTCATGCTTACGGCTACCGCGGCTAGATTTGCGGCTGCCATGCGACTCAACCACGAAAGACCTGATCTCGACTTTGTTGCCCAAGAGATACGCCGTCGGATCATGTGGTCGCTGAAGATCACTGAGAGGTACTTCTCCGTTGGGTTACCCGAGTTTGAGGCATGCCCCATCGAGACGATATACCTGCAATACCCCTCCTCTGAGAATGAGTTCAGTAATGATAATGGAAACTCGGGCGATGGAAGTTGCTATAGACTCTACGTGAGGCTAGAGATAACTCGGAGGGACATCATGAAGTTGACAAGAGGGGTGACTCTCTGCGACCAACCTTTCCTGCCTTTGGCGAAACTCATTGGCGACTTTGAAAGTGACTTGGGCGAAATTGGGTCGTTTATGCCAGACGGAACAGACTTTTCCTTCGGCAACATCGAAGCTCTCGACGGCGATCGGTGGCTAAGGAGGCGGCTGTTCATGCACATCTCATTCCACCAGGCACATTGCGACTTGTACCGAATCTTACTTTCAGGATACCCAGAAGCAGCACCTCGCGTGGTTCTCGAAGCGGTTGATATAGACTACATCACCGCAGCAGAACAAAATTGCCTCAAACATGCCACCGCCATCATTCGGATATTGACGGGCCTCAATCAGCACAGCACGGCTCATCTGCTCCTCGAATTCGACACAGCTATTTGCGCTTACCACGCCACAAGGCTCCTACTATTCATAGCACGATCGCAAAGAACGCCGGGTTGTCCCTCGCCAGAGTTTGCCTTGAGCCGCGCGGCACTATGTCTGGCTGCACTTCAACGCTTCTTCCCTTCTTCTGCACTGGTCAAGCCCATCATCGATGATATGGAGCGACTTTCCCGAGGGCATGCACCACAAGAAGCCGGAATTGGCGGACTTTCTTCACCTGAGTTTCAAGAAGGGAGACGGAATCTAGAACAGCAACTTTCAGAGGTAGCAAAAGCGAGACAAAGACTGGCCATTCACAGTCTGCTGAGACAAGCCGACTTTACCGACGAGGACGACGGAGACGATGATTCCTCGTTCATATCTACATCTGGGCTGTCTCCAACCCTTACGAGGCGAACGCCCTAAAGGCAGCTTCCAGAATCTAGGCTTGAACAGAGACGCCAGAAGGCTCGGTATGCGTACCCCGCAAACAAGCAGACTTTCTACGTCCGCAGTTCGAATAGTTGCGGGCGGCCTTTCTGACGAGGCGCTGTCCTGATGAAACCAGTGGAGACGCCTGACTAGCTAAACCAATGACTATGGACTCGCTCACTGGCGTTGACGACAGACATGTTAACCGAATATGAGCTTTCGGTTTATGAGACCTTCCTTAAATTCAGTATCTATCCTTCTCTTCAAGGTCGAGGTTGATATGTTGAACTCAAACATGGGAAAAAGAAATCAACAGAAAGTTGTGGAAGCTAGAGCCAGCGCCTACGCATAGAGCAAACACGAAGATGTGACACGACCCACCCAATACTTGCTCATAGCAAGCGCGCAATATGATCGAACCCAACAGCGTGGGAAGCGCCATCCAAGCCACCAAGAAGACGGTTCTTGGAGCTGAAATAGAGTTTGTCTTTTTCCGCAGGTCACTTAAGCACCTGTCTGATATTATGTGTTGCTCTTCAAGGCCCCTCTCCTCTGTAACCTTTCTGCGTTTCAGTGCGGCCTCACGGCGTTCCCGTTCTCTGGATTGACAAGAACGTACATGTCAGGCGTCGTCTCATATCCCCTGCTAACATGACTCAACAACAAGACAGCAGTAATGGTGGTTCGGTGGAACAGGGAAAATGTAATGTGAATATCAAGATGGCGGGCAAGGTGAAAAGAATAAATATCCTTAGAAACCCGCCGAGACGGTATGGATAATGATCATCTTCAGCGCACAATCATCTCATCCACTCAAAAACATCATCATTTTACCACATATAATTACTAAATCAGACTTTCCGGTTAAAGTCCAGAAAAATGAAGTTCTCCGCCGTCATCCTCTTCGTCGCTTCCGTCGCCGCCGTTGCTCTTGATACCGAAGTTCCCCCTGCTCTCAGCCAGCCAGGTCGCCGTGGTGTTGACTGCGGCGCTTGCGACAGACTGAACTTCTGCCCTGGCAAGCCGAACAACAATGTTGAGTGCGAACTTGACGGCTGCTGCAAGAAGTAAACGGCTTCTCTAGGCTTAACTGAATATCAAGCTATAAACGTGTACGTCAGCCGAGGTCTCTCTCCCACCTCTTCATGCACAAGCTAACGGCCACTCAGACAGCGTGCTTTGGATACCCATTATGGTTGCCCTATTTCTGAAAGGTGGGACTCTGTTAGAACCACCGTTCGGATAGTCAAAAGCTGTAGCAACCTGATCTCAGCTACCTCACCCAATACAATTTTCTAGCCAAGTTTTCTTCGCCAGTCCTGACGTGATGATATTGTGAGCTGGTTGGTCTTGGGATGACATGTTTTGGCCGCTGCTGCGCAAGCTTGCTGTGCGGCAGGTGAAGTTTGATCCCTGTTGGATGTTGAGGTGTTTCTGGTGCAACCCGGCCAACAACAACAACCCCTCTCTGACTGGCTCACATGTAAATCCCTCGAAAAAAGTGCAACGTCAACTCATTGAAGATAGTTACTCAGCCAGCAGTACGCTCTAGGCTCTCAAGTATGGAACATGGAATCCAAGCAGCTCAATTCTTCCTTACCATGACGCGTCGCACACCAGTAACTGTCAATCTCGACGGCCTCCCCGTCTGATATCCTCGAACAGATCATCTTCTCCATTACTGATCTCCGATCAATTTACGACATTTTAGCGGCCAGCCCGGCTGCGTCTCAGGTCATTACGTCTCCTCCGTGTCCATGTCACCCGACGTGGTCCAGCTGATCCGCCTTGTCAGCCTAGTCCGCGCTTCAACTTCGGAATCCCCGCCAGCACCATCGCTCCAGGACTTCGTTTAGAGGTGCACCCAGTGTCAAGACCGCTCGGATTCGTCTGTCTCCTCGGTCGTACCTGACCTTGCGACATCACTGCGGCTTCAATCTTCGCATCTTGTCAGGGGCATTCTATTAACTGCACGTCGTATCTGCTGCCTGACATGGGCATGTCTGGAATACTATCGCAGCCAATGGTCATCAGTCACCCCGGCTCATCTCGAAAGCCCCTTCCGTTGGGGCGCTGGTTATGAGAAACCGTGGCGTCAGAATCCCCGGGGAACTCTGTACCAACCACAACCCATAGGACCGGCTTGTTGGATGGAGGAGCAGCGAGTTATGCGTGGGTTCTGGAGATTGCAGCTTCTGTTCGAAGTAAATATCGCACTTTCTGAAGGCCGCTTGGACTGGACACTGAAAGACAGCCAACGAGAAATTACGCCTGACGTTCTTTTCCAAGGCTGGACCTGGCAGAGGGAGGAGTTCCTCACCGTTGTGGACTTTGTCGATTATATCCAAGGTGGCCTTATTCTTTCCTCAGACTCTCAGTGTCTCCCAGTGCCTCCTAAGGGCTATGGTTCTGCAGAGAAGTGGCCAGACCCAGTTTTTCCAGGAGTGATAGACCCCAGATGGTTACGAGAGGAAATATCAAGGCTCCAACCGCCGTCTTGGATGTTCTACATGGCTCACATCGTGAGAAATCCGTTGTCGCCGATCCGTGGAGTACCTTTCTGGCCTTACCGTCAATTGGGAGTTACAATTTGGGAAGAGGATAAACTAGAAGCCCTGGAAATTTTGTCGTATAAACCACATGCCTCCAAGGCACGTAGTGGACCCACGTCAACGAGCGACCGAATCTTCACCTGGAGAAGTCTCTTGAGCCCCGAGCTCATCGCAAAGCTACAAATGGACATGGAAGAGGACTTTCAGACGAATGGGTTCCGATTCCCAGATAGGTAAGTGTTTTACCCTCGTCAAACAGACACTTCTGGCAGTTGTTCTGAACTCCAAATCCTACATGTATTACCGAAAGCGTAAGTGTAGCAGTCCAACTGGCGATCTTATTATCGAACAGATCATGACGATTATTTCTGCTTTGTCTTCAATATACTCCCAGTAGGCTAACGTGGCGATTGATGATTCTCTTATACCAAAGTTGCGTTAATGCTCTGCAGGTCTTGGGTCTTCGAACTGTTCCCAATCCAAAAGTTGTACAGCCCTGTTTCGACTTGCCACTCTCCGTCAACGAAGTAACCCAACTCTGTGTAAGGCACAGTTAAGCTGACTTGTTTGGAACTGCCTGCTACAACTTCAATCTTTTCAAAACGAATGAGTTTCATGACCGGATACTCGATCTGACTGTACTCTGGACGATAGTAAAGCTGTACCACCTCCTGACCATCCATCGACCCCGTGTTTGTGACTGTGGCAGAGACAGTGACTTGGCTGTTCTTGTCACATTGACTAACAGTACCGCTGCTACTGGCTGAGTGGCATTGAAGAAAGACGGAAGAAATGTTGAATGTAGTGTAGCTCAAGCCAAAACCAAATCTCAGGGGAGCATAACGTGTCAGCTCCGGCAAGTGCCAGTCATACTGAGTCGCTGTACCGAATCCTCCCTGGTCGTCCGATGGGAAGTACTCGTAGGCTACGGGAAATGCGCCGTCGGCTTCCGGAAACGTGATTGTAAGCTTGCCACTCGGATTGACACTTCCAAATAGAATTTCGACCAAGGCGTCAGCGGTGAATTCTCCGGCAAGCCAAGTATGAACGATAGCTGCAGCCTTTTTGGCCGACTCGTCCAATAAGAAAGTCTGCCCTCCACTGAGCACCAGCACAGTCGGTACGCCGGCATTGATGACAGCATCGAGAAGTTGCTGTTGTAACCCCGGAAAGCCCAAGTGCGGATGACTGAAGCCCTCGCCGTCGGTTCGGTGAAGGGACTCGTACGAGTTGTCGAAAGACCCCCAGCCGGATCCAAGAACTACGACTGCAAGGCCAGCTCGTTTGGCTGCGTCGACGGCATCTTGAATACCCGAGCTATTGTTCGTGCGCAGAACATCGACGCCAGCAACGAAGTCGACGTTTTCTGCCCCAATCTCTCGCTCTAGACTCCGACGCAAAGTGTCGCCGTAGGATGAGTCGGATGCATTGTTTGCGGCATATTGACCGGTGTTGAGAATGTCGGCATACGGGCCCAGGAGGGCAACCTGGGACACCTTGCTGCGCTGCAAAGGCAGCGTGCCATCATTTTGAAGAAGCACAATTGCCTCGCGCGAAATTTTGCGGTTGATCTCAAGATGCTTCTCATTTCGCAGAGTCTCGTTCAAGTTCTCAGTCGAGGGAAGAGGTAGGTCAAAGGTTCCGGTGGCGAATTTAATCTCGAGAATTGCTCGAACTGAGCTGTCGACAAGCTCTACAACCTCGGTCTCGTTGGAATAGTCGACGAGCGTGGGAAATACGGAAGGTGGTCTCGGTGATAGCTCGTGCTCCAATCCGCCCCGTAAGGCCTTCAATCCAGCGTCCGCGAATGACTTGGCGACCTTGGACTGAGTGTACATGTTCCGGATTGAACCGGCGTCAGACATGATGAGACCTTTATATCCGAGCATCTCTCGGAGCACCTTTCTGTTCAGATACTTGTTCATGGACATGGGGACCTGATCGACGCTGGCGTATGAAATCATTAGCGACAGAGGCTTTGCCTCTCTGAAAGCCCTGACGTAGGGGGCTGCGAAGTCGTTGAGGATATAGTTTAGGCCACTTTGAATGCTTGCTGTGTTGACACCTCCGTTGCTGGATCCGTAAACCCAGTGCTTGATTGTCGTCGCTACCTTGACGAAACCCGACTCATCTTTCTCCTGCATCGTGTTGATGTAATGCGTGGCAAACTCCCCGACGAGATAGCTGTCCTCTCCGAACCTGAATAGAGTGTTAATAAGGACACATATCGCAGATCTGAAGCACTTACATCTCGCCGTTTCTCCCATTTCTGGGATCTTTAGCAAGGTCAACCTCGGGCGAGAGAACCCAGCGAGTGCCCACTGCCACATTCTCGTCACGAATGACGGCTACGGCTTGCTCGTAAAGAGGAATGTTCCACGTCGACCCCATGGAAAGGGCACCCGGGAACAATGTGCCACCGGAAATCATGAGACCACTGACAGAGTCCGCGATTGTGATATAGGGGATGCCCAACCTCGTGTTGTTGATCTGTTCGGCCCTGACTTTATTGGCGATGGGCAACAGATCATGCGCATAGTTCTGAGGCGCCCCAAAGCCTGAGATAAATTTAATTTTGACGCCATGGTGTAGAGATACTAAATCTTGGTTACCGATTTGCCCATTCTGAGTCTTTCGAATCTCTTCGAAAAGCGTTTCGTTGTACGATACCTTGCCGTTCACTGTCTCGGCAAGTCGTCTGATCCCTGCATGTCCAAGTCACTAAGACATCCCTTCTTTTGCGAAATTACCGACTAACCTCCGAGCTGGCCAACCTTTTCCTCCCATGTCATAAGACGTAAGAGGTCGTTGGCTCGCTCTGTGGGAGAGCGTGTCGAATCGAGATATACCGAGCCATTTAATGTAGCTGCAGTCAAGCCAAGATGAACAAGCTGGGATAGTGCCAGGGCAAAAGTTGAAGTAACCAATTTGACCATCTCGATGACAAGATTTGGCGCTTGTGGGAACGATTGAGCGAAGAAGGCAAGCAACCATAGTCGCCAGGTGCGTCTTCATCTTCATTAAAAGCTTATATCCTTCATCAGAAAAGCACGTCATTGCCAATGATCCACCATTGACCGAGAGTTCGTACCCAACCTCCATAACTCCATGATTCCGGCAAGCGAGGCCGGGTCGGGTGCCCCACTTGGTTCGCCTGGACTCCGGAGCGTCACCTCGGATGTCGGTCGGGAGTCCCGAATCGGGAAGGCTAGACCGGAATTTGCCCAATCATTCCCATTCACTGTCACGCGGTGAGTGATTGCATCATTCTACTTGTTATTCATAAAGAGTCATGATATTTTTGAAGCCTCTGGGAATTTGTTAGCGAAAGCTACTTGCGGCCGTCATGATGCTCAGTACCCCGTCTCTCACATGTACCTAATAATCTTCCCATGTTGACCACGCGTCCAGGAATTGCGGCTAAAACGGCCTATTGCGACTTGTCAGATTTGGGTTTCCCGGCAGCTCGGAAGCGCCTCATTGCAAGTGACCTGCGGAAGAATACTTCCGAAGATTCTTTGAATCTTCGATGAGACTGGGTTTTGGTGCCATTGGAACTACGTTTACGTGCGAAATGAAATGAACCGTGTGCTGATGAGCTGCGTATTACGTTCTACTTTTTGATATACAAGTTTACTCAGAAAGTTTTGATACTACCCCTATGCCTTGCTGCCACTCTTGTTATTCTGGGGTTGCCTGACACTCCTCCACTCCAAAGCCAAAGCACCAAAGATGGCGAGACACACGAGGACCAGGCCAACTAGAAATACATGTCTAATGGCCTGGTTATATGCAATCAGAACTGTCGTCTTGATGGAGGCGGGAAGATTGGTCAGAGAGGTAACACCGTTATCCAGAATCTTCTGGGCGTCGAGCCCCGGAACCGAAGAGAGTCGCTCGAGCAGTTGGGTATTGAGAATGTTCTGTGCGACTGCGAGGAAAATGGCTCCTCCAATGAGCTGGCCGAAGAACATGAGGGAGATTCCCACCGGCACATCCTTCTTTGGTAAGACTGTCTGAGCTGCGAGGTTGGGTGCTTGCGTTGACAAGCCCAAGCCAAAGCCGTAGATGATTTGATACCCGATCCATTTGCCGCTATCAGTGTCGACTTCGAAAGTATAGATCAGTCCAGCGCCAACAGCCATCAGACAGACTCCGCCAATCATGAAAGGTGTGTAGTAGCCGATGCGACGAACAAGGGCGCCCGTTAGCAACGTAGCTACTACCATTGAGAGCATGAGAGGCAGGAGACGGATTCCGGACTCAACCGCGGAGACACCTGTGATAGCCTGGAACCAGATTGGGAGATAGTAGGCTGAGTTCTGTTAGTTTGGGTAACATGCGGGCATGATGCTATTCGTGTAACTTACAGAATATCATCAGTTGCGATCCGTTGCAGATGGTAGCGTAGACACCAGCGAGGATGCTGCGCTGCTTGAAGATTCTGCTGGGGAGCGTGGCCGTATCGGGCATGAAAATCTGGACCAAGGCGAACCCTGCTAGGAGTACGACTGCAAGCACTAACAGGAGAATGATTCTCCAGTTGTTCCACTAAGAGCACCGATCAGAACCGAAGTAAATCGTTTTCTGGTGGTACAAACTTACAGAATACGTGGAGCCACCCCATTCCATTGCCAAAATCAGGGAGACTGATCCAGGGATAAGCAAAGCGGTTCCGAAGAAGTCGAGCTGCGCCAGCTTGGACTTCAGATCAAGCTTTGTTGTGTCTCTGTCAGGGATGGCGAGGATCAAGAAAATGATGATGCCTGCCAAGCCGCCCAAGGGGAGATTGATGTAGAAGCACCATCTCCAGGTAACCTTTGAGGTGAAGACGCCTCCGAGTAGAGGCCCGACAACAGAAGAGACACCGAAGATGGCCCCGAAGAAGCCTTGATATGTGGGACGCTTATGAAGTGGGACAGCGTGCACGATGATGACGACCTGCAGAGCTGATGATTAGAGACTGATTTGACTGCACAATATCAGATCCGAGACTTACCACGCCACTGAGGATACCAGCCGCGCCAAGTCCAGCAATGGCCCTTCCAATGATGAAAGAGACTGAATTTGGGGCCGCGCCACAGAGTGCAGAACCGACTTCGAAGAGGAAGATCGAAGTAAGGAACGTGCCCTTGATGCTGAAGAAGGTGTAGAGTTTGCCGAACAGGAGTTGAGAAGCACACTGGGTAAGGAGGTAAGCTGATCCGTACCAGCCTATATCGGTAACGGAATGGAACTCGTCGGTGATTTGAGGGATGGCCGTTGTGATAATCATGCGGTCCTGGGAATCTATCAGGTTCTCGTCTCTTGTTATGTGTGATGGAGTTTAAGACGGCCAACTTACTAGGGAAGTCAAGAACATGCACATGAAAGCAGATGACATGATGCATGCGAACTTGAGTCCAGTCGGATACTCTGTATCGTCTGTGGGTTTCCCTCCATCCTCGAGCTTTTCTGAAATGTTTTTCTCGGGTTTGCTATCATCGCCGTTCAGAGATGGCTCGACCACGGTCGGAGTCTTGGACTCGTCGTCCAGATTTGTTGTAGGTTCGGGCTGTGTGCTCGGTTGAGTCGACATATTGAAAGATCCGTCGACGTTGATGTGAACTAATAGACTTGGCTGGGAGTGATGGTAGACTCGAGACTGGAAGTAGAGTAATCAGATTGAAGTACTAGATTATGGTCGGATCGAGTAGTTGATATTTTAAGTAGGGCTGAGGCTGTCGATATATAGAGACATGAAGCCAAGACCACCTCGGGATGCCTTTTCCTTTATACATGTGCAACGCAACTGATTTGTTTCAAGAAACTGACTTCTGAAAAGTCCGTCGTCGGGAAACGGCAAAAACAACCCATAGCAGGGCTATTGTTGACGCATCTTGGGTTTAGACTGTCGATCCTCCCAGACATCTCGGGCCCGAAAGATCTGAAAGAGGTTAGACTCGTTTGGCATCACATGGTAAGAAAAGAGCAATTCATCAGACGGAAGCCGAGAAGATGCACTAAACTCTTTTGAGAACCGAGGGCCCCGACATCTTCCTTCGCGCCATCCCGACGCGCATCTCTCACCACATGCAACGTCCTCGCCCAACCGGACATTTTCCAAAAGTCCGCCGGGGAGAGTCCAAATATCTTGAGAAAATCAGATATCCTCTATATGCATGGGTAACTGCCTCAAGTCCAGTTACTCGTCTCCCATTCTTCAAAGTTCTGCCCATGACGACCCCGCAACCAACAGCTCTCCAAGGGCTGCATAAGCATGCATGCTCGCTTTGCGCAAAGAGAAAGATCAAATGCGACAAAGCTGAACCATGTTCAAATTGCACAAAAGCGCAGGCACAATGTCTCTACGAAGGCCCAGCTCCACCACGACCGCGAAAGAGGGCGGCTGATGAGGAGCTTCTTGCGCGATTGGCTGCTTACGAAAATCTTATGCGGAAGCACAATGTCGACTTTGCCTCGCATTCTCATGGCTGGATTACATCTGGGCCTCAAGGACAAATTAAGCAGGACAAATCTGGGACAATGTCCTCCGCGACTTCTCCCCTTGAACACCAGGGCTCTGCAACTCAGACGTTGAAAGACATCCCATTGGCGACAGAACGGTCAGTGTTGACCCGGAGTACAACACGGCGTCGTGTGCTGATGAAGTATCCTTAGTTGTCTTTGGTCAAATCTTCCAACAGAGGTAAGAGTCGCTGTGCTGTAGATGAGAACACTTGAATCTGACTCATGGCCAGCTCATTTACCCGCCCGTCCAGTGTCTGACGCGCAAAGAAGACCCTCTTCACATCCCAACGCCATCACTTTTTGAGTTGACGACGACCGTTCAGCCCGAGTTTTCTCAGCTCCATCCAGACCCAAGGCATATTTACCGATTTTGGCAAATTTTCGTCGAAGCCGTCAACCCACTGATGAAGATCATCCATGTGCCAACTCTGCAGCAGCAGGTTCTAGACGCAAGTTGGAATCCGGCTGGCGCATCGAAACCACTCACAGCCATGCTGTTTGCCATTTACACTCTGGCTGTCACCTCGACATCCATTGATGGCTGCCAGGCTACCTTTGGCGAGGCTAGGAGCACGCTGATACTACGCTATCGGACCGCCGCTCTCCGTGCTCTCATAGCGGCCGACTTCCTCACAACGAGAGACTTTGAGGTCTTGCAAGCCTTTGTTCTCTTTCTCTTCTCTGACCCAGACTCGGAGCTGACATCCACTCTGACGGGCGCCGCTATCAGGATCAGCCAGAAGATGGGTCTAAACCGGCCAAAGCCAGATCCAAAAGTATCGGTATTCGAGTCCGAGATGCGTATACGTCTATGGTGGCAGTTGAATGGACTAGACTCTAGAGTAAGGATCGTGAAAGTTGCGGGCATGCGACTTCCGCCATCCGAAAGCGAGTTTGGCGATGTTCGCCTCCCGCTCAACGTCAATGACGCGGACTTGCATCCAGAAATGACGGAACTACCGCCAGAGCACCCTGGTGCAACAGAAATGCTTTGCGTATTGATGAAGTATGAGACCTTTAACATCATCAGGTCTTCTACGACAGCTGTCAAGGTCTTTGATGTGATCATTCACGGGCCTGGAAAGGATAAGCCGCCATCAAAGCTGGAAGATGACGCGATCAACCATATTGAGGCCATTTACCACGAAAAGTTCATTCGTCATCTGGATAGGAGTATTCCGCTCCACGCTCTGGTATACACAATGACCAGGCTCACGCTTGCGCGCTTCCGGTGCAAGGTGCACAGCCCACGAGGCAGAGCCAACAGCAACGGAGAGGTGTTCATGACGCGCGAGGAGGGTGACTTGGTCTTTCACTGTAGTGTGACTTGGTTAGAAATGATGGAAATTGCCATGAGCAGCCAGTTCTCCTCGCACTTCATTGCTCATATGACGACAAAGTTCACCGTGGATGTCTACATCTACGTCATTAGCGATCTCCGCAAGAGGGTTTCTGGTGAGCGTGTCACCTTGGCTTGGAAGCTTGTGGAAAACCTCTATGGGGATCATCCGGAACTGATTGAGAATACGCAAAGCTCCTTCTTTGTCGCGCTGGGGGATTTGACAATGGAAGCTTGGGAGGCTAGGAGGAGGGAGCTGGTCAACGTCCAGGGGAGTCATGAAGCCGATGATCCGCCTCGGTATATCCAGTTGCTTCGAGAACAGAGGCAACAGAAAGCTGCGCCAGTTCCACAGGTGCCAACAGCGGATTTCCAGACTCTGGACCCGCTGGGGCTTACCGATTCGGCAAACTTGGATTGGGATTATTGGAATGATTTCTTGCGACTGTAGTCAGACTGCTCCATGGCAATTCCACATTCATCGGAACTTGGGTTTCTGTATCAGCGATGTCTACTTACGCCTTAAAGACTCTTGGATGTGCGGTTGAAGTTGCGGTGACTCTAGCTCGAGTTCACGTTCCATCGCCCATGCGGGCCAGCGCATCCTTGTAGCCAGAGCTAACGACCGCTTCGCCCTGCTCAGGTCGCAGTGAGTAAGCACATGGTCGCATAGGAACACCAAAGTCCCGTTTTATACCTTGTGGTCAATGGTTGAGAGCCAACAGTTGTGATGGTACTGGGATGATGAGATTGAAGAACGAAGCTCTGGAAGCATCGTCCGGATATTCCCCATTCAGACATTGGGCCGTGGCACGCATTCAGTCAGCAACATCCCTGCTCGGCCCTCGAGCACGACGTTGTCATTGACAGCTTGCGATCATGTGCGATTCTTCAACGGCACTGGGAGGAGTATTCGGTGCCTATCCTTCTCTACGAATACATACCCAGCAAAGGAACTCGACATTATGCGCTTTGCATTCATCTCCCTAGACTATTCTTAGTGATCCTTTCCCCGCATCTTTGGTCCCCTCTTTTCCCCCCATGATCGTCTACCAACAGCCCCGTCCTGACACACACTGGATGCATCTCTCCTCAACGGTTAACTCCCCGACGAGTCAGAAGACTCCCATATGGCGTATGAATACTTCTAGGCTCGTTGTACAGCTTGACAATTCGCGCCCGAGTCCGAACTTGCCTTGCCAAAAGGCGCCAAAAGAGACCAGTCGGAGAGCCCTGAACTCAAAGCTGCCAGCTGCGCCATCCGGAAAACATGGAGCGAACTGGAGCAGCCCACTTAGTTTCTCCTAGTGTTGGGGAACCCTGGATTTATATCTAGCCAAGTTGGTAAATCAAATAACCTCGATTGGCTGATTCGGTTAAGCGCCCACACCTCAGACATGCTTCCCCGTATCAACTTTGCCCCATAGTTGTCCTGCCTAGTGCAACATAACATCAACATCGGTACTCTTTTGTGTCTCTTTCGCCTGTTGTGTCTGCACAATCACTGCATCTGCATCTGGATGTGTCTATCGTAACCATCCCCGCACCCGACAACTAGCTCCTCTCAAGGGTTTTGGTCACATCGGACCTTCAGTAGCCTCTCCGCTTGTCCGCAACCTGCGACGTGTTCGCCGCCATCTGTGCGGCCATGTGGCCCCTCGAGCTTCTCGAAATGCAGCTCCAAGCCTTCAATGGCCCCCGTCTAGGCCTCTGTATGGAGTATTTCTCTCGTCAATAGATCAGTGCAACGCGGAATCTCGGCGGAATACACCCTGCTTGCATTCCGCCCGAGCGTGCGCAACAGCCCTGTGGATTTATCTCTAAACGCTGCGACGTGGCGTGCGGAGAAGAACATATAAAGAAGAGTAACCATCGCGGTCCGCGAGCCGCTCGTTTGTGCTGGTTGCTTCATCCCGACTCTCTGTTCAACACCCAACCACCCCCACGCGCGCGTGTTTCTGGAAATCTCTCGTCGTTCAATTGAGTTCGCATTAACTTTGCGCGATACCATAGCCATGGGTCTCTACAGCAAATTGGCCGATGATATCACAGAGGTGGACGTGATCATTGCTGGAGGTACTCATCACGCTTTCTACTCTACGATCAACATGGACATCTTATTGACTCTCTGGATTCTAGGTGGAACAGCAGCTTGCGTTCTCGCCGGTCGTCTCGCGGCCGCCGACCCCCAATTGTCTATTCTCGTCATTGAAGGCGGCACCAACAACCGCGATGTCCCCAGCGTTGTACACCCGGCCTTCTTCCTCGACCACCTTGCGCCGACAAGCAAGACCGCAATCTTCTACCAGGGCAACGTATCCGACAAGCTGGCAGGCCGCGGTCCCATTGTCCCGGCTGGAGGAATCCTTGGTGGCGGTTCCTCGATTAACTTTATGCTGTACGTTACCGAATTCCTGTCCCTCCGCTCCTCTCTGCTTCACTCGAACCCTTTCGAGTCTCCGTCCCCCCCTCAAGTTCGTAGCCTCAACCCGGCATCCGATGAGACTTCCCCAGCTTCGCCCCCTTCATCCCCCCATACCCGCTCCCGCAGGATCCATTCTGCTTGGACCGTTTCATCCCGTGCCCCGGATGCGGGGGCGGTAGTTAGCACCGGGAAGGGGGGGGGGGGGGAGTTGGGGTAGCTCCATTCTAGCTCGGGGCACATGAGCTCTTCTGACTCTCTCACGACGATCGACTTCCCCTCCGAGATCCAAGCTAACGAGTCATGCTATTCCCAGTTACACCCGCGCTCAGAAGTCTGACTTTGACTCGTGGGCAACGCCCGGATGGTCTTCGGCAGACCTGTGGCCGTACCTGAAGCGCTTCGAGACGTACCACGGCAACGGAGACCCGGCCCACCACGGCTCTTCTGGTCCGGTTCATGTGTCCTCTGGAGGTTTCCGTGTCGAGAGTGCGGAAGATGACATCCTGGCCGCCGCGAAGCAGACTGGCTACCCCGAGATCCGGGACTTGCAGAACCTAGAGGCAAACAACGGCTATGAAAGGTGGATGAGATACGTCTCTCCCGACGGCCGACGACAGGATGCAGCACACACCTTCCTACACCCCCTTCTCGAGGATGGAAACCACCCAAATCTTCACGTGTTGGTGGAGTCAAAGGTTATCCGTGTTCTCTTTGACGACCACAAGCGTGCCGTCGCAGTCGAGTACACTCCCAACTCAGACTACCAGGCCGTCTTGAACACCACACAACAGCCGGTCCGGACTGTCAAGGCAAAGAAGATGGTTGTCGTGTCATGCGGTGCCTGCGGAACCCCGGGAGTCCTGGAGCGCTCTGGCCTCGGCAGCAAGAAGATCTTGGACAAGGTTGGCGTACCCGTTGTGGCGGACCTGCCCGGCGTCGGAAGCAATTACCAGGATCACAACCTGGTTCTGATGCCGTATAAGACGGCGTTGAAGCCGGAGGAGACGCTGGATAACATTTTTAGCGGACGCATAAGTCACGAGGATGCAATTGCCAAGAAGGACAAGATGCTTGGCTGGAACGGCGTCGATGTCGTCAGCAAGATCCGGCCCTCAGAGGAAGAGGTGAAGAAGCTTGGTCCCGAGTTCGAAAAGGCTTGGGAGAAGGATTTCAAGAACGACCCCAACAGACCAGTCATGCTTACTGGTTTCCTTCACGGGTATGCACTCCTTGCTACACATTTCAACATCCCGAATACAACGAGACTGACATCTGCAGGTTCCTGGGTGACCACGCCGCCATCCCGCAAGGCCAATATACAACAGTCGCAAACTACACGGCATACCCCTACTCTCGCGGCAGCATCCACATCACCGGCCCTGCCCTGACGGACCCCCTCGACTTTGAAACCGGCTTCTTCAGCGACCCCGACGACCTGGACCTCAAAAAGCAGATCTGGGCCTACAAGCACTCGCGCGAGGTCGCTCGCCGCACAGCCCTCTACCGCGGCGAAGTCGCCGGCGGACACCCTGCCTTTGCCGCGGGTTCCAAGGCCGCGCTTATTGAATCCGTCTCAGCGGATGCGTACAAGAATGTGCAGCCGATTGAGTACTCAAAGGAGGATGACAAAGCGATTGAGCAGTTCTTGAGGGAGAACATCAACACAACGTGGCATTCGCTTGGAACGACCAAGATGGCACCGCGGGATGACGGCGGTGTGGTTGATTCTTCGTTGAGCGTGTATGGTGTTGAGGGCCTCAAGGTTGTTGATTTAAGTATTGTGCCTGAGAACGTAGGTGCCAATACGAATAATACAGCGTTTGTGGTTGGTGAGAAGGCGGCGGATATTATTGCGAAGGATCTGGGTATTCGCATCCCGCCAAAGTTGTAGATTGGTGTGGATGTGTGATGACGGAATGAAGGATAGACTGTCTAGTAGAACGCAAATGAGCGAGATATAATGAGTGCGAAGTAAATGATCACCAACCCGTTCGGAAATCATTCTTTCTCGCCTGCGCTGTTATTGAAGTTGAGGTGGTGGGTGAATGGTTTCTAATGTGCATTGCCATGAGTGGCCGATTCCACTCCTGGACACTGACAAGAGGAGGCAACATAATCACGGCACGGCAGAGATCCCAACAAAGATGTGTGACAAGAAGATCTCCTTCCAAGTTGTGGAAGATGTGCATTTCTAAACTACATCAGAACTTTCTTTTCATTACTAATATCGTGACTACGTCGCATGTAGTCTTGCAGGAGTGTGGGTATCAAGCTCTTCCGATGAGTACGGTTCAAGACAATAGGTAGGCCCTCTAAGCCGACTCGTGATGAGACTCGTGAAGTCCCTTCTTCTCAGCGTGGATGGCGCTCTCCTCCAAGTCCTCAGTCAAGCCGACATCCCTTCTAGCCTGCTCAAGAAGAATGCTGTCCTCAGCACCTGCGTTGCTTCCAAAGACACGGTCCATCTCCTCGAGGGTGGCACCCTTGGTCTCGGGGAGGCAGAAGTGCACCCAGATGATGCTGGCGCCGAGGAAGACGGCGAAGAAGATGTAGGTTCCCCATTTCCAGCTCTCGAGCATGGAGGGGACGTAGAAGGCGACGGCGAAGTTGTTGAGCTAGAATCTTGGTGTTAGTCTCATGTCTAGATGTGAAAAAAAGAGGGGGGGATCTTGGAGTGCGTACCCAGTTGCTTGACGCGCCGATGGATGCACCCTTGGCGCGGATGGACAGTGGGAAGATCTCGGAAACAAGGGTCCATGAGACGGGGCCCCACGAAGCTCCGAAACCGGCGACTGAGATGTAAATTAGCAAACTGAGTTATGTCGACCGGAGACTGGAAAAAAGTGTTGACGTACTGTAAATCCAAATGAAGGCGACGGCGACCCACCCCTCAACGGGGTGGCCCGGCCAGTCGTGGCTGAACTTGGCGACGATGATGCCGGGAATGATCATGGAGATCAACATGACGATGGAACCGGCAATCAGGATGGGCTTTCTGCCAACCTTGTCGATAATTGCCATGGCGG